GCTCAGGAAACAAAAAAGGCATACCATACTCAAGGGCGGTGTTAGGAACAAGACCACGCGGACAGAATAAAACCACGCGAAATGCACTAGTTGGCTGCTGCACTGGCTGGTAATTTCCGACTGGCTGAAAAAGGAGTCAAACTACGGGAGCCTTCGGGTTTGTGGAGATGGAGGCCTGTGTAGGAAAAAGAATGTTGTGATGCGGTAGTGATGCTAGATTGGATCAAATGCGCCGAGAGTTGCTCCAAGAGCTTCAACTCGGGCTTCAATAATATCGTCTACCAGTGAAAAGGCTAGCGCTATTCAACTTTGGTCTCGGACAGCGTCCTCAGTGAAGCCACCGTCGGAACGGAAGCTTAAGGAAGCAAATACCAGGCAAGTTTATTGGAGAACAAAGCTTTATCGGCATCCGACACCGCGGGCCCGACTCCAAGTAGAGTTAGTCCCGGCAGCCGTAACCAAGCTAACCAAAGCACTGCCCTCTTCTGACATAGCGGTGCGAGTATCAGAGCCTGGATCCCAGACCACTGTATCCGACAGATAGTCCAAGTTTCAACATTGCCGTACACTGATTATGACCGGAGCGGACATAAATTCCCAAGTAGTGACCAGCGGCTATGAGACAGCTGTAGATAGGTTTGGAGGAGGCAACTGTGCTAGGTGTTCGTCTAAGACATGCTGGAGAAGTGGAAAGCTTCACTCGTGCTAGATCCCACCCAACGCTCTCGCTACTCCAGAACGTGATCTAGGATATAGTACTTAGGCTTGTCGTCTTATCTGACGGTGAGCGCGGATAGATCATCATAATATTGCCCACTCTTATCGCCTTCAGAATTTTCGTCATCCCCTTCGCATCCACGTTCCTTACCGATGCCTTCATATCCTCTTGTTCCTCTTCCGCATTGTCTCCAAGCTCATCCATCCAACACCTTCACCTACGCTTTTCCGCCGATCTTGCCTCGACTCGAGGGCAGAGTGAGATGTCGCCCTCCGAGAGTGGTCGATCCAGAGTAGGGGCTTGTCTGTCTTGGGGATACAACTTGGACTGTGGACATCGATGTCAGTTTCTCGTGAGAGCTGTTCACTTGAGATGAATTTTGTGATGGGTAAGCCTCCTCGCCTAACTGTGCGGTATGGAATCATCTGCTGATGTTCAGCCGCTCTCCAACGTCCTCGCGCCCTCCTACGACAACCTCGTCCGTGGAAAGAGCATATACAGAATATGCAAGATGCGGCGCGTGCCGATCACGTCGTCATGGTTGAGCAAATGGCACAACTTTGCATATGAGACAACGGACACATCCTGCTTCGTACCCTACAAGGGGCCGCAACCAGGCACTGCGAGCAGAAACGCGCGGAACTTGGGAGAGTAGAGCGCATCGCTAAGGGCGAGGAGGTTGAGTAGAAGCGAATGCGTCTCATCAGTGGAAAGCGAGAGCGATGCAAGGTTCCCCGTTTGCTTCAACCTATCCGCAGAGGATGAAGAGGACGGGCCCGCATCTCGTAGACGTCCTAGGAAAACCCGCCTCGAGCAAATCGTCCTGGAAAAGCTTATTGACGATGACATGTTCGTACGGCGAGCTCTGGTCGTATTCGGAGTGGAGAAGAGAATATTAAGGTGGCAGGCAGGGGCGGGTGTAGAAATAACGTTCTCTCTACTTACCATGGAAGTCGGAAACAAATGCCAAGCGGGTGAATTATGATATCCAGCACCACAGTACTAGATCCTGGATCTCCTACCATATCCGATAGGTGGTCTCAATCCCGACATCACCATACACTGGCTACAATGAAAATAGATATAACATCCCAAATAATAACTATGAGACATGGACAGATAGTTTTGGAGGAGGTAGTTGTGCTAAGTATTCCTAGAAGACATATCAGAGAGGCAGCATTGTACAGAAAGGTTGGCTCACCCTCAGCCAACGCTCCCGCTGCTCCGGGACGTGGTCAAAGATGAAATAGCGCTTGTCACTCTGTGCGACATCATGAGTGCGAATAGATCATTACAAAGCCGCCCATTCTCACCTTCAAAACTTTCACCATCTCCTTTAGATCCACGTTTTTTGCCAATGCCTTCATATCCACCTGTTCCTCTTCCGCGTCCTCTCCAAGGTCATCCACTTTGATACCCCCGTCTACACCTTTTCCGCCGATCTTGCCCAGCCGGCCCCAGAACTCCACGAATGCGTTTTCTCCAAGCATCTGGTCAAATGCCAACCTGGCTTCTTGTGTTCGTTCTCTTTGCCACTTTGCGTACTCCTGTTCTAGCCGGTTGACATCATAACCCAACTTTGTCGCAGGCAGAGATGTAACAAGCGACGATACGGGTAGTTCGGTGAAAGTTGTCGCAAGGGAAGGAGAATGGGATGTATAGAGGGTGTGCAGGCTTGCTAAGTGTTTCGCGCGCAGGGAAGCGATATGTGAATGGAACAAGTGGAGCTGTTGATTCAATGGTAATGGTGAATTTACGAAACGAGGGTCGGTTCTTAGCTGCGGTAGAACACCGTCCCAAGTAACCTGGTTTCCCAAACAGTGTTCGATAATCAGTGATCAATTCACTCCTACGAGGCAATCATACCTGGGGATCCCGTATTGCATCAACAAGCATTGTTCTATATCCAAATATCGTAAGTGAGTGGCGCCTAGTGACTGTAGCGAGTTCAATAAAGAGACGCGGCGCACCTAAACTGCTGCTCATTCTCCTCCTTATTGAGCCCCATCCTAGAGCGGTCGATAGCAGCATCGACCTTGCTCCGCTCCGCCTTGACTTTCTCCTCGCGCTCTCTCACCGCACGTTCTTTCTTCTCTCGTCGTTTCCGCGTCCGTTCGTCACTGTCATCGTGATCGTCTTCAGCTTCACCAGGCTCTAGACTATCCCGCGATGTTTCAGGCTCATGCGCAATGGTCTCCGATATCTCACTACTGCCATGAGCTTTCATGAATGTATTAAATAGCTCCTCGCGCAACGACGAGGAGCCCACAGCATCATAGCGGGGATCATCAACTATTTTGCGTTTCACCTGAGAAACGTCAGCATAACAGCACGGGCATTATGCAGGTGCCTCGTACTTCTTTCCAGACAGCACCAGGTTTCGCGATATTGCTTTCCTTAAGCAATACAAAGAAGTCTACTTCAGCTTTTTGGGCCGCTGCACGTTTCTCTGGACAAGACCAAAGCGCATTCAGTTCGGGGATAGGAAACATACGTAGACATTGATGCCTACTTTCGCCCAGCTCCTTCAGATAGTCCCTGAACCGCTTTTCCCTTTCCCTCTCATCTCTCCCCCAGCCGTAAAATCGTCTGTCCTTCTTCCACTGCCTCCGCCATTCTGTCCAGCTCGTTCGTGTACTCTTTACTTCGTTCCTGAGAAGGCGTTCGAACTCTTCCTTAGGGTTAGCAGCGTCTTTGTCTCTCTTCACGTTGGACTGGCGCAACTCTCGAGCGCGGTCGCGACAATATTCGTCGAAAGCCTCTTTCCGTGCAGACACAGAGGGCAAGAGGACGTACCGCGGATCAGAGATGAAGAGGGGAAGAGATGTGTCCCACGGATAAAGAGGGTTGATATCTTTCTCTCGCAAGAGCGTCTAAGACAGCGTTGAGCCAATGTTTAAGAGTGACAGAGTCAAACGTACTTTGAATAACGCCTTTGCTTCATCTATGGAGAGGTCCACTCGATCAGGCATATTCAATTGTGGCTTGCCCTTGGCTTTCTCTGCCTCCTTCAATACCTTCTCCTCCTCCTCTTGTCTCCGCTTCTCCTCCTCTTGTCTTGTCTTTTCCTCTACTGCTTCAGCAGCGAGTTGTGCCGCTGCTTCTCTTTGCCAATCTTCTTCTTCGTCACTATCCTCGTCATCCTCGTCTTCGTCATCCTCCTCGTCTTCATCCTCCTCTACTTTTGCCTTTTTCGTGATTAGGACCTCCTCCATGGGCTCCACTTCCTCAGCCTTTCGCTTCCCGATCATCTCTTGTACTTCAGACTTGATCCTCTCCACTTCCCTTAACCGCTCTTCGTCTCCCCCGCGCGACGTTTCCTCACGGGCCTCTTTTTCATCTCGCTCACTCCTCGCGCGCTTCTCCCCTTCCTCTCGCTCCAACGTTGCAACAGCATCGCGTATCTCCTCCGGGACCGTCCAGACACTCTCCTTCTTTACCTTATGCGTGTAGAATGTATTGCCTTCGGTAGTCACCACACGCATCCAGTCCGTTCCTGGCACGGGTGTCTTGACGAGCGGTTTCTCCTTTTTCTTCTTCTGCGGTGGTGCAGCCGTGGAGGCGGCCATCTGGGGCAAAACTGGAAAAGCAGGTAACGGCCGCACATACGTGGATTCTTTCGTCAGGGCGTTGTAATAGTAAGTCTGTCCAGTGGGGCCTATAAGAAGTGGGATTTGATTAGTGCCGACGAACTATATGATGCCAAAAGCACTTACTGACGTGTTCAGTCCATCCCGGTGGAAGAGGCGGAGGTCCCATAGCCATAAACGGCGCAGACATTGTGTATGGGATGGAAGGACTAGGCCAGAGCGATAGGACGTGGATAAAGTTAAATTTGAGAACGCCTCCAAGCGAGACAGGTCGAAGGAAAGTGTGCACTGAGCAGCCACCGCCCCGACTTCAAGTTACAGCTCTGATCTCAACACGGGCGCTAAGTATCGATCACTTCCGACGTCGGGCGCTCGGCCCAAGGAAAGGAAACTATATCCATTGTCCCAAGGATGCAAAGCATTAATCGTACATGCGTGTCAATGCTATAGCTCATCATGCTCGCTAGCGCGGTGCAACTTTTTCACCGGATTCCCTTCCTCGTCGATTTCCTCCACATCCCAAAATAGTTGCTCTTCGTGCTGGAAAGGCGAGTCCGGCTGTCTCAAAGAGCCTGGAACGTAGTCAGGCCATTCAACGTCTAGGGGATCTTGAAGGTTCAATGGCTCTGAGTCCACAGGTGGTGCAGGCTTGACCGTGGTATCGGTTGGTGCTGTCTCAGAGACGCCCAATGAACGACGTAAAACGCGATCAATGATCGTAAAGAACCTGGGTGAGGATACTGCTGAGCTCCCTGGGAAGGAGACCGAACGAATGACTGCTTACTCGTTGGAATCGGGAACATTGAAACCAGAACGGACCAGTGCGCCGTCAATGAGGACAGATGCAACCTCCTTCAGCTCCTCCTCCGCTTCGAGATCTCTTCCTTCTTCTTCTGTAGGCAGCTGCTCTACCCGACGCAACAAACCTTGTATCAGCGGCGATCGAGGGTTGATCTCCATGATCCTTTGCTTCTTCGCAAATTCATGCATGGGGCTCTTAGGTCCGCTTTGAGATGCACCTGTATAAGGATATCAATTAGATCTGATGAAAGAAGGAATATGTAGCCTACTTACTCATCATCTTCTCAACATTTGCGGTATATCCCATCATATCAGCGACCACTGCACAAGAGCTAGTCACCAGCCGATTGGATATGATCACTATCAGCGAAATCAGACTTCGAAGATCACGCTGCGAGCGGAGCACACATATCCACCTACCGTCGCGGACGACTTCTTTAACCTCTTCCTTCAACCAGTCCAGCAGGGGCTTGTACTGTTCGGTTAAAGCCTTCTCCTCTTCTTTCTCCTCTTCAGGACTAACGTCTGCGTGTAATTGTCAACGCCTGTTCGACAATTCAAGGTATACTCTCACCCTCGTCACCGAATCTCAGACCGGCCTTAGCAACATCTTGGAAAGGCACCCTTCTAACCATGAAAAATGAGGTAACAGATCATACGCAATATACTGTTTACTTACTTGTGCATTCGAAGGTTTTGGACAAAAATCTCATCAAGTGGCTCAGTGAGGAGAAGGACCTCGTATCCGCGCGCATGAAGTTTCTCGATGAAGACACTCTTGGCTAGGATTTCGGGTTTACTACCCATGTCAGCAAGATAAAATATCTGTGTATCAAATGAAGACTTCAAGCATTGCGAGCGAATTCTCTCTTGCGTACCTGCTTCTGGCCTTTCTTCCTGTTCCCCAAGTACTGCAAGAAATTGGCTTCAGAGCTATCGAAATGCAGATAATGAATTACGTACTTCGTCCAAGGAAGTACTATTCCTCTGATTGGTCGCGAAGCGCGTCAGTCCGACGAGCTTCTCCCGATTCTTGGTATCTTCTACTGCACCAAGTTTGAACACGTTCCCGAACACCTTCTGCACCTGTTCCCACTTCTCAGAATCTTCCTCCGCTATGTGCGCGAGCATTTGAAGGATATGTTTGAGAATTATCGACCGAAGCTGCTTCAGAAACCGTGTTGATTGAAGCGTCTCTCGCGATACGTTCAGCGGGAGGTCCTCCGCTATATAATCCCATGATTAAACGCGGGCGCTGTAGTGAACATGTTCTGGTGAGCTTACCATCTACCACTACTTTGACCCAGTTCGCCCATTTTGGCAAAGCGTCCTCGCCCAGATCAGAAGTGATGAAGACGCGCTTGACCATTAAACGAATATCCCTCGAACTAGAGGTCAGGGGGTTTTGCCAATATGAATCATCTCTGCCAGTTCCCTCATGAGATTCCACCTTAGATAGTTGAAGGGTACAGACACTCACAAATGTGATGGCACATATATGATAGCTTTGAAGGATACTCCGGAGCCAGAATCACCGGAGAAGTGATGCCATGCGACGGGCTCCTCGTAATCTTTGAAAGTCGCTTGGTAGAAACTTTTGTATTCTTCTTCAGATACAGATTTCGGATCTCTGAAAATAGTTGCGGTAAGAAGATAAGTGAGTTCATCGATGATTTGGCATACCTCATCCAAATGGGCGGCTGAGAGTTCATGTGAATCCACTCCTCTACTGTAACGGACTTTGTCTCCGGTGCCTTCTCTTCCTCGGTGTCATCCGAAATATCCTCTATAATGGCTTCATCTTCATCAATATCTTCGATGGCTGCCTTAGGATCCTCCGAACTACTACGGTCCTCATCAATTGGTACCTGTTCTGTCCGCTGCGTATACAGATAAATTGGGAATGCAGACGAGAATGAGGAGTGCTTGTCGCTACCGGTACAAATTTATTAGTTAGAATTATCTCGACGCCGAAGGGAAACGTACACCAGTTCAGTGATCTTGTGAGGGTTGGTATATTCCACAGCATCCGGCTTCAAGACGAGAGTGATCTCAGTACCTCGTCCGAGAGTGCTCCCACGGGGATCCGAATATATCTCAAAAGAACTCTCATCTGCTCCAGAGCTAAAAACATATTGTACAGGCTCGGGGTTGTGCGCTGACTTAGCAGCGAGCGACGCGACGTAAACACGATTGGCGACCAGAAAGCTGAGCGGCATGAGGGTAAGTTGGAATGTAATGACCGATATCATAATTACCTGCTGTAGAAGCCAAGTCCAAACGCCCCAATCAAGTTGCCTGTACCAGTGGTATCCGTGCTTTCCGCCCTTGCCAAAAATTCTGTCGTCCCAGATTTCGCCAGAGTTCCCTGATACCAATGCGTCAGCTCGGTAATTTTTTCTTAAATTTTGGCACTTACGAGATTTGCAGTCAGTTCTTCAGGTGTCATCCCAATACCGGTGTCTACGTATCGCCGGAAGATTGGCGTTGGTCAGACCCCTGCAGACTGTCTGCTTACCTCGGATTATAATGCGACCATTCCCATCCTCGTCTGTATACGCCTTGATGGTCACGTTGAGGTCTTCTGCACCCGACAACACCTCCTTGTCCGTAAGCGAAGTCAGCCGGAGCTTCTCAAGGGCGTCATTAGCGTTCGAGATGAGCTCCCGAAGAAAGACATCTCTAATACGTAGAGTAAGCTTACAGCTGCTGAACACAATTATAAGAGCATATGCCTACCTGTGAGAATAGAGACTGACGATACGAGACAGCGTCAATATGCGGGGCGGTTGGATTGATGTGCAGACACTGTATACCTGTTGATAACAATCTTGCGGAGACGTGCCACATCACTCTAAACAAGAGGACTCTGTCAAATGAATCAGGCGTAGAGTTGACCTAGCCAACCTGGTAGTCGTGTTTCTCTTTAGGTACGCCAGCTGAATCCTGGGCGATGACACCCGAAGCTATGGCACTGACTGCAAGCAGCAGAGCGCGGAGGATCCGCATAGCTATAGTAGTGATACAAGTAGACCCAACCGAAGTGAACTCGGAATAAGTAGTATACGGACCAGGAGCATTCGCTGCTGTAGCGCGCGCCTGACGTGTTCGCAATAAATGACTGACGTGTCATTTCCCTCTATACGGTCACGGGAAACGACTGGTTTGTGACCTGTCGCGTCATGTCACGCCATCACGTGCTATTTGCTGTATAGATAAGCGCCCTCATCGGGGGATTTCATCGGGTCTAATTAGGCCTTTAGGACTCCGTAAGCGCTTACTCGAGACCCTTGCATGCTTGTTCCTCGCTCTCGCTTGACTCTTCAACACTGCAAAGTTAGCCAACTTTCCACTTTTGGTAAGGAAAGACGATACGATATTGACTCTTTCTTCGCAGGATTGTTAACAGAGTACAATCAATATACCCCCCGCTCTGTAACGAGACCTAGAGTTCCTCACACGCCTTGACGGCGAAGAATGTCTTCTTTCTCCCGACTTCAGTTGGCTGCTGCTCTAATTGGTAGGTTGATATATCAACTACTTTCTCAAGCAAAAGCTGATAGTACAGCACACTTCCTGTGTAGAGTATGACAATGATGATTCTAACCCTGACGCTCCTAAGAAGTCTGCGCACGACAGCGCCATTTTCGCTCCTTTGCGTCGGATGAATCCTCAGCGCCGTTCCACAGCCTCGAGAAAGAGTACGGACTATCTTGGAGTAGCCCTTCCCAGCGAGACGGGTAGCGTGGCAGCAAGGGACTCTGTGTTGGGTGGACGTGAATCAGTTTTTGGCGGTCGAGAGTCTATTCTAGATGGGCGTCGATCAAGAGGCTCTTCTGATGCTCTTCGGAATCCCTTCGCTCGCGACTCGACCTTCGAGGGCGCTCTAGATGAAGACGAGGAGGACATTGAGGTTGACTTGACTTCTTGGGGCTTGGATGCCCTTGTCACCGATGACAAGGACCACAAGGGTTCGCGCAGGAAGGCAAAGACTGATTCTTTACCAAATCCACATCCAATTGTTGCTCCGGTGCAGCAACCGGAGTTGCGAGCGGCACCTGGACGTCAAGGAATCACTCCCACTAGGACGATGAGTTTGGGGACCTTTGATAGCTTCGGCGAAGGGGGTGCGTTTTTGGAGGCTAGGTCTACTATGGGCCCACTTACCACTCGTCGTCATTCTGTTGGCGCTCCCCTCGAGCTTCCTCCTGCAAAACAACCCGTGCAAGAGCATCCACGTCGCGGTCGCACTGCGTCAGAACATGTACTTATAGAAAATATTCCAGTCACCCCTCCGCTTCATTCCATTCCGTTCCCTACAAGCGAGTCTGTTCGTTCCATATCACCTATGCCCAACTTAAATGATGGTGCATCTATCGCAAGACCATCCTCTCGTGGCTCAGAGGCCATGCTTAGATCTCGCGGACGTGCGTATTCTACAGCAAGTTTAGGTTCCCAGATGCTTCTCAACGAGCAGGAGTCTAATCCTTTTGCGATCCGAGCTCCTTCCCCTGATCGCGCGTCCAGGTTTGATCCAAAAGCCCGCGCGCGCACCACATCATACGGCTCGATGGGCAGTATGATGTTTCCGGATAATGCAGAGGAGACTAACCCCTTTGCCCTCCGGCCACCCTCTCCCAGCCGCTCCTCTCGCTTCGACCCCAAAGTGCGTGCGCGCACTATGTCGAATGGATCGTTAGGTACACAAATGATCCTTGACAATGACGTGCGTTCTGTGGATGATGGGGAGCAACGCCCTCGTTCCAGACTGTATTCCCGTCTCGAGCTCATGCGTCCTAAGGTATTAATCATGCCCAGCCCATTACAATCTGCCGCTCCTGCGGCGCCAAAGCAGACCATCGCCATGGAAGGATTCGAGTTACACGACGATGGGCGACCTCTTCCACCAGGTGCTCGTACGACGCGGAGATCGTCTACAACATTATCGATGCTCGACCCGTCGCCTGCTTTGATTGCCTCGAATTCGTTCACACCCAATCCCCGTGCGAGCTTGACGCTGTCGCAGCTGACCTTCCGCAACACACTTGCCGTAGATGGCGGGCGAGACCCTTCATATGCCGATATCGATAATGATCTTCGTAGAGCAACAGAAGAGGGGGAGCAAATCCTTCCTGAACCGGAGTCAGAACCATTGCCATCGACTCCTGCGCCTGCCATTGTCGTGGATCCCGCGGACCGCTCGAAACGACCTGCTGGTAAGCTGTATGGAAAGAGTCTTATCGACGACCTCGAAACTCGCAAGGCAGAGATGAAGAGCAAATCCCGGTAGGAGCTTTATTTTTCTGATTTATGTCCTGTGTGTTAAATCGTCTGCAGAGTATTCCGAGGTGATGATAGACCATCCATGATGGCGCGGACGTCGATCAAGCGATCAAGCACGCTGATTGACCCGGATTCGTTAAAGCAGCGCCCCCAATTACAGGGTTCGAATTCATTCCACTCGCAACCCAGTCTCTCCAAACGTGAATCGAAGACATTGGTCAATCTTGATGACGACATTCCTGGCGTTCGAAAAAGTCAGCATATCGGTCTAGACACTATGAACGCGGCAAACAAGAAATCTGTGTTTGGAGTCGACACACTATGGGAGCGGGAGCTCGCAAAGCTGCGAGAAATCGAGGAGCGGGAACGTATTGAAGCTGAAGAGGCAGCAAGCAGACAAGTGATTGAAGAGGAGAAGAAGGGCAAGGGCAAAGGCAAAGGCAAAAAGAAGAACAAGCACAAGAAGGCAACGGAAGAACCCGGTCTAGAAAGCATCACTCAGCCATCTGCATCGAATTTTGCATCCGAGTCTGCACTAGAACCACGCGCACCATCTCCTCCATACGTCCTCCCGGCGATCGAGCGAGCGACTCGACGGCACCCCCCTCCGCCCGCCGCAAACGGCGACACGGACGAGGAAAGCGATTCAGATGACCAACCACTTGCGGGTCATAGGCAGACAGTGGTGAAGGAAGTTGAGGCAAATGAATGGGGCTCATCTGACGAGGAAGGAGGACCCGTACGCACAACTGGTTCGGGACCGAGGTTTCCGAACGGTCGCAGTCGTGGTTCCTCTAATGCACCAAAATTGGTCACCAAGAACATCGACGATAGTAGCGAAGACGATCTCCCTCTGGTTGCAACTATCAGTCGTGCTGCTACTCGAATGACGCGAGCAGAGTTTTCACGCGAGGACACTGAATCCGACGAAGAGAAACCTCTTTCGACATTATTGGACAAGAGCACAATAAGACTCAATTCGGTCGGAGCTTTCGGGAGCAGCCTCTTCCCTGATACTCCCGAGCAAGCCGCTGATGAAGAGGACGACAAACCACTTGGTCTGCGTGTCTCTAGGGCCATGAACTTGACCCACGATCCGAGCTCTCTGAATCAAGATGTCGACGATGACAAACCGCTTGCATTCCATCCCGATCAGATGCGCCGAACACAGTACATGATGGCTCAACAACAACAACAGCAACAGATGATGATGCAAGCACAGGCTGCTCAGCTGCACCAATCCATGATTTTCGGTGCACCGTCCATGATGGGCTCAGGGTTCTTTGGTCCGCCAATACCCCCGCCGATGTTGATGCCACAGCTTCCAACGACGCCACCACCTCCGAACGATGCCGTAAAATTCGGACGTGTGGATAAATGGCGACATGATGTCGCGGTGGAGGAAGAGCAATAATTTTCTTAGATACAGGGATTCGTGTGCACATTTAGGTTGCATTTTCATTCGTTCAGGGACTTTTTGGCATACTCCATCAACTGTCCATCCGCATTTTACTACAACCACAATATAATAATCATGCAATAATGAAGCTACAACGACGCGCGTAGAATGTCCGGTTTCATCTACTCGAGAAGTACAAGCGACGTTGAGATAATCCTAGGTGCTATGGTATACCAGAAAGAACACAATCCAAAGTCACAATGGTAAGCATAGTTACAACAAGCAGTATGTGAGACGGTTATCCCCGGGCTTCCTCAGGGTTGGTTAGGAATAGCTTCCGCTTTGGTACGGTAACAATCGAGACATCTCGTCTACTCAACTCTTCCTCGATTCTACGCTGTCGCGTGTCCTCATCTTCGTCATCGTCGTCCTCCACGTCAGTAGTGCCATGTCCATGAGAAATGGAGGTTGGGTATTCGTCCAAACCGGCGGACATTGTGGTCCTAAACGGTGGATGATGATGTTGATACGGACTGCGGCCGTGTTCAGTCGGAAAGGGGACCTCAGATCCAACGGTGGATAAGGGGCGGGACGGAATCGGAGACGGGAGAGGTGTATCACCGCGCAGACGAGCTATTATCACCGAAAGGATGGATGTCTGTGGCCTGCCACGCCATGACATCGCGATAAGGCCAACATAGAAAATCGCCGTTATGACGAGGAAGACTATGAATGTCGCTCGAGGGGCGCGGTACCAGAGTGCAATCATGGAAAGAATACAAAGGCCAAGAAGGAAGGCGTGGAAGAGAATATGCAAGAAACTTTCGAAGGCATGAGGCATTTCCGGCCATGCAAGTGCATGAGGAGGAGTAGCGGACATCAAGCCGCTCGTGCTTGTCATGTCCATGGGGATCGTGCCAGGTGTGCTTGGTTCTACACCCCGGTGACTGATATTCCCGAGCGCATAGTCCATTTCTCCCTAGACACACGTGAACGTCGTCGATCAAATAAAAACTCGCACAAACACTCCTACTTACCACCGTATTCAAACTACGTCGACGCTCAAACCAAGTCAAATCGCCTAGGTTCCGTGGAGAGCCTGATGATCGAGGATCCGAGAACGCAGCTAAACTGTTGCCACTAGCACGACGTGTGCGAGTAGGGCGATTAGTTACCTCGAAAGAGCGATGAGAAGGCGCAGAAAGGACTGCAGTATCTACACCGCTTTCGCTGGAGCGGCGTCCCACCAGCCCTGCCCAAGAACGCACTCGCCGTCGAGGGTCGGGTGTCTGAGGGTCGGGGGACCTATCCATTGAGCGTCGAATGGGACTACTGATTCGACCAGAGAATAATCCCTCTTTCTCCGCGGTCTCGTTAGAGCTGAGCCTTGGCCGAGTGTCAGCTCTATCCTTGATCTCCTTAATACTGGAGCTAGGCCCTCTTCTGAAGAATACGTGGAGTACATATAGCAGGGGTACAAGTCCATACAAGCCTGCAAAAAGAGCCAGACCGGCCCTGCCATGCGATGTCGTCAAAATGGCCGACGACGACGCTGAGCGCTTTGTGATTGCTGACGTTTGTGTGGACGAGATTGAAGTGAAAGACGTGGCCAGGCCGGCGATACCTAGGCCGTATGCTGCCAGTCCCAAGGTAATAGAAAGGTAAACTAATATCGAAGGATTTCCCGTGAGCCGTACTGAATTGACGGAGGGCGACGCCAATCGCGAAAAAACGATGGCTGGCATGGCGACAATCAGGGCGACGGGAGAAAGAATCTTGTGAGTGGCCGACGTGTCATAAGTTGGTCCGGGTGCATTCGTGGAGGAGGTCGGCGGCGGTGTAGTAGTAGGGGATGGACCATTGGTCTGAGTGGCAGCGGGAATCAATGCGGACGCACACTGTGTCATATACTGGACGGTAACCCCTTCGCCAGAGGCGTTCACACCGCCGGCCAGCTGGCCGCTCCCATAACCGGACCACTTTTGATTATCCTGCGTCAAAGATGCGTCATATGCTCGTAAGATCCAGAGGTCAGAAAGATAGTTTCCACCAGCGTCGACGCCACCGAAGATGATTGAATCCGATGCCATATCACGGGGATAGCCCGCTAGCGTCTGCTTCCACGAAATTCCGACAGCACCTTCACGGGGGGACGGAAACGATGGGGTGCCGTCTGAGGATGAACCTGGATCGCCTGCTGGTAGAATCCGGGCCCAATCACCTAGCCAAAGTATGGTTGTATAAGAAGAATGCATCCTGCGAGTTCGATGGTGCTAACCTGTGTTGATATTTAAAACGTCCTATACCGCATGTTTTATCGACGTGAGATGATGGCCACGCGCTTAAAAGTATAGTGTACACACCACTTCGCCCTTGCTAAGTCCGTCTTGGTCTGACCATAACGTGCTGTTGAATAGACCTAGCACTACAAAGACTTGAGAATCGAAGTCGGTACCGCCGTCATAAGCATTGAAATTGGCTACCACTACTGGTCGTAGGCGAGGTGCAGGACAAGACATCGAACCTGCCACACTTGCTTCTTCGGTGTTAATTATATACGCTTCAGATTGGGCACAAGTAGTATTCGGTGTGACTTTATTAGTCGAAGAACATCCACCAACGGCTGCTACGATTTGCGTTGTTCCCTGTGACACAACGGCTCCAGCAGCACCTACTCGTGATGGAATGTTAGGTGTTGAAACGTGCACTTGCTCCCAGCTCGCGTATACGTCGTTAGGATTGTTGGATGACAGGAAGCCAGTGACATTGAGCTGCCATACCTCCGACAAAGGGTATACAGTAGAATCGTCGATTCCACCAACAACATAGAATGTGTTGTTTGGCCACGAAAGGGTGGGGTCCTGTATAACATTACTTCGAGCATCATTTCCACCTACCGCGTCAGATCGTGCCGACGGTCCTCCGGGAGATATATTCACGTTCGACCAGAACTGATTGACATAATCGAATTCCTAGAGGGAAGGTTAATGGTCCACTGACCTGCCTCATTTTTAGGACACTTACCCAAACGTCAGTGAGGGCTTGCCCATCCGACCCAACCCCGCCGATAACGATATGAGCAGTGCGACTTGAGAGCCTCAGCAGTATAAACGAGAAGAAACAGAAGGGTTTGCTCACTAGCTGGCGGCGACATCTTCACCACTGATGGCAGCACTTCGGGGTGGAGGCACAACATCAAGGCCAGGGGGCGATTGTGGGTTCGACCATGCTAATGAGTCCATATTTAGGCTGAATTGAGTTGTACATGAAAGTATAAGACGACAACAACAACATGATGTACGTGAAAACGCACAGGTACGTGGATGACTGTCTGATGCCTTGTGCCGATTCTCCACCAAAGATAATGAGGGTACGAGTAGTGTCATCGTAGCCGATGGACGCATCTCTGAGAGGAGGTGGGGCTGCAGAGCCTGTAAGGTAGGGCGTGAGGTTTATCCACTGCAGAGGCGGGATTGGGACGTTGGATTGAGGGGACTGGGCGCGAGTAGCAGATATTAAGATAAGCGAAAGCAGAATGCGAGAGACGAGAGCATTGCGATGCATTGAAGGCCAGACCATTTTCCAGGAGCGACAGGAATCAGGAAGGACGTGCTGCGCCCGCGCCCGCAACGAGAGGGAGGGTGGACGTCGAGGCCAACGACGAGGCGATTGTGTTCTAGTGTCAGTGACAGTTCCCACCGGGCTTCCAGGCCGGCGCTTTCACACACGCTGCCGCCACAATGTCTAGACGCCCGTTCACCTCTGACGGTTCATGATCAAGTTCGACTCTGCGACCGCTGCGAATATCTTCTCTGCACACGGACCACTAGTTCCAAGCCCCTCGTTGGCCTTCAATTACTCGGGTTACAGACAATGCATTTTGCGAGGCTAATGCTGTGCCAGCCCTCATTATTCAATACCAAGGACCGGATCCAGTTGCAGCTAAGTTCGTCACCGTCATAGTTCTGGATACCAGCTTGTAGCATTCGAATGATTCGCCCACCTCGGCGACACTCCAGTAGCGATGGGCAGCCAAAGGTGATCCGTCAGTTCATCGTCTCTCCTCCCTCCGATCGCGTCCCTTCGCGCACCATCTTGATATTTACAGCCTTTCAAACATTCTGTTCAGTACTTAGCACATCCATCACTTCCCGGCTGTGTAACCCAGCGGCAGCGGAGGACACATATCATTCCGCACGCTAAACGCGACCTCACATGCAACAATTATTCGCTGCTCTCGGAGATGGTGCATCCACGTAAGAGATATACTGATGTATCGCGTCAAGGATGTCCTTGAAGCAACAAACCGATCGTGACGTGGCGTAGCATATTGCGAGAAGTCGAACTCTCCAGGCTCATATCCTAGACAAATTGTCGGCTACTACGATACAGTGGGTGTATTGTTAACGTCCTTCACCACACGTAGCGTATACAAGATTTATACCCTGGAGGTAACATTCATACTGCGGTAAAACGACTATCAGCGGAGCGTATGCAAACATCTTTGGGCCTGCTATGAATTGGCTGACACTCGTCTCCCAGACTCTTTTCGCCAGTTCTGTGTCATCTAGCGGCACTGTGTCATCTAGCGGCAGCGGTTAGTTTGTTGTTTTTGTCGTGGAATGTCGAAACCTTCTAAGTGGATGAAATAGGATCCGGCCATAACGAATCACGACCATCAGCGCCTACTAGACATCTGGATATCACAGCAGTTGCGATTGTGACTGAAACTACATCTGGTCCTAGTGAAACTTAACACAATCAACATGCCATCATCGTGAAGAGAGTCTCGCCGCTAGCAAACCCGATTATCAAGGAACGTAACACCTTCGAGGATGATTGTTGGGCGCCCGAGGGCCAAGCCGAGGGACCCTCGATCGAGACAGATCTCACGAAGCGGTACGGAGGAGGTTCTGTTGTCCATATGCTTCTCTCGTGATTCGTGCAATGCTTGGTGCGCCGACCGCATGTCCTCCGTGCTACTTCTGAATTTTCCATGGTTTGTTGAGGACACGACATGCTCGTCATCAGCAGTTTCCAATAGTGACAAGGTGCTAACTTATCCTCGGAGCTCGTTGGTGTGGTAGTGTTTGCAGGACCCTCCTTAGCAACCCAAAGGCGTACGACCTTGGGCCACCCAGTTGTGCGCTCATCGGTTAAATCCACGCTGTGCTAGAAGGTGTGGCGTTATCCCAGTATGCGGACTTCGGAGAACAGCTCTGAAGATGATGGTCTCTGGCTTTGATTGAGGTTGACACATTGCGATCGATATCGGCGGTAAGCTTTTTTTAAGCTTGTAAATTAAATGCTACGACAAACATGTTCAGATGTGAGTTACAGACTGCGCCTATACATCATATTATCCTTGGCGCCGTAAATGTGGCTGATGACATGTACATATCAACAAGCTTGCCTAACTGCGATTCTTAAAGTTGTAGGTGAAATGAAAATTACAGCGCTCGCAAGACACCATAGGCATAAGAGGGTAATATTCTCCGCCACCCGGCAATATTTTGCCTACGAGTATGCCACAATCAGACCTGCCACATCAGGTAATGTCTCTCCCCACACTGGAGTCTCTACGTCGTCAATAAAATATACACAGGGATGCCAGCTTTCGCCGACTCATTTGTTGTGTTGAGAAACAGATTGTTCCGTTGGCAAGCTGATCCGGACGCCTTACAAGTACGGTACGTGGGAATGATCGGGTACAAGATATACGATAATGCGATGTAAAGGCGTCTACAAAGTCCCGGCAAGGAGTCACCACCGGGGTTCCAACCTTGGCTCTTCTTCCTGTCCCAAGATGATTAGAGTTTACCAAAAGTGAAGTTGATTACTCCAACATGATGCCACTACTAAGCATTCACAATTCTCCAGTCCATATTTCAAACGTGAATGGACTTCGGCCTGCTGGAGTCGGAGAATGTTAAGATGATGGCGGATTCCGTACCGCCGCCACACGATCGAGCGGGTGCGAGACTATCTCACTCTGTTGTAGACTAATACGTGTACCTCCCCCGCGGTATTTCCGTTACTTCTAGCCGTACGGTGTGCGTGGCTGAGATTGACAGACCGCCACTCCTTCGGCCCTGTCCTCAAGGGCGGTGCTGCGCGCATCGGTCGCAGATGGTACCGCATACTCAGGATAACTCCACAGATCGTACCACTCGTGGTAATGCCTTGAGGCTCGCAAGTATGAAGATACGATGCGGATGTCTTGAGCTCCGACGATATCTGTTTCTCCTTAACGTGAGGCCCACAGCGAATGTGTGGACGCAATGAATAATCTACGCAATCCATTGGTCGAAAATCGTCTGTGGCGCATTTATTCGTCACGCAGTCGTGGACCCTCAGGTGTACACAAACGAAAAGGCTCTTTCTCCGCATGCACCCGCCCATTTCGCGCCCCAGATACCCTCTAGGAGCCGATAGCTCTGCAGCGACCGCGGCATCGACATCATGGATCATCTGTTTCGCGCGCGTTCACGTGGGCTGGACTAAGATTCGTCTTTACCTCGACTGCTTACAAGCGTAGTTGGTTGCCATTCTCGTGCATCGCCGAGCACATCGACAACAGCGGAGGGCAAACGTCTCCAGACGCGATTGCCTGTACAGGAGTCAGGGTAGCTCTCTTGCGGACGCCCAGCACGATGCAGAGTATATATTCCAGCACCGCGATGCATTCAGGGCACTCAGCAAGATTCCTTCGATTCCAAGAGTTTTGCAAAGGACTCCAAGAATAGGCAAACCAACAGCAATGACGTCTTCTCCGTGAGTGTTACTGCTTCCCCAGATTATATACCATTTGCCGAATGCGGTGCCACACCTGGTCCGATACCGCGACTTCGATCTTCTGCCAATATTCACGCTAACGACTAACACTATGAACTGTCGTATTCGCCGTATGGATTAGCCCGCAAGAAGGACAATGGCTAAAGCTTGTAAGGCTGCTCCGACCATCCAGCAACTTTTTACAGAATCAATACATCTGCACGTTGACGAGCAACAGGCAGCAGCATGCAAGCTGTGGCTTTACCGGAACTACAGCTGTAATGCAGCAACATATCATGGAGGAGCATATGAAAAATCGGTGTGCCTCCCTTCTGCTCATATTCGCATGTTTATACTTACGCGCGCTGCGTAGTGGCTTCGTGTGTCCGTTATGTCTAGCGGCGTTTCCTCAACGGACTCATCTAGATGGACATCTCCATACCCAGTGCGTTACATCAGATGCCGTGTCCATCTAGTCCTGATACCTCCTTAGCGCGGGGCCATGCATCCACTGCGGACAAACCTTCAATGGATTCACGTCAAAGTACGGACATATGGTCCAGACCCACGGCTATGTCCCCAATTTTTGATATCAAGTATCAACGGCAACGGCCAGAATCACACAGGATATGTGAACTTATACTCAAGCTTTAATCAATTGTACAAGAGGGCCGCCTAATGTAACAAATTACCTCAAGCATCCTCGCACTCCTGAACGTTTTTTGTATTGACTTCTTATACCAGTATCAGTAGCGAACATGTATTAATGTAACACCTGTATCCATATCCGTTGACCAATATAGTATTCCACCCTCATCGTAGTGCTTGGAACATGAGGGAGAGTTGTGTGTTGAAAATCGAACGGTGATCTTAATGACTACTCGCCTCTGATTGCTTGCTCGGAACCCAGCCTCCTGATCAACTGGCGGGGACAATCTATCATCTTGAAGGATCAGCTGGCACGTAAGTATCGATAGAAGCAGAACGGAGTATTTGCGGAATGTGCCTCGACGCCATAAACATTCGCATGGTGCATTCAGCTGCCGCGAGTCGCCACGAGTCGTCTCAATGAATGCACGGAATAAGCAGTGAGCAGAACATCATTGAAAAATCCCCACCGACACGGATGAGTCCGTGATGGCAGGCTGCAGACCAGCCGTTTATCATGGCTATTACACAATCGAGAAGCAGATAGAATCCTTGCGTTGATCGACACTGACAAATTACGCGGACGCGTGCAGAGCCTTGTCTGCAATGGTGGCTAGGAACGCTGCAGCCCCGTGCCCAATCACGCTGTATTGTGGGGAAAGACTCGGGCCTCGTGTGCAAGAGGCTAGATCAGTTGCTCGGGGCGGCGCATCTGGCATGGTGTGAATATTAATCAAACCGGAGGTGGCCAACGACCTAACTTTGTCGGGGACGGGACCATTGTCGCGAGCGATGTTACCCGGCCGCCCTGGATTGATGTGCACGGATTGGATTTTGCGTTTGAGGAGAATGCAAGACAATCAGACGCTGTCTCGAACATCCGAGGTGACAATCGAGCACAGACGGATCCAGCGACATGACACCGGCCCGCGCAGGCGGAGTCTGACGGGAGCCGCCCGATATGGTGCGAGCGCCATATATGGCAGTCGGAGTTTGGATGCGGGGCGAACAATGTCGAGTATGGCGGCCGGCCGTGCTGGGCGGCAGCCTGCGAGATGCGCCTGTGGGTCCCGCTGCGGCCGGCCGCGACTTATTCAGCGCCGCGCTGCCCTCCGTAACGGCTATTTTCATTGATGGGCCCTGTTCCCGAACACACACGTCTCAGCCTGAGGCCTGGCGCTCGCCTCCATGATATATCTACTCCCGCGAAGTAGGTCCATGTTGCCAACGTCTGCACATCGCCCTCTCTGGGGACACCGGATCAGATCCTACAGGTGCGTCCTCTCTTCTTCTCCCAGCCGCATCATGTTGTGGACCCACTTACCTGTTTATAAAGGTCCGACGCCCTTCAACCTCCTTCAACCTCCCTTCACCTCCGTCTACTCGTTCTCGCTCCCGTTATTCCTCTACGTGTGCATCACAAATGTCCTCCATCCCCGTGTCTTCAGCTCCCACTTCCAGGACCGCAAGGTTAGTCCTGAATGCTACTGTGGCGCACACATGCATTCCATCCATGTCTCGCCAACTGCGAGTATAATATGGATCCAAACAATCCAACGAGCATTCGCAGAGCTCTTGCTGACAATATTCCATCACGCGACGCGCAATTGGACTGACGCCACAATGTTCTCCCTTAGTACCTCTGCCGCCACAGCGCGCGCGTCTCAGCACCACGCCCCGCAGGGACATGCGCAGTCGATTCCGGTCGATCGCCGAGTAGCTGCTCTCAGTTCGCGGCACACTCTGCCTTCCTACACAAACTCGGCCGCTCATGGCTCCTTGCGTCCAGTAGAGTGTTCTGGCCACAGACCTATTCCAATGTGCGGCATGTCCAATACGTCATCTGAAAAAGTTTTATATTGACTCTAACGCGGCCCAGGCGGTCCAGAAGCATGTCAGAACGGCTTCCCGGTATCAGAGAGCTCGACAGGCACGTAGTGATCCATCACCCATTTCCATCAACTTCATCCCCCTCCAGGCTGCCTTCGTTGGGGAAACAGCCGCAGCGTTCCCATGAAACGGGTCAACCGTCTCCATCTAATGTTCAGCCTCCGCTTTCCGTCTACGAGTCACCGACAGCGACGTACATGTGGCCTCGCTTCGATCCTGCATCGAAAGTTCCACAGGCGGACCGAGCCGTCATCTATGTTAAATATAAACCACCCCCGGCCGTTGTTTCTCCAACCTTCAGTGTACCCCCGAAAAGAGCAAGGCAAGAGTGAGTGACATGTTGATCCTCCGTTCCGATCTTTACTAAGCCTCATGTACGTAGGGATGACATTACGGCTGCCAGACCCGAAGCACGTTACTCCAGGAAGAGGAGCTCGTCCGCTGAGTCCGAGTAAGTCAAATAGTTACGGTGCTTTGTTCATTGACTGATGTTTTTACTATAGCCCATGCCCCGGTAGTCCTTCCGACAGACTACTGAAGCACCCAAGGTATGTCCTGTCGTGTCGTCCAAGCCGATCAGGTTCTAATATCTCGTTCTAGGTTCTCGCATTCGATACCACCTTCACGAGCCGCCGAAGTGTCACAAGACTATCACCCACTTGCGCGGCGGACGGAGAGCGACCTGCCTGTGGCGCTGAGAAGTTTAGACATTGATTCAGAAGGTACTGACGAAGACGTATATCCGCGCTCATATTCTTGTCACGCATCTCATCAACGATCGAGCGAATCTTCCCTCCCTCGCCCAAGCCACTCCCGCGTTTCTGATCTGAATGCTGCCGATGTAGTATCCGGAGAAGAATGGTTTAAGTTTGTTCACGCCCCAGAGTCTGCCAGCAGCTCCTCGCGGTATATCTGTTCGTGGCCTGTACAGGATAACTATGGTCATACAATGCAATGTGGCTATTCCTCTAAACGCCACTTGGTCAAGAGGCACATTGAATCTAAGCATCTGCAACTCAGGCGTGTAATTGCGGACTCGCTTGGTGACTGCATACTGACATGGAGGTTAACAGGCCATGTGTCTGCCATATCTGTGGGAAGGGCTTCTCTCAGAAAAGTAATCTTGAGACCCATCTAAATACTCAGTGAGTTTGCTTCAGTGTTTCGCTGTAGTCGTGCTGCTCTGACATGACTCTTAAACCAGTACCGGCGAGGCGCCCCACAAATGCCCGTATCCTGGATGCGAAGAGTTCTTCAAAGATCCTGCCCGGCGACACCGACACATGAAAGCAGTGCATCACCATGTTTCTTCGCGCAGCAAGAAAAATAGGAAGGACCTGGGTATGTCGTCCGCGGAAGGCACCGACGCTGAGGAGTAACACACTCGGGAGACTCCGCGTTCACGTTGAGCGCACATCCAAACTATTGGTCACTGGAATGTGGGGGCCGGTGCGCCCTGTGCGTCGCATATCCCACGGACTATGAGGCCGCTAGACTGAATGGGCTATCGCTTTCCCACTCGGTCGCGCGCGCGACCTTGATGGAGTCCACGAAGACTGCTTACACTCAAAATCTGTTCTGTCAGCCGACCCGGTTAGTCGGCATATACCCCCGTTGGCTCATCGCGTGTATGAGCAGCAGTTTCTTTGTTTTTCGTGATTGTCGGCTTGAGCTAGGAAACACGGAGGCTACCGTTTCATATTTCGCGTGTATATTACCACTCGCTGTGAGAGCGATTACATGTCCCTGATATACCCGTAATCAATGTAGACTAACGAGTGGCCTTGGTATGACCGGATGCCTACTAGAAGTGTGCCCTCCGGGCGTTGTCCGGGCAAGTGATCAAGTCGGCCCGAGGTGACAATTGGGGGCTGATGATGATTCGACGCTCGGCCGTCAACTTATTCCGGGTCGCCGAGTCGGCGTCGGTGGAGTCTAGACGACCTCACTTGGCCCTCACTGGCAGTATTCACTTACTTCAGGTTGCGGTTTCATTGATCTATCTAGTCTCGCAAATGGCAATGTCGACACAACAGCCACAGCTAGGCAGTCTCGCCGTGCAGGCACCGACTCTAGCACCCCGAACTGTCCATGTCTCCGTAACCACATGTCACAATCTCTCCTTATTCAAAGGTTCTTCTCCGTTTTCTGCCGTTAGAACCGTCTCGTCACTGACTCGCTGGGGACGTGATGTATTTGGTCTATGCATATAGATCTCCTGAGAGAGTACCGGAGACTGGACGATGCAATCACGATGCGCATTAACCGCACGAACGCCCAGTTCCGTGACCGGGACAGACAGGGTTTGGGAGGAAAGGGAAACATAGAGGAGCAAGCGTGCGCGCAGATGTGGAGAGAACTTGTCGGTGTGTGATATCTGTGTCAAATATGGAATGGCTGGGGCGCGCTCACGGGTCGCTTGTTCCCAATTGAAAAGCGAACTGGAAACGGCGGACGGAAATAGTGGAATATTGCGTTGGTGTCGTGGACCAATCAATGGACGAGAAGCGCAAGCAATTGCAACAAGAAGCAGGCGATCCGGCGACGCAGCGCCGGATACAGGGTACACTATTTGCAGAAGAGGTCAAGGTGCGTGTCGTGTGCAGGAACCGCACGACTCGTTCCGCTGACATTGCACTCAGCGAAATCAGGTTCACAACGAGCTGACAGTAGAGCGCATTGTGCGCCGCAGATCATTAGAGGGTGGGTAGCGGACCTCTTTTCAGCGGCGTTGACGAGCCCATAGATTCTCAAATGCAGCCTTCCAATCTCGGTGCAAATACTTCGAGCCCCCATTGACGGACGCAGACGCGCGTCGCTGGTGGGATGCGGCGCAGGCCGGCCAATAATAATTTGACATTTGCGGGCCGTCGTTGGTCAGGTGTCTAACCGGTACGATCCTCTTTCTGGTGAACAATACTTCGCTGTCGAGATTATGTCGTACCTGATCGTGGTGCCTTTCTGACTAGCGCTCGTATTTTTACATACTCAGCCAAGTAACCGCACACAGAGCAAGGAAGGGAGTGTAGCCTCTGAGGAACATATGGCTTGGTATGACACGCTGCATAATATTTGATTGGATAGAAAATCATTCTTCACGGCTGATGCGCGATGCGTTTAGCAGTGGGCGCAAGTGTCGTATATCGGGACATGCTGTCGAAGTCTACGTGCGGTCCGTTCGGGATTTAAGTATTGAATTAGATCGATCACGGTCGTTCATTGGACGGCGAAAGAATTGCACCCATATTTCTAACGTGAGGAGACATTGCATGGACCATCTTTGGACGACCAAATCTCTTATCGTCACGGGTGGACGTTTGGCTTCGAATTTATAGCGGACACCTACTTGATTTTGTCGACTGTGAAATAGGATTGTAGTAGCACCGTTTGTGTTTGCAGAAAATCCAATCGGATATCCCGAAGATACTCTACTTCAGCAAACAATTAAATGTTATTGCATACTGTCTATTGAGCCTTTGACCTCGGCTCAAATCATGCACGCACGAGTGCAACCGTGTAAGTTATTCAAACATCTATACATTATTTCCTGACATGTTGACACTGCTAATGCTACTGTTAAAATGAAATTTAAGTGCTCATGTTTCTCCCTGGTCTTTACTAGATTTCCGCTGCACTGGAGGGCAAAGACAGACAAATAATCTGGCGAGGACTGACGAAAGTTGATCGTCTGAGGCAGACGGATTTGGCTGATCTCGGTTAGTACGCATGCCGGATATGGCAATACGACCGATCGGCAAGTGGAAACATTGTCCCGTGCCGCTTGGAGCTTACAGAGGGAATGGCCGTGACATTGCGCAATTCGCAGTCGCATTCAAAACATTTCTGCCTCGTCTTGCGCTATGCCCTCCTTCCATTCTTCCACACAACTATGACCAACCTCTTACTTTCCCTCGTTGCGGTGTCTGCCTTTGCCTTCGGCAGCCTTGCCATTCCTAAGTCTCACAGCCCTTTGCTTGTCCAAACAGAACACGAGCTTGACTATGCAGACACGAAAGTCCCAGTGATACTGGGGGTGATGAGCCGTTGCCCCGACGCTTTGCTATGCGAGTCTGTATTCGATCACGTCTTGAAGAAAGTCATAGACAGGGTGGATCTATCACTATCATTTATTGGAGCGTAAGCCTAGCCGCACATGTTGCACGAGACATCGTCTTCATTCGTTTCATCAGTATCAATGCAACTGAACCAACCTTTGGTGTGACTTGCAAGCATGGTCCACTTGAATGTGCTGGTAACGTGCAGGAGCTCTGTGCACTGAAGTATGCGGATGCCACGCAGTTCTGGGAATTTCTTCAATGTCAAAACTATCAAGGCCGCGACAAGATTGGTCTAGCCGAGACCGCTTTGCAGTGCGCCAACACAGCAAAGATTGATTGGGAGGCCAGTGGAGTAGGCGCCTGCACTGGGCTAGACGGCAGCGGGACAGCTTCAGAGGGTGTCCAACTTCTACAGGAGAGTGTACGAGCCAGCCAAGAGCTGGGGATCAAGTGAGATTTGGCTTTGAATTTATGAAGCTGCACCATGACGTCTTATTATGCTTTCAGGAATAGTTGCACTGTTTTAATCAACGGCAAGCAGGTTTGCATTCACGATGGGACTTGGAAGCAGTGCGAGGTTCGTCAGACATGGAGTCACCACAATCCATTACTCACTTTGAAGTAGAACGGCCACACACCTCATGACTTCATCAAACAAATTAATGAAGAATATAACAGACTCAACGGTATCAACACAGACGACAGAGTTATCGTCTGAATGGCGGGGGCTGTGGTGTACAGTAGCGAACCGGCAGTCACGACTAATGTCCCAGAATGAGTTCATATACGATAATGACCAGATTCAGTCCAATGAGAGGTACTATTGTATACAGTCAGATATCGGCACCGTAATTGAGAAAATACTGCGTACTTCGCATAAGTGTCCGCACTGCACTGATGAGGTTAATGAGCCGCGCTTTCATGCTAATGTCCTGTCCTCCCTGATATCCTGCTGAGTCGTACGCAGGGCCATACGACTGGGAAAATCCTGCAGCTCCTGTTGGTGGCTGTACAGAAGACCAACCAACTAAACACGAGGTCAGTGGTTCAAGAACTTAAGCAGGGACGCGATAGCTGAGCACGTACTCCGTGCCAGGAAGCGATCCTCACTCAGTACGGCCATGGCGTTTATGAGGAGTATAGCAACATAGAGAATGGTTCCCAATGTCAACGCCATTTTTGCGAAGTTACACGCGCCTTCTGCGCCGAGTCGTGTTGGACGTTGTTAGAGGTGTGTTTGTCGTGGTGAAGTGCTCTGGACCATCGCAGTGCCCGCGTGTTGCAATAGACACGCTCTCGTGGGAAAATGAGTTTGCCCGCAACAGCGCGGTATACTTTGCTTGAAGCGCCCGTGCTACCGGTATAAGCATCTGTTTGGTGTGACGTTCACTCGCACAATCATGCAGACCATTCGCACAGGTCTGCGGAATGGTGCGTACCAAGCCGAGATTGTACGCAACTACTAAATTGACATTATCACAGGAGTCAGAACGACTGCCTTGTCACATCCACACCAGGTCGCGTCCAGTTCGCGGATCGTGCTTTGGGATGCCCGCCGCCAGTACGTGTCTCTGGCATCTACGGAAATTGAGGCCCCTGACATTTGTGTTCTATGTTACAGTGCTTCAGGACCATTAGGCTGGCTTCGCGATAGTCTAGCTATGTCTGTGCGCAAGAAGAATACAGAGGAAGAGGTTGCTGCGGCACGCAAAGCTGAAGCGGAGAAGGGCCAACTCAGCGTCTTCGAGTCCTTACCTGCTGCTTCTGGAGACGAAAAACTAGCTGGAGTTTCTGCTCAAACGTCAAAGAAGTATACAGAGGTCAGTTTTCCGACCACTTCGCGCCTGCTGCCGACTCTGAGCAGTATCTTGTGGGTCGTTGTGCAGCATAAGTATTCAACGGCCAACTTCAAGATCTCTCATCGCAAGCTGAACATGCTGGGCCGCCAAATTTCAGGGAAGCCAATTGACATGGCGATTCTACAAATGCAGTTTAGCGAGAAGCGAGCAAGTAAGCGCCTTAAGAGCATGCTGGCGGTGGCTAAGGACCATGCGACGAGGCTGAAAGGATTGCAAGAGAAACGGTTGGTCGTTGGTAAGCTCATCATCCCTTTTCATGCAAAGTTCGAGTGTTCACTCCGCTTCTCTTTTCGCAGCCGAAGCATGGGTGACCAAAGGGCCCAAGGTACTTAAACGCATTGAGCCGAAAGGCCGTGGCAGAATGGGAGTCCGCGAGCACCCAGATTCGCGACTGCATGTCATCCTTAGAGAGGGCAAGACTAGGGTCGAGCTGCTCGAAAAAGAGCGCGCGCGGAAGCTGAAGAGGATTATATCTGCTGGTATTACCCGGGAAGATGTTCCAATTCGAAACCCTGGCCCGTCTTGGGCATGGTAGCCTTTTAAGCATAGTCCGGCCGTATTCAAATTTCGTAACCCGTAGTTGCTTTGAATGTCGAGTTTGATGAAGTACAGTCCGCTTCTAATCGTCCAAAGTATCGCGCGTGGATTTGCACATTCTTATAGGTCTTCCTTTTGAATCTTGCACATATGACTCAGAATTGTGGAAGAGCAACAGTGACTGCTCGGAGGATATATCGTAGTGGACACGTACTGTTCTCAAAACAATGAAGTCATTCTTTAAAGTACTTCCCATATATAGGCAGTGTGATCGAAGTCGACACGTCTGCAGCTGCGCGCCAGACAACCTTACATCCACAACACCATGGTCCGCCTTTGGGGATGTCGTCTCCCTCTTCTCCTGCTGGGCACTCTCTTGCCGGCTATTGTCCTAGCCGACCACTCCTTTGAGAATACTGCTATTGTGCGAACGGTTGAACTCGGCGGGTCGCTCGTGCAGGTCACTACCACCTATGCCGTGAAAGCGCTTGAAGATGGCGCTCAGTTGTATAGGATAGCCCTTGGGGAACGAGAGCACCAGCGGACGAGCTGGCTTGAGGCTAAAATAAAGGGTCAATCGGCCATTCTAGCCCTGGAGGATGCAGGCTATGAGCCGGAGAGGTGCGTATGTTGTATGCGCTCCACCGTTCTTGGTACTGACGACGTGAAAGTGGCATGCACTTCTATTCTATTGAGCTTCCGAAGCCGTTGAACCTGAATGCGACGACTAATATCGTCGTTGAGACCGTCGAAACCCACGCAACGTATCCTTGGCCACGGGAGGCCTCGCAACAAGACCCTCAATCACTCAAGTACGAGTCGGACTTATTTATCCTTAGTCCGTATAAAACTTCCGTCGAGCGGATTAAATTCAGGTATGGCTACTTGATACTTGAAAGAGAGGAACCTAAATTTGATGTTATAGGTCACCCTCACCAGTTATCCATTCGTACACTACTCTGGAAGGTTTGGATGAGTACAACGTGGAGATTCCTGTGACGAAATCTGGTGCGACCATCACCTATGGCCCATACAACAACGTTCCAGCGTCAGCTACAAAAGACTTTGTGTCGCACAAACAGTACCCAATTGCCGTTCACTACAGTTATGATGGTCCTGTTCTTGAGGTCACAAAGCTGACTCGCGCGGCTGAGATTAGTCACTGGGGCGCGAACCTTAACATTGAAGATAACATCCATTTGCACAACGCTGGCCCAACGTGGGTAATTTTTCCCGGCACGCAGTGTTGATGCCTCGCTAAGGATACTTCTTTTCTAGTTTGAAGGGCCACTTCTCCCGCCTTGAGCATCAAGCAGCGAATTTCTATGGCCGTAATCCACCTCATGTGCTCCCTGGTCTGACGCTTCATCTCCCAAGCGGCATTCATTCTGCGTATTACTATGATTTGGTGGGAAATGTCTCTACTTCCCGTCTGCGCGAGGCTCCTTCTCTGCCGAATCGTGGGCAAGGGGGTTCATACAGTGTACTTGAACTCCGTCCACGGTATCCGATCATGGGAGGTTGGAATTATAGCTTTACGCTGGGGTGGGATTCTCCTTTGGAAGACTACGCAGGCTATGACAAAGCGACTGGGAAGTATGTCGTAGGCATTCCCCTCATGACATTTATACCAGGTGCAGTGGTTGATGAGGCAGAGATCAAGGTGGTTTTGCCTGAAGGAGCTATGTTAGTATCTCGATGAATCGGCCTTCTCGTCGCGCTTACCTGAATTTGATAGCGGCGTCGACTACATACCCCCTTTATCACCCGTGGAGAGCGAGGTTCACACACATGTCACATATCTTGACACTGTTGGACGGCCCGTGATTGTGCTTCGTTACAAACATCTTACACACAAACATGCTGGCACAATCTATGTGAGTTCTCCCGATGCATCCACTATCACCGGGCTCAATTTGATTCTTCTTGAAGGTCACATATGAGGTTCCATTTTCGGCCCACCTCAAAAAGCCGCTTGCTGTAGCGATTGCTTTTATGAGCCTCTTCGTACTGGGATTCGCTGTGAAACGTATGGACATTCGCATACAGAAGAAATAATCGCGTCCTACAGTAGCAATGCTGAAGAGGATCATACACTGGCCCCGGTTCCTTAAAACCGCTACAAATATGACTGCCTATTTTAAGTCGCGTCCGCATGGATGTAAATATGACAAGTAAGAATACCCTGGTACTATAATGTGACTAAGAGTAAGTGCTTAATGTTCAATTATTGTCCCGCTCGGGAGATACCCGCTGCTGACCCGCTCAGTGAGTCAATGATGCTGATGCGGCCGGCCGAAACTTGTTTAAGTGTTTTCCGATGCCCGATGTCGGACGAACATTGATCATGAAATAACAGCTAAAGCAAATTGATAGAGCAAGACTACGACTTGCGGTGTCGACGCCGAAGTAGTTCACCGATCTCGCCGTGAAGCCCGTGAGTTGTCAAATGTTGTGCGGCAAGGCATGGCTAGAAGTTGCGAGCGTTGCTGCATGGGCGACACGACAATGCCCCGCGTTTTACGTTGGATGGAGACAAGGTCCCGCAATTAGAATCGGAATTTTGGAATACCGAACGCGGACTCATTGTGCTTGAGTGATCTGATACAATGTTGGACACGGCACACCGGAAATGATCATGCGGTAAAGTCTGTCTCGTACCCAGTCCCAGGCTCCCAGCCGTCCACCCATCGTCCAATGCCCACATGAGCCTCGGCGGGATCTAATGTTGGGTAACCAGGCTCACTTGACAATAATTGCGTAGGATAGGATATAGGTAAATAGTTGTAAATATCGCGTTTGCGGCGCAGATGATGAGCGCGTGACATTATGAGGTTCCACTGAGCCGCAGCCTGAAACCGTGGTGTGGTTGTGAACAAGTGAATCAGTCCTTCCCCCTAAACTTCTTTGTACATATTGTATAACACTTCTGTTATCACTCCTCATGGATAAGTTTGTTGCCGTTACAAAGCCTTCCACGAGCCGCGCTCTTGGCGATCAGCTCCAGCAGCGCAAAACATATCGCTACAATCCATACAGTGCGCGAAAAGCCGACGAACAGAAGTTCGCGAACTGGAAGGATAAGAAGAGAACCGAGAAGTAGAAATACCGTACCATCTGATGCCGTGCTCCAATAATACAATCTCAATAGGATCCTAGCGCCATTGCTGAAGGAACCGGAAGCCAAGCCATCCTCCGCAAAGCTCACTAAACATCTCCTGAATACTTTACAGGATGAGTCTAATCCAATAACGCATTCGGATATTTACCATCGCTCGGGTTTGTCTACTTCAACGATGATACCAGCCTGCCCTACTCAGGATTGCAACACTGTACTTTTAGATTATGTTACTTCTGCTGCGACGGGACATCAACGTTCAGATCGTCGAGTTAACCAGAAGAGCTATTGGGAGGCGCGAACGGAAAAGCTTGCCCAGCAATTACCTCCGACGCCCTCCGACGCCACAGTTCTTTGCAATGTCCGCGTATACATCAACGGCTATCTCGAAGATACGACTGATATCGAGATGAAACGGATCGTCACACTTGCCGGAGGGCAAGTTATGTACGTCTAGCGTGCGCCGTGGTTCGAGAAGCCTGACAGTAACATTCAAAACCATGCTCAGGCACACGGCTTCAGGAGCAACACATATACTCACATCACAACAATTGAGTGCATCCAAGACACAAAAGTTGTTGACCACTCGCTCGAAGATCAAGGTGCATGTGGTGAAGCCTGAGTGGATAACAGACAGCATCAGTGCAGGAAAACGACTACCTGAACGCAAGTATGCTGTGATCAAAGATACAACAACAACGAGTCTCGCCGAGACGTTCAAGGCTGGGTCCACTGTACAAGATGCAACGTTGGGTTGAGTAGATTTATTGAGTATTTAATTTGTGACTCCATGGCGCCTGCTGTAGAAGTTATAGTTGTAATGATGTAGGCTCTACTAGCTGCAGCTGCTTGTTGTAAAGTAGAGAACCAACCAGTCTCATTGAAATTGAAATATAGAATTTGCGCAAGTAATACAGAGTCGTTTCGCAACGACTCCGACGTGACCTGATGAAGGCCACGCTGGCGCGTGATCCTTTTCATTATACGTGAAGGGGTCGAGCAAGTCACCAGCATTGCTAGTACGTGTATACTTAAGAGGTTGCCTTCACAGCTCTTGGCGTACTCATATGCGTCCTACAACTCGTCTTTGTAGTTTCCACTGCCATGTCAGCAGACATTGGGCATGCTCGAGACTTCGTGGAACTTCATGAGCAAGTGCAAGTACGTTTTCTCCTCCTGCTACTATTGCATTCGACTCAGCTTCGTATCGAATAGTCCAGCGTGAAACTCCTGGATTCACTGGAGAACTTCCTTTCAACGTTTCAGAAGGATCTGTCCGCGGTGTCCGGTCAAATCTCAACATTGCAGGACCGTAGCAAAGACATCGAGAATAGATTGAGAAGTCGGCGAGTAAGCGACAGCACCGTCCGTGTCTCTTTGGGTCTAATATCACATTCCAGAGAATAGAGAAGCCTCTTTCAAGCCTCCTGGAAGATCTCTCTATTTCACCTCAATTGGCCACGCTGATACTTGACACACCTGTCGATGAGGCATGGATACCTGCAACGGGCGAATTCGAGAGAAGGCTCAATGCTTTGAAAGTCAGGGTGAGAGTGAAGGCGGCAAGGGACCTGGCAGAGGTAGCAGAGGGCCTACGCATTGTGGTGAGCCATAAAGAGTTGTGATGAGTTCCACAAGTTTGATGCAATGGCGACGCAGGCCGCCACCAAACTTCGGTCTTTCTTTCTTGCCCTTCTGCAACCTATACGGACCAGCATGACAACAAACATGCAGGTTATTCAGACGTCTATTCTCCTAAAGTACAAGCCACTTTTCGGGTTTCTTCAACGGCAGGCGGCAAGCGTAGCCAACGAGGTGCAGAGGGCATATGTAGGCGCTGCGCGCACGTACTTCGAGACCGGATTCCGCAGGTATATACGAAGCCTCGGATACTTGAAGGTTCGTGCTTTCTGCGCATCTTCATATTGCCATTGATTAGTGTATTCCACAGACGCGGTCAGTGGAGAAAGCTGACACAATTGTTTCTGGTGCTGGCGAGTCTACCGAAATAGCAGAAGTGGCTATAGACCGGCTTGCGTTCGCTCAGATCAATGGGCCTGGGGTTGCTCTTACCTATATGGTCGATGACAAGTCACACGTAGGTGACATTCACACCAAGTTGATGCTTAGCGCAGTGTTCTTAGAGCTCTCTAGAAAGAACCAATCGAAGCATTGCTGCGATCGATGTTACTTGTTCTTATGGACAACGCAACGGCAGAGTATTCATTTATTACAACATTCTTCGCAACGGAGCCCCGTCCCCCCCATCTGCACTCGAAGCAACCTAGCGACTCTTTCCATTCTCCTACGTCTCTGCTGTCTCCATTAAATGGCGACTTCGACGATACTTATTCAAACCCAGGGTCTGATTCCAATTTCTCTCCTAGACAACGTGTGACCAGTATTGGGAGCGTACTCGGATTGTCAAACTCCGAAACATCGTTCAAGGAGGAGCAAACCACCCTCAACGCCATTTGGAAGCAGATTATGGACCCCACCCTTGACTACTGCCAAGTGAGATTTGTTGTATCAGGGCTACGAGCTGAATGATCTCCAATTTACTGAAATGATAGGCCTTCATGCGATCACTTCTCGACTCTCCTCCTCCAGTGGTGCCATTGCTGATTATGATCCGACTTATCGAGGATATAATGGCCGAGATACAGAAGCGCAATTGTAGTCCGCTCGAGACATTCGTCTTTTCGATCCGTATTCAGATGTGGCCCGTATTCCAAAAAGCTATGGCGGACCACATCGATTCATTGAAGAAATTGGCTGAAGGCGCAACCTCAGGTTACTTCCGCAGAAGTGCGACCATCACTGATGCAGTAGTTTCTAGTGTGCGTATTTATCCCCGTCAGACGCTGCAGTCTAGTTTATATTTTGATTGGTATAGATATGCCGTCGATATACAATAATGTTCAGCTCCTTCATCGCACTTACTGAGCAACCCGAAGAGACAATGATATTCTCGAAGTACGTGCGGAAGGTTAAATTATCTTTACCATAATTGACGTTCCTTCACATTAGCCTGTTACGCTTGCGCCAAGAGCTCTCTAAGCTCATCACTACGCATACGGACAAGATCACCGACATTACTGCTAGAGCCTCAGCGCAATCAGCGCTTTATGAAGTGTTGTTGAAGGGATTGAGCGTGAGTATGCGCATAATCCAGTATTATATTCGAGGCCGCTGAAACCTTGTTCCAGAAAAGCGCACGTCCGGCTAGTCATCCAAAAGCCCAAAGCGAAATTGCCTACTGGCGGGGGAGGGAAGAAGAGACACGACGCAGGATTGCCTCTACGAATCGACAGAGGTAGTGATAGTACGTATGATGTAATTGGGTATCAACGGGCTCCAAATAGACGACGGGAGAGAGACGAATTGATTGCTACAGAGGGTGTACTAAATGTAGTCGATGAATCGTCCTCATGCATATACAGTAAAAAGCGAGGGCAAAGAACCCGAAGAGACACTACGCTTTGTATGGCGGCGTCAGAGAGGGCATCCTAAAAACAGTCGAATTCATGGAATCATTACAAATTGTAATATGCATTTTCCACGTACCGTTGTTCGGGTTTCTGTAGACCAGGGAAGGAAGATTTGAGGTGTGAGGAACCATTTGGTTTCCCAATACCCAGCTTGTTGAGCACATCGCGGACTTCCCCCGGACCCGCAAGCTTGCTCCTCTGCGGCTTGGACCTCGTAGGGGCCAACCCGTGGTGGATATCAGGATACGCAAGAGTGGAAGCATGATCAAGCGTTGATATTGACGGCGCCTTGTTTGCGAGATTTGGATTGGAGATACTGCTACGACCTTCCAAAGCTTCTCTCAGATCAGTGACCCCCACGCCTCTCGTTGACCTTGGGAGACTCTGAAGGGAGATGTTTTCGATCTGCATCAAGGCTGGGGCTACTTTAATCAGGGGCGAGAGGCCATCTCGATGGAGAGATTCGTAGTTCTGGTTCGACTCTATAGCTATATGATAGCGTCAATGGGCAATATTGAAATGACTTCAAAATGGACCTACATTCTCGGAAAGCAGAATCCGCAGTCCAAGGAGCAGTCATACGGCGGATCAATGCATCCTGGTTTAATCCAACCGTATCCCTTACATTCTGGTGAGATGCTAGGCAAGTGCACAACTTGGCTGTCTGGAGCTCCAGCACAGCATTCGCATCCATACTAGATGAGGTGAAGGCCACTGCTTCATGTGTGGGATGGAAAGTGCCAGGTTGTACAGATAGCGGCTGCGGCAACACTAATGGTGACTTTGACAGTGCCTATATATAGTCGGCTTAAAAGCTGAGCTTCCCTGTAACCTGATCATGACGTACCTCTTGAACTTGTTCAACCACCTCATTACAACTCCAAACCTTTCCAAGTTCTGACCATGTCTTGGCATGTATATGCTGAATGGCAAGCACCAACTCTGAGGGTGGTGTGGTTGCGTCGTCTGGGCGACATGCATGATCCAAGGCGAGGAGCATGGGTACACCAACCAACAAGCCTCGGATAGGCAGGTGCTCATGCACTGCGGTAAGGATAGCAAGTATATTGCCATAGTCGGATAGTGTGGTTATACTTGGTGTGGAGTGCGAGAGTTTCTTAGGGACCTTCTGCATTGCACGCAAGATGAAAGATGTCTTGCACGAACGTGCAGGAAGTGGTCGACTAGCGTCGTATGACTGTTCGGGATCAAGATTTACGCTGCCGCCTTGAATGGTAGAACTATCCCCAGCAGAGACATGGTCCGGGGATGACGAACGCGTGGGATATATGTCCACTATTGATGAAGTTGCCAGTAGATAGACGTAGGCATGCAGCGCATGAAGGAAACGAGTCGTAGAGTCCCCTTGCATCATAGCCGTGATAGTATTCGACTGCTCCGTTGGGCCCTCTGCGAGAGTTCGAGGGTGCTTGGAGATAATCTTATCTGTATGGCTGCCCAGGATAGAGACCTCCGATTGTAGGTAAGAAACAAGCACAGCGGCGTAGTCCGCTCGCACGGCATAGTCACGATCACAAAGGAGGATGAGTGTATCTTGCCATACTTCCGGAGCGATTTTGGTGCGACGAGATGAGCGGACATGCACATCATGAATAGAAGGATTATTTGGGGACGGTAATTCAGGACTAGTACCAGAATTATGGATATCCCTGTCGGTACTAGAATCGACTTTGGCGTCATCGTGTGGATCAGCTGCATGCATGAGCCCCAAAAGGCTTGCCAACAGACACCGAATTGCCTGTGAGCGACTCTTGTCGGCATTACCTTTGGAACCTCCAGGAATTCCGCCGGATTCAACCATAACAATTCGACTAATGAGTTCGCCTGCTAGGTCCTGGATTTGATCCGCATAATAGACATGAGTGCCCAATGAGGCAATACATTCCACTAATGTTCCAAGTAGAGGATCATCAACATGGACGTTAATTCGGTGGAAAACAACCGATATGAGACTTGAGATCAGGTCGGAAGTAGACAGGTTGATCAAAGGAATTGGTGAAGTAAAGATGGTGGTCAACATGAGTGCTAGGGTGGTGAGCTGAGAGGTTGCTTGTGATGCATCTTGCCCAGTCACCAAACACTCGACCAAACGTGTGGGGACTGCGTAGCGATACTGGTACTGGGTCCACTGACAGGCTTTGGCTGCGAACCATCGGCATTGCTCAACTCTGTTCCATCCACCGGAGTCATCGAAGAACTCGAATGCGGCCGACATAATAACGCCAACCTGAGGCGCTGTCGAATGACCAAGTAAAGAGGATAGTGCATGAAGCGATGCGTTAACCACATCACTGGAAGACGGGCCTCTTTCCCCGTCGATATGAAGATGAATAGAAGCGGCCCGTCTTTCTAGCGCAGGTTTAGTGCGAAACTCATCCGTGAATGCAAATTTTGGTCCCTCCTTGATAACCCCAGCTCTGCAGGCGCATCAGATTCCTGCAATACAAGACATTATGGATACGTACTCATTCTTCAAGGTATCGACCTCGACTTCAGTGAATACTGTCAAGAGTGCAGGTATGATAGCGGAAACTTGTAGTTTAAAATGTGTGAATGAGTGATAAAGCGCTTCTGAATGCACAGCAGCTGTGAGGGTGGCTAGTCCAACGAGCCGCGTACTACGGGGGATTAGTGGAGGTTTTCGGTTACACTGGTGCAATAAACAGTCACCGATTTCGAACTTCTCTATCCTCAATCTTTTTCTTTCCCATTCCGGAGAAATGTTGCAGGCATGATACGTAGTTCTGGGTGACACCTCTATCTACCCCAATGAGTCGTCCGTCCGTATACGTTGCCCAGGCTGTGAACTGCACTATCCTGATGAAGATATAAGCAACCATGAAGCACCGCAAAAGACGCACCACAGTGGCTGCTCGCGCTGCAACTTCGAGGTCGGAAGAAAGTGTAGACAAGGTGATGCTCACTGCTGACAGTAGTGATGCTGTGAGTAGGGAAATGTCACGGCGACACTCAGCCGCCAGAGCCTTGAAGATATACAAGGTAATTAGGAGAGACCTGCATACGTCAAGATCATCAAGTCATGTCTACGAGCGGCGATGGAGTTACTCACGCGCGACACCGCGTATTTCCCTGCGCCTTACGGGAGTCCGTTTTGACTTTCCTCTCTAGTTCGTTTGTGAGTTTAGTAATTTTCCCGGGCCGATTGGAAGCATAGTATGTTAAACGGGAAAGCTCTTGTGAATTGGGAAGGTACTCTGGACCAGATGATACTAGAGCTGCGGACGAAGGATAGCATTCAGAGATGAGATGGATGTGATTAGGTGTGAATGGTAGATGCATTGGACCACGAGAACTATATTTTGAAGACAACGACTGGTAAAAGAGAGTGATACCAGAGACTAGAACTAGGGAAATAGGTTAGGAGGACGCAGGTGGCGTTCATGACCGAGGTCGTATCGTCACTCCGAGCCGAGGGGCGTTCCTTGATGGGGAGCACTCGGGGATATATTAGGCAGGTGTTTAGGTTCGAGGCAACGAGATTGTCTAACACAATTAACAGTGAACGGCCCATGACATGAATACAGTGGAAAGCATAATATAGCGAGTAATGTACAGTCCATCGTGAAATCAGTGATATAAATGGCTACAACACGAGAGCATTTTTCAAGGAATAACTATTTTCGGATATTGGTATGTAATGATCTGTAGGAAGGATCTCCTGGCCTGCATATTCGTCATCACTCTCGCTGCCCAGCGGAAATAGGCACTGACTCCAGTTGGAGTGAGAAGGGTCAAGAATGAAAGCCCTCATCAAAGCAGCAAGGTCGGGGCGGGTCATCTCCAGATGTCGAGTCCACCTCTTGCTAATCATCCAGCTGGCAACGCCGGAGGGCGGTAGAACAATACCCTCCTTGTAGGGACCAATGTGACGTTCTTTTCGACCAATCCCACGTTTGAGCTTCGTGCTCTTATCCACTTGCTCCTGGTCATCGAGCGTTGCGTAGAACCTCTGCAGCCTGAGGCTGCGCCATGGGAGACCACGAATAGTCAACACTTGCGTTTTGCGCCCATTGTCTCCAGTCACAGTCTCAGAAGTATCAGCCTCGTCGCAGGATTCCTCGGAAGACATGCATTCGTGTCGAAGAGCATTTTCGAAGACAGCGTTAGAAAATGGTTCCAACTTCTTCCGAGCCTCTGTACGATTAGTTAGCTTCTGATTGATGGCGTCAGGATCTGTAATATAATATTCTATGGTGTTACACACCAGCTTCTTTCTACCGAACCTTCTAGCTTTTCTGGCCTTTTGATCGTCTCTCTTCTTGCGTTGCAAAGCAACTGTGGCATCCTTTTGGGCTTTATACTTCTGCCTCAGCGTCGTGAAAGTCTGATCGAAAACGGCATCCAGCGTCTTCTTAGTGAAATCCTTGTCCGGGACATATGCGTACATGCCCCGACTGCTCATGATATCAGCAACAAGCCGTCTCTTCATAGCTCCGTTATGCGCGGATTGCTTGACTGTCTTCTCCCATACAAAACGTATAGGCTCTTCTACCGATAACGGTGTATCTTCAGCATGGCTGTCAGGAAGATCTTTATCGTTCTCAATTTCCATAGCCAAAAGGATATGCAGCCGCATGGCGTGCTAGGGGAAACCAATTTTAGTAGAGCAGTAGTCAGTTGGGTGACACTCTCACTTGGATTGTCAGACAGCGCCCATCATGTCCGTTCGCACGCTTTCGTGAATGTTCACCTACTAATGACTCAGAGTTATCGTCGTCACTGCTTTCATTACCATCCCTTTCACTGTACTGCAGTGGGATCCCTCGGTTGTATATAGTCGATGTAGTGGGCGGAGACATCGGCAGAGACTCGCGCGGTGTGCGTAATGTAGGAGAGGGTGCAAATGGACGTTGAATTTGTACGCTCGTGTGAGAGAGACTACGTTCGCGCAGAGAAGATGAAGGTTCCGAAGGGGATTCTTCGTCAAATGCAAACGTGTGGTCCTCAGTTGCGCGAGATTGTGTACGTGCCGGTGTCGGCTCTCTCATTTCCTCTATATTGGGAAAGGGAGTGGTAAGTGGTAAACGTGAGTGAGGCTCCAATACACGAGAGCTTGATTCTCCATGGTACGAGGGTGGATCCACATCGCGATGGTATACTAAACGCGGTGTAGGTTCAGAAGCAGGTGTTAAAGGAGTCATTGGCATTTGTATAGCCGGGCTCTCGCTCATAGTCGAATCTGAGTTTGTTTCCCGTATTGAACTTGTACCCGCGCTCGAAGCAGAAAGCCCGTGGTGCTCAACAGGCCCATAACCTCCCTCCGCTGATACAGCAGAGCGCGTCGAATCGACATGGGTAGATGGCTGCGTAATTGAGCCAACAAGGGACTTCAGCTCTAATAGTTCCCGTCGCATTTGATCCATCTGTTTTTCCATTTCTGCTTGCCTTCGAACGTACCGGTCTTCTTGTTCCCTTTCCCAGGCGACCCTCCGTTTCCGTTCATTTTCCGTAGCCTCCTTCGTCGCTGTAAGAACGCGAAGCAGTTCCTGTACTACGTTTGGAGGACGGGGCGCTGGTACACATGTTCTAAAACGTGGTCGAGAAGTTAATTAGCCAATACCCCGAATCTGCATAACTCACTGGGGTACTGGTGCTTCCTCCGGTGCTAGTACCGGTTCTGGGAGTGATGTTGGCGTGGGCCGCGGGGGCGGCTCTGCTATTGCGAGTTCGAGTTCGCTCCTGTGGGGGACGAACGCTGGACGTGCTCGTTCAACAAGTTGTGGAGAAACCTGAGGCTCGAGAAGCGGGAGGGAGGAGTAAGATTGTCTAGAGCGACGGGTGGTGACGATGTCCGGGTTAAGTGCATTGGAGAGCTCGCTCGACATAGCCCGCCATCCAGCGAGTCGGCGTGTGGGCGCGATAGATTCGGACTTAACTACCGTCTTACTGAAACCTGGCTCAGATCCACGTCGATTCCACGATCAAAAGCAGACGCGCCTAATTCGTCCACGTGACTGCACACTCTGCTCGACGCGTCAGCGAGACGAGAACGCGCCATCAGTCTCATCCACATTCTCTCTGCAGTCTCAATATTTTCTGTAAACAACAATGGAGACCGATTTTGAACAAATGCTTTCCCAGGTGAATGGTCGTACAGGAAGTCAGGAGCAGACGGTCCCCGACAAGTGTGTATAGCATCTTTGTTTTGTCCATTCGTAGTGTCTCAAGACATTCCCTGCAGCGGAGAAATCATTCACATATCCTCTCTCGCCCTATTGAAGGTTACCCACCTCAAATTCATATAACCCTTTTATCTAATCATTCTATTTGCTTCCGCAGATGCTCAAGCATGGACGCGCGGGTGTCCCGATGGAGGTCATGGGACTTATGCTTGGGGAGTTTGTAGACGAATACACTGTTCAAGTCATCGATGTATTCGCCATGCCGCAATCTGGGACGTCAGTCTCCGTTGAATCTGTTGACCATGTATTCCAGACCAAAATGCTGGAGATGCTGAAGCAGACAGGCAGGTCAGCTGGTCTCCTTACGCTCAGCATATGAAACAATCTGAGCCCCAGCAGGTCGGAGATGGTAGTTGGATGGTATCATTCGCACCCGGGATTCGGTTGTTGGCTGTCAAGTGTCGACATAAACACACAACAGGCAAGTTGGCATCTATTGTCCAGTCGCGCTCTTTGTTATCTAAACCTTTGCACAGTCCTTCGAACAACTGGATACTCGATCTGTTGCAGTTGTCATTGATCCTATCCAGTCCGTCAAGGGCAAGGTTGTTATCGACGCTTTCCGCCTCATCAATCCCGCGTCTGTTGTGCAGGGCCAAGAACCCCGACAAACAACGTCCAACATTGGGCACATTAACAAGCCGTCAATACAAGCCCTCATTCACGGACTGAATCGACACTACTACTCAATCGTCGTCAACTATCGCAAGTCGGACCTTGAGCAGTCGATGCTGATGAATTTGCACAAACGAAATTGGACGGAGGGATTAACGCTTCGGGACTTCAAGTCGCACAAAGAAGCTAACGAGAAAGCAATCAAGGTGCGATTATGACCCCATTATTTTTCATTCGGCTTTAACCTAACCGCTGGTGGCTATACGTTTTATGCAGTCCATGCTTGCCCTCTCGGGAGCTTATAATAAATCAGTACAAGAAGAGTCGACGTTGACCTCGGACCAGCTAAAGACACGGCATGTGGGCAAACAGGACCCAAAAAGACATCTAGAAGAACAGGTAGAGAAGGCCATGGGAGATCAGGTGGTACAGAATTTAGGCACCATGCTCCTTGCCGAGTTGTAAATATCACCCGCGGACTTTGTCGAAGCCGCGGTGGTATGTATATATTGCAATTTTTGTTCCATTCCATATGACGTCGTGTGAGCTGTGCTTTTGGCTCGTCAAGTTCTTCTGAACACGTCACTCTCAGCTGACCGGTGCTCTCAATTGCTAGCCCATGTGTTCCCGGTGTGCTGCTGGTTACAGCTTGCGAGAACTGTCACGAGGATAGCACACTGTTCAAGTTAACCGCGTTCGATTTACGGCTTCTCGACAACGACCCCGTGTTCAGAATCACGCCTAATGACTCTTACGAGCTGTATACGTTGAATACGATACCGTGAAGTTATCGAGAACCTCAACTCACTCGGCTTCGCATCCATTCTTTGAAACAAGGACGACAAGGTGACACGCATATATATGTTACGATCGTGCTCTGCCAATAATTAGCTATTCCAATTCCATGATTACAAAAAGGGGATGTGTACAGCATCTGTCTAGACGTCCGATTGTTCATGAGGAGCATCATCGTGATCATTCTGCGACGAGGTGGACGCAGGTTGGTTTTCTTCGTCAGATTCAGCTAGTGAATCAGGATCCACCGCGTCCAATGCACGGTAGGTGACCATGTCAAATTGCAAGGTACTCATGTCTTCCAGGGAAGACGGGGGGATGTGTTTGTCGTTGACTGCCCGCACGTTCAACACAAGGCGCGGACCCTTGTAGGATAATCAACCGAGCGAAGGCAGGAGAAAATGAAGGTCGATGAATTACCACTGAGCCCAATATCGCCAATAACCACCTGCGACCGGCGATGTATTTCAGTGCCACGCCGGGTACGACAGGAAAGACACTTACGGAAACCCTATTGCAGCCAAACTCCGGGGCGCGAGAGTAAATAAAATAGTGTTGATGGACATTGCGGCTATCCAGACCAGTCAGACAGATTTTCATATGTTCGCGAGAACGACTCACCGATAATTACTACAAATGCTAACATGCCGTCGCGAAAGAGCACCTTCAACAGCTCAACATTCCCCCACCCAGCGCGCCTGGCCTTGATATACCGGCCGACCGTCAGACCAAAAAGGAACGTTTCGTATAGGATGGACGTGGCGCTATATAAAGGCTAGACGTGAGATCGCCTCCCCCCTGCGTGTGGTTGGATCGTACCAATAGACCACCATCTCGACGGGGAGAAATGCCTCGACGCAGTCCGCGCTCGTCATGATGCGCGGGATGCTGAGGCCGAGACTTACGACCATGACAACGCATTGTACGGCAAATGGCACCAGCATGACCCACACCATATACTTGCTGCCGACATACATTGCATATACTAGGCGTCAAGCTGAACGTGAGGAGCGAGGATGGAAGTATCGGTGCTGCGTACATCTCAAGATGAGCATAAGCTCGACCGCTATTTCGAGCACGAACGCCGAAACCCCCTCGAAGACGATCCATTGTCGGCATGTCATCTTATAGATGCGCAGAACGCTGACGACTTCACGTTATATGACACGAAGAGAGAGAGAGAGATGCTGCCGCTCACATGAGTGCAATTAGGGAATAATAACGCGTAAAGAGATAGGGTAGCTTCGAGGGTGCCCATGGAGTCCTGGAGGAGCCATCGACGACTATCCACAACTAGGCTGCTCATGCTACTCACAGCCAGATATGCGTCACCTGCAATGGCGCTTCTAAGCGAGGCGCAAATTATGGAACTATGCATAAGCGTACCTCGAGATCGGTGGTGAGACAAATGTCCCACACGAGAAAGCACAAGGCTGCCACTGCGCGAGTCGATCAGAACTTAGTGGAGGTCCGCGCCCGCGCACTGGACTTACCCGAGCTTTCCATGGCGCGCACCGACTGCGCGGCCGTCATGTACTGGATCTTATCCACCGGCTGCATGCTCCATGCCTGGTGATTGTTCTCCATGGGGGGACACGACGGCGTTCAGGGAATGAGGGCGAGCAGTGTCATCGCAGCTGGATGTCAACGTCGAGAGATGGCGCGGTGCGGGTTTGCAGAACCCGTCAGGCATGCGGGGCGTGGCCGGACGCCAAACCGCCCCAGTGTTTCACTATGTCTGAGACAAGCGTCTCGAGTTTATTGGTTCAAGAGATGCCAAGGGCTGCGCACGATCCGAAGAATCTGAACACGCCAGCCGCGATACCGAGATCGCTGGGCTGTGGCACTCGTCCAGCCGCCATCAGCAATCACTGTGTGCCCGCGGGCCGCAGCTCGTACTACGCCGGGGCGTCTGGGAATAATTGAAGTGATCTTCAATGAGCACGGCAGCATATAGCAGCACCGCTCTGTATACACTCACCCTTGTGGGACATGCGATGGTTGCACTGGGGCATGCCCAGACAGAACCGCAGGTGGCAAAGTTCAGGTCGTCGCCTCAAGACTTCAAGTTGCACCGCTCGGATCGGCCGTGCGCTGATCGGCGGCCTGTGATGATAATAATGTCTCCTGATCAGTGATTGGGCTCTAACACAGCTGTGGTCTCGTCCCCAGACGTGTCGGTGTCTTCGACACGTCTGGGGACGAGACCACGAAGTTGGTACTTACATATAAACTGACGCGAGGGATTCAGAGGCCCACCGGGACCGAGCTTGCGGCGAGCAACAACTCGGCGCTCCGGATGCCCGTTATTTGTTGATGAATACTCGTACGATCTTCAATGAGCAAGGGCCTCAACGTCAACATACCCGGGCGAGAGACAGCCGTCTATAACATCGGCCCCTCTCAGTCAACGATAGCCGTTAGATTAAAGGCTGCGTGTGTTGCAAGGTATAAAAAATCGAGCTGCGGCCCGGTAATCTGTCTTTTCGCACATCCGTGTAATTTCGTGTCCAAACGTGTCGAGGACAGTAGCGATGAGTATCCTCGAGCGGTCACTCTCCCGTGCTAATCTAATAACCAATATTGAACGCATCATTAACCGATGCTTCATGGCTTCTTGGGGATTGCACTAGTGTCAGCATATATGCTCATGCGGATGTTTCGCACCGTGGTCAATTGACTTGGACTTCGCACAGCTGGCTGCTATCTACTCTCTTCCTTAGTTATTGGTGACCAAAACGGCACGCCGCTGCTCAATGATTTTGAGATGCCTACTTACAGACTCCTCCGCAGCAAGGACCCTATGATAAGCAAGAATCGCGTGCCGAGTCTGGTATAGCACGACGTTACTTTTAAGTTTCAATGAAGCTAGTGCTGCATCGCGGATGGGTCGGATGACTGGTTGCCAAACTCACGCCTAGTCGGAGGAGACATATCAAAGTCCACCGTCACGGTCTCGTGCAAAATAAAATGAAGATGCGTATGTGGGCCATAGCCCCGGGACTCATCACGGGGTATCTGAGGGCTTCGGAATGTCGCAACCCTGAGCGAGTGCACGACCCCATCAAGCCTCGACCGCGATGCAAATGTATAGAATGAGGCGAGGCCGTTCGCGGATTCGCGAGAAGGTGCCACGTATCATCGAAACTGGCCTTAGTCGCTACAAGAACACCGAATTGCCTATGGAATGTGAGCGCGTGACATTTGCATTGATCTCAGCAGAACGTCTGTGCCATTCACTTGAGTGGGTTCCAAGATGGGCCTGACGTACGTCACGTAGCTGATTAGACGCGGGCGAAAGTTAGCTCGGATGTACACACTGAGACGAGCACAAAATTATATCCATTCGTGTACGGTGAAGGGCATGAGCATACGGGGCGCAAGTCACAACGCGAGGGCGATTTCTTGCTACTAGTATATCCCGTGCTCGTTGATCAGATTCAGCGGACGCTTGCTGAGCACAGGGATGATACCCATCATTTTTGCACGGCGGATCGCCTTGCCCAATCGGCGCTGGGTCTTCCACGTGAGCTGGGTCTCCGCGCGACTCCGGATTTTGCCCATCTCCGTCACAAAGTTGGAGAGCAGCGACGAGTTTGTGCATTCGTGGAGAGGGTTTATTTCGAGCTGGTGGAAGTAGTCGAGCTCGCGCGACTCTTTGGCGTTGGGGCCGAGTAAGGATCGTGCTGCGCGGCGCTGTGTCTTTGTGCGCTCCTTGCGGCTGTACTGGTACGGACTGAGCAACTGGAGAAGGATGTCAGGAAATGGGACAAATTCAGATACGACGAGAACACGAACACGGCCAGACCTGAAGCCCCTCAGGTCCGGAGCGTCGGACACGAGGTTGGTGTCGATGCTATCTGTTCGGCAAATGAGTGTTGGATCATGGATGGACGAGGGTTCGAAGATTGTCACCATAGTCATAGGTGAATGCCGGCCTTGAGCCCGACTGCAGCTCCGACTGCAGGGCATCGCCCGCAGAGCGGAACATGTCGGTGACTTCGCCAAAGGAGGAGGCGGGAGGGTTGCCAGGAGGAGCGGAAGACGAGTTTTGTCGTACGGCGGTGGCGGGGGCGAGCGGACTGGGCCAGCCACGTCGGGCGTGGCGGACGGCGGAGCGGATGGAGCCGGAAATGGACGACAACATGGACAGGGACTGAACGCTGTGCACGACGGATATCTGGGAATGGGGTAGCACGAATTCGAAGAGGGGCAGCTGACCCGGGACGGTGCGTGGGACGGAGGGCTAGGGGTCAGCGCAGACGGCGAAGCGAGAAATACAGACCGGGCACAGGACGGGTGGGAACGACCCCGGACAGTGCAGCGGCGGGCCCTGCAGATGCAGATACAGGCGTCGGCGGCGTCGGCGGCGAGACAGGGCGCAGGCGTCGCGTGAGGGAGACTCGGGGCCGGGCGAGGGAGGATAAGCAGAATTGCCAGAAAAGGCATGCGTGTGAAATGGACCGTCGAGGCCAGCGGTTGCGTGCAGGGCGTTGGTCCGTCCCTCCACTTGGTCGACAAGTCGTCGCCATCCTCGTCCCCCCCCGCCCTTCCCGTATGTCGCCCTGAATTCTCCCCATCTCCCCGCCCTCTCCTCTCCCCCGGATCATCCCATCGCCTCCACCTGACCTGCCTTCCCCCGGTAGCATAATATCGCAGTGTCTCGTCGTCAGTCCCAGTCTGGCTCGACCCCCGTCCTCGTGCCAGGAGCTCTATGTCCTCCGATTCCATCCAACCTCGCCGCCAGCCCCCCAGCCCCCTCGTCTTTTCCCCGGAGACAGTACTCCCTCCCATCCTCTCGCAGTCCCACTCAAGTGGCAGCAACCATGTTTCCGCTAGCGTCCACAGCTCGGGTTCGAATACCGTCTCCATGCCTTTCGTAAGACGCCATGTCACCCGTCGTCTCAAAGCTGCAAAGGCCGAATGCGACAAGGAGCTCCAGCGTGTCACCAACTCTGTCACCGCCTTCTTCGAAGAGCGTCTCCGTGAGGGCGACCACGAAGCAGAATTAGAGCGCGAACTGCGCGAGCAAGGTCGGGACCGCGAGCGTGGGCGAGATCGTGATGCTCGACCTGAGCCCCTCCGTGAACCTTTTGTATTCCAACCTGCTGAGCTGAGATCGGCCCTCCAGTTCGACGAGGTTAGCTCAGATGGTGGCTACGAGGCGGAGCCAGAGGGCAACTTCCACAGTCGACAACGTGCGTCTCTCGATGAGGATACTTGGATTCAACATCCGCTGACGGCTGGGCCTCCGTCGCCCGGATTTCTAACAGCATCTGTATCTTCAACTAGCCCCGCTTCTCTACGGAGGCATTCTACTCTACCGAGGGAGAGGGCGTTTAATCCCATCCCTTCCTCGAGTACCGGTGCCTCCAGTCCCGCCCTGAGCGCCGCCACTTCTCCCACCCCGCCCCCAGAGGTCATCAGTCCGCGTAAGCAGAGCGCTGCAAACCAGTCAAGAGAGTGGAGTGGACAGACCCTTGCCAACCGTCGACTGTCACGCACCATACACATTCCGGCCCGTCCAACACGTTCGAGCGCAAGTTCCCGGTCTACCTCCCGTTCACGGTCTCCCCTCCCACGTTCAAGCCATCCAGATCAGTCTGGCTCGAATAATCGTCGTTCTTCCCGCATTCTAGTGGACGACCCCGTCGATCCCATCATGACTACGCTATACGAGATCATTGGCGTTGCCACTGATGTACAGGAGATGTCTCTGAACCAACTCACCGCACAACCAAAGGTGTGTGAGCAGCTGGTGCAACGGGTACAGAACATTGGCAAGGCGTGGGACGAGCACCCAGATTGGCACGGCCGCAATTGGTATGTGCAGGTATTGCTTGCCATTGCCAGTCTCAGCCGTGTCGTCGAGTGGTGGGAGGCAGAGAAACAGTTTTGGAACTTTGACGACAACGATGAGCAAGAAGACCCGCTTACATTTGTCCTGAAACCAGCAGATGAAGATCCCGCTGCGCCTACACCATCAGTTCGACCGGAACAAGAGGGTGGGGGGTCGTTGAGGTTGGCGCAAGAGGAGGAGAGTAGATTGCGAATGTCACGTACATCAAGTCATGGTCGTCGGACAAGGGACGAAATTCCTCGCGAGTTATCTATGACAACAGCACCGAAGGATCAAGATCATCTAAAGTTGCAGTCCAAGTTTTCTGATAACGCAGAGTCTGCGCGGGTTCTGGCTACTGAGCGGTTGCGACTGCAAGCGGAAACTGCGCAGAATCGAAATATCGTCATGGAGCTCAGCATGGATGGTGACCATTTCATTTGGATTAACTACGCTTGGCGCAATGTCATAGGGTGCGTCTTGAATCTGCTTGCATTCCAAAGAACCTACCCTTATTGATTTTGATTCAGGACTGACCCAGAAGAGTTGATTGCAACTCGAGTATCGAGACTGCTTGCCCCTTCGGACTGGCACGTCTTCCGCGACGCGACGCGACGTCTGCAGGAAAATGTGTCTCGTATGGTGGAAGTCAGATTCAAGCTCAAGGTTCCCGACTCTGAGGCAGATTCGTCGTCTTTCAGAAACTTATACCAGCAGATGGAGGGTAGCGGGATGCTTATGGTTGACAGAGAAGATGGGATACCCACTCACACGATGTGGGTCGTTAAACCCTCCGGGACGCCGGAATATCTACAAGCTCCTCCCTCGATCTTGCTGGAAGCTGGCGATGTCGGCGACGAACCCGCAACCGCGGAGGCGACGCAAGTTGGCTTCGGCGATAGAGGAGCGATGGAGCCGGTGACCCCGTTCCCATTCGCAAGACCGATCAGTACTTCGCCGATTCTCTGCAGGATTTGCGAGTGCACGGTTCCTCAGTGGTATTTCGAGAAGCACAATGAGACTTGCGCAGAGACTCATCGACTGGAGGCGGAGGTCGGCGAGTGCAATGAGTCGATCGCAGAGCTGCGCACCACCATCCGCGACTTGCGAGCTGCCATGGATCGTTCATCACCCATGACCATTCCGGAGTACCGCGGAATGCCTATTTTCTCACCCTCGTCGTCACCCGGCACATCGTCGCCTCTTCAACTTCTTCGCGCACCTATCAAGAAGATGAACGTAAAGAACAGACAGCGGGAGGTCCTGGCGCAGTTAGACAACATCCTGCTGCGCGCTGGCGAAGTCGCCATCCCATCTTTGAAAGAAGAAGAGTCTGAGGTGCCCATTGAACGTCAGCGCCTGCTGCCGCCTGAGTCTGAGGCTTGCATGTCTGAGGTACGACGGTGGTTCAAGCCGGCGATCGAAGACGCAGCGCTTACCCAGCTGCTCGAGGACGCAGAGCGTGTAATGCGCCAGAAGATTGACAACGTGGTGCGCATGCAAAATACCATTCGGTATTCGGAGAAGATCAGGCAGGAGTGGGAGGAGAAGGTCGCGCAGACGCTCGCGCATATGGAAGATGTAGACGAGGACGATGAGGAGGATGGAGGCGAGGACGACGATCAGGATGGCCAGTCGAGCAATACCTCAGAGTATGCTTTCAATGGCCAAACTTCCTCGCCCGACCCCACACCCGTGGCCTCTTCCTCTCCAATACCCTTCACTGGCCGGCGAGATAGAAGTATGAGTGGTCCTCATTCGTCTACTTCCAGCTTGCCCCTCGTAGTCCCGGCTGCCCCCGTTCCTGCTTACCCCCCTACTTTCCAGACAAGATCTTCAACCCCGTCTTCAATATCTTCGCCTCTTGCATTAGCCGTCCCTATCGTGGCTTCCAATGCCGCAATGGGCTTCCCTCCCCCGATGGACCTGAACGAAGGTATTAGTCATAACACGATCAGACCACGTCCTTCATTGGGTACCCTCGAACCTAGGTTGCTCATTACTCCCCCGCTTTCCCCGTTGGTATCGCCTGAGGATGCGTCTACTCAGCGTCGGGCTGGCAGACGGCGGCATTCTACCGCCCAGCCTATACTCAGTCCGACGAACTCTGTGTCTGGTATACCCCTTTCTCCGCGCCTCCCTTCTGTTGCGCCATTGTCCAGAACGACACCTACGTCGATCAAGGACTTCGAGATCATTAAGCCGATCTCGAAAGGTGCTTTCGGTTCAGTCTTTCTTGCAAAGAAAAAGGCGACTGGAGATTACTTTGCAATAAAGGTGCTGAAGAAGGCTGACATGATCGCCAAGAATCAGATCACCAACGTCAAGGCTGAGCGGATGATTCTGATGAAACAGGCAGAGTCGCCTTTTGTCGCGAAGCTCTATTTTACATTCCAAAGCAAGGAAAATTTGTATTTAGTAATGGAGTACCTCAATGGTGGTGATTGTGCTGCACTCATCAAGTCTCTTGGCTGTTTGCCGGAAGAGTGGACGCGCAATTATGTCGCCGAGGTCGTTCTTGGTTTGGAATATCTGCATCAACGTGGAATTGTGCATCGGTGCGTCCACTCCATTTTTCGCGCATGGTTATGTCTGATTGTGCGAGTGTTCGTTCAGTGATCTTAAGCCGGATAATCTACTCATTGACCAGCATGGACATCTCAAACTTACAGATTTTGGACTTAGTAGGATTGGTCTCTTGGGCCGGCAGACGCGCGAGGGTCAACTATCCTTTGATCGAGGGCTGCGGACACGCTCAAGACATAGTCCTGGATCTAGGCCCCCGTCGATCGACTCTGCCTACATGTCCCCATCTCCAATGTTCGCAGCAGACATCCACCTCGGAGGTTCGTACTTCACCCAGAGGACACAATCGATTCCTCGGATAGGATCGTCGCCTTATCTGTCGCTTTCAGATGATATCAGTGAGTCTAGCGGTTCGGAATCACTGCAGGGGTCGGGACTGTATCCCCTACGACGGACCGCTAGCAAGAGCCAGTACAATGATAGTCCCCTACAGTCATTTGCTACCGAGCTGACTACTGACCTACGGTCACATCCAACTCCTGGGGGGACTCCTCCTGGCGAACAGAAGGTAGTTGGCACGCCTGATTACCTGGCACCAGAGACTATCCTTGGTCTTCGTGGCGACGATGCTGTGGTCGACTGGGTTTGTACCTTTTATTTTCGGGTTGCTCTTGGGCTAACTGTCGTGCCCTATAGTGGGCGCTTGGCGTCATCACGTATGAGTTCTTATACGGAATTCCACCGTTCCACGATGATACGCCGGAGAAAGTGTTTGAAAACATTCTCTCTGGGCATGTCGAGTGGCACGAAGCGCTAATGGAAATCTCGCCAGAGGGCAAAGACTTCATGCAGCGGCTCATGACTTTGGATCCAGCCCAGCGACTCGGTGCCAATGGCGCTGAGGAGGTCAAAGCTCATCCTTTCCTCGCCGGGATCGATTGGGACAAAGTGACCACCACTGAGGCAGCTTTCATCCCTCAGGTGACGGATCCCGAGTCAACTGATTATTTCGACCCAAGAGGCGCCGTGTTGCAACTGTTCCACGACGACGATCAGCAGGCATTGACAGGGCAAATCGTTTCTGAAAGCCCTCCCGTGCGTACTACGGCCCTCGATCCGACTTTGGCCTCCGCTCCTGCTGTTCCTGCGAACAACAACGACACGGCAAACTCTCCTGCTGACGACGAGTTCGGTACATTCAGCTTCAAGAACTTGCCTGTTTTGAAGCAGGCGAACGATGAGGTCATCCGCAAGATGAAGTCCGATCAGATGGTGCCTTTGGCTCAAACACTATCTGAGCCAGCAAATCTCCATGCCCGCAGGAAGAGCGTTTCCGCTCGGGTCAGCGTAAAGAAGCCAGCGAATGTCACCATTTCCACCGATAGTAGCAGCAAGTCTTCATCTACGAATCCGCCCTCGCCCGCAACGTCGACATCGTCGATTTCGTCGTCAATGTCTCGTGGTCCTCCTACCCCTGGTAGTGCTAGCGGCCACGCCCGAAAGCCGTCGGATTTCGCTGCTGTTGAGCGATTCAAGCACCATTTAGAGGGCGACGTTGTGCGTCGGAACTCAATGCCGAGCCGTCTGCGGACGGCCTCCCTATCGACTAACGGAGAGTGTCCTGCGTCGGACCCGTGGCTGCCTGCTAGCCAGTTGATGACCAACTTCGAGATAAACACGCCATCTTCGATCTCGTCTATTGACCTGAAGCGGGCACCCGATCCTGCTGATCGCGCGGTAACGTGCCTGTTGGCCGAAGATAATCCCATCACGGCCAAGATTATTGAGACGCTGCTTATTCGCCTTGGATGTCGATGCGTCGTCGTCGCGGATGGCTCTGAGGCTATCAGTGTCGCGATGGGCGATATCAGTGAGTACTCGCTTGGTGCTGTTACTGGACCGACGTGAACATAACACACTTCCAGAATTTGATTGCATTTTGATGGACCTTCACATGCCTATACGTGAGTGTTGCTTTTGGGTTGGGGATCACGCATTGACAAGAATGGAATTGTAGTCGACGGTGAGGGTGCTGCTCGGTATATCAGGAACTCTGGCAACAAGAACTCGAACACTCCCATTCTTGCTGTCAGCGCCTATAGCGCGTCAGACGCAGTTGATGGCAGCAACAGCTTGTTCGCGGCCCACATCTCGAAACCTGTCCAAAAGGCAGATCTGTTGGCTGCTATGCGGCAGCTTGGTTTCAAAACATCCACCGTTCAAGGACATGGACGTGGGCAAACCGCAAAACTGACTGCTGCACGATAACATTTATGACTTACGATTTCATTCGTTTCACTTTCCATTTGTCCCTAGCGTTCCTCTGCTTCTCGGTTCCACTGTTCATGACATGGCCGCATCACACCCATTATTCTGACGTACTCTCACTATCATCATGCATCTCATCGGCATCGCTCTGCATTATCACATATCTCTGCATATCGGTTTCCGTCGCATTGTAAGCTTTAAGTTAGAGCTACTTGTGTCATTAAATATCAGGCATAGCCTTGCTTCTCGTTCTCATTCTATGATGTGTGCAATGCGTGAATCTACCGACGTCTACCCGTGTTGGGAAGTGAGCATGCATCCTGTGCCGGGCTGTGCGTTTCTCGGGCCCAGCATGCGTGCCGCCGAGCAACCTGAGCGCCTCAGTGCACCGCACCTCACATTGAGCGCTGTCGTATATATCTGGCGTCGGCAACTCTCGCATTGTGGTCGTAGTCTGTAATCAATGGGTGAGAAGACTTCTTTTCCCTGGTCTTCACCCTGGCGTAACCTGTCGTGCCAAACAAGAACCCATACTCAGGAGTTTCCCTCCGGGACCCGCCCACCTTAGCTCTCGCCTGGATGGCATATCATCAGAACGAACAATCTGACTTTCCGATGCTTCCAGCATCCCACGGGGGATACATATGGGCGGACCGCCCCGATCTGTATAGTGGCCTTGGTGGTATGTGGAATCTCGGTCGTATCTTGTATGCCAGTTCGGTCTGACGCCGTACATCATTCTAATAGTGATACGGGAGAGCTCACCTCCCCATACAGACCACCACGGACCAGAGACCGAGATGGAGGACTTGCCTATCCCACCGTTTCCGGAACCAGCGGCACCTGGGTTGTATCATCCTAGGATGGCGCCGACCCCGCCTACACCGCATGCTTACTTTCCACCTCGCTCGTCGACTCACAGCAGCCGCCATCACTCTAGTAGCGTTCCGGCTCTCCCGTCTAGGGCAGTCGCACCTGGGCCAGCGGGTGTACCTCCGTACATTCAGTCAGGTCCAGAGGATTACTTCTCCCAGCGATTGCCATTTCCTGAGCCAATAATAGGCCCTAAATTACGCCATGCGTACTCTGCTCCTCTGCCCCCTCCTCTACCTCACAAGCCTTCTTTCCGCTCACCCCCAGTTCCCTCCAAGCCGCCCAACGCGCGGCAACCTAGTTTCGTCCCCCCTTTGCCGCCTTATTGTGCCAGAAATGGTGTGAATCATCTCAACGCGTCTAGGCGGTCTCCCAGGCCAGACTTGCCGCCCAAACCAGCCGATGAAGACGAAGAGTTGAGACGAGCATTGGAGTTGTCTTTGCAGGAATCGAAAGCACAACAACTCAAGGCAAGAGCCGAGCATGAGCAGCTCTCGAGAGCCCTGCAAGAATCGCTCGCAATAGCAGGAGATGAAGTGCGGAATCCTCCGGTGTCCGACCTTCGACATCGGCATAGCACACTCGATTTGCATAATCGGCATCGTTCTCAGGTTCTTGACGCGACGCCCGCAGCGCGTGGTCATTCGGCTGCGAAGGCTTCACCCGCCGTGCCTCCGCCAGTGCATCCTTACATTGCATCAGCCAAAGTCCCAGATCTCCCTTTTGCCTCGAAAATTAGTCCAGCTGATTCAGAAGTTGTTTTCCCGCACCGCGGTAATCACAGCAGTCAAAGATCTGCCACTGTATCCGCACCTCCCACCACGTCTGCACCAACTTCCAATGCTAATGCATCGCAATCTGCGCCGGATGCGACACTCAGGGCTCCAACCTCGTTTGAACGGAGCATATCGGCGGGTCCTGCCTTTCCCTCGCAAGACAACGGCTCGACGCATGCGCATAGGAGCCCGCGGTGTCCACCGGAGGAACTTGAAGATCAGCGACAACATCCACAGAGGCACATTGAGACTCCCAGTGGTCCAGCGGCTGATGGTGACCAACCCATTGCCCTGCCAGCAGAAGCCAGCGAAGCCGGCTCGCCGCGCATACCAGAAGAATTGCTCCAAGGCGTTGGTAAGCTACCCGTCTCTATTAGCATTAGTGCGCGTTTCTCACAGTCTGCTTGTACTGTGCAGCGATGGGTTTTGGCGCAGCACCAATAAGTGCATCGCGTGAGCCAATGAAGGGTACGGTTCCCAATCTGATCTCGCTGCCGTATAAGAAGCACAAACCTTTCTACATCCGAGGCCTAAACTGGCGGACGCTTTTGAAACTCATGGCGAGGATGAGTGCGGCGCGTGTTGAGCCGTCGATAGAAGCCATCGCAAAAGTCAAATCAGAGATGCGCCTGCGCGTAGTCGTGTCATTTGTCAAGGTGTGTTATTATGCTCAGATGTCATAAGCTCCATCATTGAGCTTGATCGTACGTACTGCAGGTGCATAGTAAATCGCCGGATTGGAACACCATTTTGTATATGACAATTGACCGCCCCGTTCCCGTCACCCAAGCCGCGTGGAAATATCGCAGCGGGGATGCGAATACTCTCCCCTGGTCGTACACGCTGTCGTCGCCACTTCCGATGCTACGAGATGGCGCAGATACCCCGCTGTCCAGATACTATACCATTCCTAACACCCCTGGCAATTTATACCCAATACTGCCCATTGGATTCCCTGACCTCGCGGCATATCTTGCCACAGCACTCGATGTTTCTAGGAATGGTGCCTACGATACAGCCTTTTATCCTGGCCTGCGGCGGCTCGGAAAAATAGTCGACTCATTGTATCCCGAAGACAGCAGCGGGATGAATGACGAAGACAAGCCGGGCATGAGGCAGAAGATGAAGAACCTTGTAGGCCTGGGCAAGTCCTCGAGAGACCGAAACGCCGAAACGTACGACCTTGTCACCCCTTTCGTGCCGGACGACTATGGGCGGTGACGCGGTCTACCGGCAGACGAGGTGGCAGCGTGCAGGCTATCATTACTGCGCGCGGATGTGATTGCTTCCATGTCTCACGTTCGCGAGGCTTTCTATGGCATTGTCGATTTGTAGGCACTGAGAGAGTGCACTCTGGTGATTTTTGGTCGACTTCGTCCCTGTATTTTGACCTGTAAAGTAGCTAGCATTGTTCACCTGTCCAATAGCCTATCTGGAGCGACGTGTTTGCACTCGAAGCGCCCGCTTGAATTTAGGGGAAGCGGCAGCATTGCTGCGGTGATCTTATCAGATAACGAAGCCTGTCGCAGCCGCCGGATTAGATAAGAGGGGATATGTCGACCAATCTGCTCCTGCTGGATCTAACACACCCCGCACATATTTAACGGTCACCGTCCATGCCTCCACCAGCCAGATCCCTCCCATTAGCGACCCTCTCCCACATCCAATGAGCAGCAGTCTCCGCAAGCTCAAAGCATACATGACGGGCGGCGTATCTGACCCCGCGACCGGCCTCCAGGCCGCGTCCATTCCCGTCTCGGAGGCCGACTGCAGAAATTGCGCCAATCCTTGCGACCAAGGTGCGTACGAAAGCCGCGTTTTTGTACCCTGTTGACCGTGTCTAGGGCATGATGAATATCCATCAAGGTTTGACGTAGATATGGAGACACAAATGCTCGGTTCCGTGAAGCCTTACGCTCGGCAGGTGCGTGTTCAGTCTGGTAGTTCTCCGCGCTTCTTCCTCTAATCCGGTGCCGCCTTAAGCTGGTCATATCCACAGGAAAGTCGGACTGGGAGAAAGAGGTAACCGATGCACAGGGCACTCTTGCGGCATACCTCAGCGGTGCTCGAGGAGAGCGCCCTCCCAAGTCCAAGTCCAAACGAGCGGGATTGCAGGATGAAGCTGGGGGCGCGGTTGCGGTTCCCGGTGTCTACAACTCCTCTGACGCTTCGAAAGTCACGCTTTTGAACGGGAGCCATAACAGCATCAGCGAGGACCCGATGCACGACACCGTCTTCGTGTTCCCCGACTACAAGGTTGTCACAGAGGTCCCTCGGAGTGAAACCGGTGCGAAGCAGCTGTGGAAGTCTATCGGAAGCAACGGGGCCCCGCCAGAGAGCGGCGAGCTGAAGACATGGGTGCTACCTTATTCCTGTGTGATCATGCTTTGTGAGTGCAATCTTGCGCCACTTGGTGCCGGGTTCGGTGCCGGACTGATTCGCATTTACCAGGCTCGCACAAGCGGAGAGACAACCGCTGTGCCATCGCCGCGCCCAAACTTGAGCATAGTGCGTGCGGTGGTATTTTGTCGCCTCGTGTTACTCTAATTGTGCTGCTTCTAGGTCTCACCCTCGCTCTAGAGCGCGAAGGCTGGGAGGTGCACACCCAGCTGGAGGACCCCGCGCTATCAGGCACGCCGCTGGAAGAGCTCTCCGGCACGGATGAAGACAAGCAGGCCGAGATCCTTCGACGGCTCAAGAACGTGTACGCGGAACATGCCGATCAAAAGCGTGCGCTCATCATCCGTAACTCGCACATGGGGGGACACAAGTTCGCAGGAAACATAATTGTGAGTTATCCATGTGCGACGCATCTATGCGCGTACACTGCTGACAACTTCATAGATCAACATGCCTCAGGGAGCATCGGTCTGGTACGGACGCGTGACGCCGCATGAAGTAGATGCCATCGTCAAAGAGACAGTTGTCGGCGGAAAGATTCTCCCACCTCTCCTTCGTGGGGGTCTCAATCTCGTTCGCCCAGGGCACACGAGTCTCCACGATTGGTAAATTCGGGGCAAAAATGCCTTTCACTCTGCCACATCAACTTCCTGGTAATCTTATGCCATTTCGTGGAAATTGGATGTATTGAGGATCTCGTAGTACACATTAAATAGGTTAACGGTAAGGTACATGCTGAAGCCCGTATACATATCAATATAGTTCCAATGAAGGACAGCCAAAGGGAAAAGACAATGCACATTATCTAATCCAGTATGCATCTGGGACCCAATGTTCAGCGAGCCGTGATGAAAATGTAATGGAGACATGGCGGCAGCACAACAATGAAGGACATGGGGGGAATTAAATGACATGAGACGGATCATGATGCGGGAAGTCACGCAGTAAAGGTGGCCCATATCGTATGACACGGTAGCGTGGCTTGGTCGATAGATTAAAGTTTGAACCTGAAGCACGGATGGAGGTGTACAATTGTGCAGAACGCGAGTTCGATAAATAGCGATAGATGTAGGCGGGGCCGTGAGTGCGTGTGGCGATGATGTTAATGCAGTTCCGAAGGCTGGGGTCGAGGGGTCGATCATACATGCAGATCTGCGTCGAAGTCGTCAACATGATTGCCGTTTCTGCGTGCGTATCGTCCCGCAGGAGCCTCATCGAGCTCATCGTCCGTCCCAGGCTCGTCTATCTCGCCCTGTGCTACCGCATCCTCCTCTGGCTCATATCCTGCTAGGACACCTGCTGCGGCAGGCATCACCGACTCGCCATGGTATGTGAATCCACGGAAGTTTTCCTGTACGCTGTTTGTGAGCGGACTACTGGCAGGTTCTTGTTTTTTCTTCTTTCCAACAATTTCTATGCCTGCGGGTGGAGGCGCTACTGGACGATCGCTCCCAAGCGGACCATTAGGCGTGTGTAACGAGCCAACAGTTGCACTTTGCGTGAGTGCAACCCAGTCCTCGGATGGATCCTCCTCGTCAAGATCCACGATCCCCTCAATACCAGCGTCTCGTACATCCGCCGTCGTGAACTCTGGATCGAAGTTGGCGACCGACTCGTCCGACTCTACTGCTGGCTTGAAGGGTGGTGTGACCTGTTTGAGTGACAGCGCCTTCCAATCTATGCTCTTGAAATACAAATGCTCCTTAAGTTCTTCCGCATCTCGCTGCGCGCCGAGCCTATGCTTCGGATTCCTGTTGAGAAGCTGCACACAATCAGCTGTTCAAAAAACACAGACGTGATTGAAAGACAATTACTCACTGCCTTGACGAATTGTTTCCCGTCTTCACAAATTACACCCTTAGGGAACCTGATCTTGCCAAAACAGATGTTCTTATACATTTGCTGGGTATCTTCTGCATAGAAGGGACTCCAACCGCAGCACATTTCGAACAGTAAAACTCCCAGACTCCAAAAGTCGACCAGCTTGGAGTACCCATGCTCATCCAAAAGGACTTCTGGCGCAAGATATTCCGTCGTGCCGCAAAAGGTATTTGTCAGCTGGTCCGATCGAAGGTCGGGCTTTGAGAGCCCGAAATCGCAAAGTGCGACATGACCCGTTGCGTCTAACAATATATTTTCTGGCTTGAGATCCCTACCATGGACGTCACACACGAGGCGCACATCACGGAAGTCAAAAACGTACCGATATACGATGTCATACTTATGTAGATGCTCCAACGCCAGGATCAACTCCGCGATATAGAATCGTGCTCGATCTTCGCTGAACCGCGTCTCTCTCTGTAAATGCCAAAACAACTCTCCGCCACTCTTAAAGTCCGTAACGAGATAAAGATCTGCGTCTGTTTGGAAGCTAAATTTGAGACCAACGAGAAAAGGAGAATCAAGTGAGCGCTGAAGGATCTTGCGTTCGCCAATAGTATGTGCGACTTCTTTCTTTTCAATGATCTCGCGCTTGGAAAGGACTTTCATCGCATATATGCGTTTAGTATCCCTTTTCCGCACTTGGAAGACACGCCCGAATGTACCACGTCCAATGAGCTTGAGGAACTCGAAGTCGCGAGGAGTTAGTGCGCGCTTGGTCTGCAAGCGTGTATAGGTGCGAGCGGAGCCGAGGACACGGAGTGGGGTCAGTGACGTTACGAGGAAGAGTCACATGCGCGTACCTTGTATGCTTCGAAGGTGATCTGAACGCGCATTTCCCCAGTCACGGGCTCGTTCTCGAACGGACGCAGCCTGGAGGGCGGGGACGCGCATACGCGGGGGAGTAGAAAGGGTGTGGGAGGAGGAACCGTCAGCCATCACGACTGCGACCGAGCGAGCGAGAAATGCGGGGGATGCGGGTAAAGCAAGGCGGCGCACTTACTTGTACCATTGATCTACGGTGTGGTCGTGCGCGAGCACAGGTTTGATTTGTATTGTGCCAAGGAACCCAGGGTCGCTCGCCGACCGGTCGTAGACATTGAGTGTAATGACAGATAGGTCCGATGTAACATCGCTAAGGTAGTCAGCACATGTGTGCATTGAGGCGCAACACGCGTAAAGAAAATACTCACAAGGACACCTCGTGCTTCCACACCGGGTTCGTTGCCGATATTCGGGAACCAAACAACCCGGTGGCTAGCGCGCTGGTCTTGAGTGAGCTGTTGTTGGACGAGGAGGGAGACCCAGACTGGCTGCCTCTGGCACTGCTATTGCGGCCAGTAGCGGTAGCTTTGTTCAATGCGCCAAGGGCGGATAGGGCATTGGACGAAGAGTTGCGTGAAAGATTAGTCGCGATGCCTTTGACCTCCTTGTCGGTCTCATCAGTTGGGTCACGGCTGACGAACTCGTTCTGTTCGAATTGCACGACGACGTAAGGGCGCGAGGCGGAGGAGCGGACGTTCAGGCCGCGAGCTTGAATGAGTTTGACGTGGATCTGGCCTTTGGATGGCCCTGATGCTGTCAGCGCTGCGGTCTGTTGGACTGAGACATTGGTACCAGCGGATAGAGACGAGGATGCGGAAGATGAGGGCGATGGCTTGGCGGATGGCTGGCGACTCGTGCCAGGGTGTTTGGGCGGCGGAGGCTGCTGCATGTTAAAGACAGGCGCATGAAGCGAGAGACTGGTGGTGGGCAAGGCAGCGGGAAAAGCGCTGCCAGGAGTGAGAGGAGCGGGGAGGTGGGAGGAAGGATCAGGCGCGTTGCCGGAGGGAGCCGAGACTAACGGTGAAGGCAGGTGGTGGTGAGTCGAGAGCAGGTGGTGGTGGTAGGACGGGGAGGACGGTGGGTGGGCAGAGTCGAGCCGGTGCTGTCGAGGCTGGTGGTGGAGGTCGTCGTCGGTCGGGAGATCGAACGGATTCCGGCGTTCCCTGCCATCTGGGCCTGCCCTAGGCGTGAGATCGGCGGGGCTGGTTGGCCAGAACTTGAGCATCTTTGCTGCAGACACACGGAAGAGTGCAGAGAGATAGAGCGGGGACGACGAGTGCGTGGAGGGAGGAGCAGAGAAAGCAGAGAGCGGGCAGGGCGGGTCATGCATATCGGCCGTCTTCGGCGCTGGCGAGTCTCCACCGTGCATCAACTTCTTGCCCCACGACGACGGGCAGGCAGTGGCTGCCCCCCTCCCCCGCCTCTGTACTTTTCATGTCCCCCGACCACAGCCTCCGCCCCCTTCGTTTCATTTCGCGGCTGACATGATCTCGCAAGCAATATTCACGCATCCCCACCCTCAATCACTCCAGGACATCTCTGTTCTATTGCTACTCACGATCTCTATTTCTCCTCCGCCACCCGTGCCTGTTCCCGCAAACTGGTTTTGCTCCACCGCAGCCCCCTCAGCACTCCCCCAATCGTCACTCCGAGCACCAGCGCCCGCCGCGCTGCCTTCCACGGTAACCGGTCTGCATCCACCCGGCCCGCCAAGCACCGGTACCAGTACGTAGGCAACAATGGCAGCGATAACGTCCGAGAAGCACAGGAGTCAGTACACGACGCGACCTCACCCCAGATTGCAAGTCAATTGACTCACATATGCCCGCAAATACGCCCGCAGTTCCCGCCCCCGCCACGACCTCGCTCACGTCTTCCATCCCGTTCCCGACCTGCGTACATCCCTCCTCCAATGCCACCCACACCGTTGCCGTGGCTCCCAGCTTCACGGCCTCCTGCCCTGCTTCCTTCAGCCCGCTCATGAGCACACGGTAATTCTTCGTTTTGTTGTAGAAGTACCATCCTTGGACCGTGGTCGGAGGTCGGTGCGCGTTTTCCGCAAGGAACTGCAGCGATGCTGTCCGCGCCCCGCGCCGTAGACCGATCATCGTCCCGACAAGTATTGCTGCCCCAGGGAGGAGGTACAACCGGGGCGGAATTGTCAGTCGGATGGCAGGCTTGGGAGGAGGTTCATTGTCAGTGCTGGTGTTGGGCAAGTCTAAAGACATTTGTGCCACCATGTCTGAATTCGATTTCGCGCGCTCGGTGACCTGGCTTAGAGAATCGCTTCCACGTGCGTTACCCAAAATGGCCACTGCAACTGCACCTAGTTTCCTGCCCACAGCGAACCCAGTCCTGGAGATGTCAACTATGTGACAACGTGGAAGTAGTCTGGCGAATCCGTGATATGTGCCGACTTACTTCCAGGTTCAACTTCAATTTTTCACACATCGCTCCGGTCTAAATTGGCCAGAACATCATTGGGCTGTCGCCGGTACTATATAATTTACTTTCAAACAATCCCTTGAAGTTGGGCGATTAAATCTTCTGTTCTCACTGGTTCATTACGGTGTCTATCTATAACATAATGAGAGAGCTCTAGACTCACTGCATACACTCCTTGTCGTAATGCTGCGGAATCCACATCTTCCAAGCACATTCACCGTTGGGTGACTCCTCTGCGACGTGGGCATCGAACACGACCGTTTATAAACAATTGTAACGAGACTAGCAAACGTATCCTCCTGCAACTTAAAGTGATGACATCCGAAGCCAATATGAAGCTCCGACAAATCATAATAGCGCCTACAGGGCCCAATAACGATGGGAATTTGTTGCGCCTAGATTGTGGTGCTTGTTCATCAGGCTAATGTAAGTATGAGGAAGCCCAAGACGTTCCTATGAATCCGCCTGAGTCGTTAATTTTTGAATGGCACATATGGATGAAGGCAGTGGCATCGTTTGCACAGAGTTTGTTTGTGTATTCTGTTGCTTGGACGAACAAACTTGTTTTCCTCGGTTTTCCGCAATTTGGACGCTGTGTGAGGGTGTTTGAGTGACGAGCCCGATGCGCGCAAACAACACACTCTGGTCCTCATCCTCTTCCACATCGTCGCTCATGATGCTGAAGCCTGCAAGAACGTCGACCGTCACGGCGGGGAAGGCAAGTGGTCCGTGCGTCGCAGGAGATCAGTTCACACGGATGACATAAGCGTGTTGGACTCGTCTTTCTCGTCGCCGCCTGCTTCCAACTCCCAACACCGCTGCGCCTCCCCGCCGACGCCGCCAAGCTGGATCCAATAATGGCGCAACAATCTCCACAGGCTGTCATGCCTCAGGAGATGATGCAGCAACCGCCACCTATATCAGTGAATTCGTACTACCCAGACAACCCTAACGATTTGACTGGGGGGCTTCCAATCAACTTGGACTCCTTACGCGATGGTCCACCTGGAAGTAAACCATTCTATCCATATTCTACTTTGATCAGGTGTGTGCGCCCGGCATTGATGGTTCGCCACGCTCTAACTTATGACATCGCGATAGATATGCTATCAAAGGTGCTCCAAATCAAAAGCTGTTATTGGAGGATATTTACTACGCTATTGAATCAAGAGTGCGTTCACTGTTTTCTACACTCAGTCACTGAGCTAATAGTTTTACCAGTTTCCATATTTCCGCACTGCTCCCCCTGGATGGAAGGTTGGTGTCTTCTCTGTGTATCGGGCTCAGCCTGCTATTTGAGCTCATTCTGATAACTTCAACGCTAGAATTCCGTGCGGCACAACTTATCACTGAATCCGTGTTTCGAGAAAGTACCTCGTCCATTGACTGACCGAGGAAAGGGCTCGTATTGGACCGTTAATGACAACGTTGATCCCCGCACTGGCGTGCATCGTGTCCGCAAGAAAAAGACAAAAGGTGGCAGGGGGCGGCCACCTCAAATTGAGGAAGATATTGATTACGCACCGCCTGGCCAAGAGGGCGCGTATGATCCTACATTTGGTCAGCAAATGCGCCCAGATGAAGGACCCAGTGCGCATCCCCAGGGATATCCTCCACCGCATTATGGGTATGTTCTGCCCATCGCCAGCGTCTACATGTCTTACTGACTCTACGAAAGTTTTGACCCAGCTTTCCCCCCTCCTATGATGCCTCCTCCACCTGGCGCAATACGCTACCCCCCTCCTCCCCTTTTTCCACCAGATGAGCAATTTGAACTGGATGAGCATGGGAATGTCAATTGGCACGCCGCATGGCTCAAGGAGCTTTCTCAGTTACAGCAGTTGACCGAAGAACAACAAAAGGCTGGCGCAGAACAGGAGTGGTATCGCATGATGCTGTTCCGTGTTCGAAGTGCGATGGTCGCGCCGCCTCTTAATCCTGGAGAGCCCGTTGTTCATATTGCTGGAGGTCCTCCCCCCGGCATGCCTCCTCCGCCTCACGGTGTTGAGGTGCCACAAGAGGATGTGCATTCTATATGATCCTGTTGGATAATTGAGTGTGAGAGGTCTGATAGGTCAAGTTGTGGCTTGTGAGGGTATTGCTTTGGGTCTTCGAGCTTATAGTCTTTATTATGTTTGCTTCCCTGTGCCTTGCTTTGTTTTACATTCAGTTTTCTGTATGCTATCCAATCCTCACTGGATTTAGTCTCAAGAGACTGAGTGTGAATTTGATGCAGCCACACACGTGCTGACAATCCGAGCGTTTACATTAGAGTCGAACGCGATCGTCTCCGCGCGTGTCATTCTATTTCGTGCACCAGCTGCTATGTCCTCTCACTCTTATGAGGTTGCACTTTTTGGCCAATTTTTCTCGCAGGACCTCTCCGGTACGGGTTGCTACATAGACGCATGCTTGAATGCGTAATGACACTCGTTCCCGTTGTCTAGCTATTTTGCATCGGATCACTCTACATAGCGAGTCCGCACACCAGATGCATGCAAAGGAGCTTGTCTTTGAACCATATGATGCGCAATATCAGCGCGACTCGGGAACCGAACCTGTTTTACTTCGCGTGCGCAAGGAATTGCTGGAACCAGATGCTAAATGGTCAGTGAACCACTAATGTCATGCGGGACCGAAAACATTCGCTGGTTTCTGACTGCTTTAATATCAGGGTTATCTACTCATACTTGAAGCCGGAGTCTGTGCGCGTACATCCTGAAGCAACGGTAAGACCATGGGCCACATGCCAGGTCGTTGGGAATGCCCTCAACTTTGCATCTGCCCTTGGATACGTGTGCGTTGACTTCATGGTTTCTGTATTCACCCTTGTCTCACTTACCTGCCATAGGCGCCGCTCACAGATATACAAACGCGGATACATCTTTCGACGCGGTCCGCTCGTAATCCAGATGTTTCAGCAGGAACAAGTGCGTCCTCACGTCTCGGTCATTTTCCATACTGAAGTTGAACACTTCTAGGTGGATCCCAAGACACAAAAGCCTGTATCTGCGCATGCGGATGCCTTGTGGGAAGTGGAGGTTAGAACTGCAGCTCCAGTAAGAAATAGCCCGGAGACTCCGTTGAGCCGATATGTCGACGCAGTTCTCGAGGTACAATTACTCATGAAGGGATTGATTGATCTGAGGAGGCAAGATGCCTGATCGGCACAGACACATACAATGGCGACAAAAGCTCCAGCGGTCTGTCGGTCAAGGTAACTAACCTTACCTTTCGTCTTCCGACCCCCCCCAATCCACTTGCTCGTCGTCTCCATCCCCGGGCCCACTGAATGATCTGTCCGCGGTAGGGTCCCGAAGTGCACCCTGTTGGCGCAGCTGTTCAAGAAGCATTGCCAACTTTTCTGAGTCTTCTTCTAGCTCGTCATCGGTTTCCCCTTCAGCATCCTCGTCCCCTAGCATGTCACCTAATTCCTCTTCGCGAGTCCTGTATGTTGCCTCTGCGTCTTCTGGCCGCGCTTCCGCGGTATCGGCGTCGTCGTCGCTACCAGCATACCCACCAAGTAAATCCAAGACATTTCGTCCATCTGCGCCTTCTCCATCCTCGCTGCCATATCCTCCGAGTAGCCCGGACATTGCTTTCCTTCCCTCCTTGGCGCTCAGTTTCCGCCGTTTTGGCGAACGTTCGTGAGTGTCCTGTAGAATGCCTTGAGGATCTACTATTGCCCCTTGGAAGGCGCCATCTTCCCAAACTTCTATCGTTGGAAATTCGACGAAGGATTTGTGTTTTAGCACCGCTGCAAGCGGCTGGGTGGGATCGAGCTTGTAATAACCCTCGCAGAGGATATGGCCTGGATAAGGACCTGTAGAAGCTAACGGAGCGAGGGGATCTATCGAGGTGCGCATCAGGCAGATTGGGGACGAGAAGCAATCCGGGGCGTCTGGATCTGGACAAACGAAGGGAATAAGCCAGGAGGGAACGGGATCACCCTTCCGTGATTTGCTACGTTCAGCTACTTGAGCCTGCATGACAGAAAGAAGGGGCTTTTCTAGGGAATTCCGGTGGGTTAAAAGGCAAAATGGAGGTTCGTGTGGTTGTGATGAGGGTGCAAGAGGATCAGGAGGACAGTGGAATTTGAACTCAAGTGTAAGGAGCGCTGTCCTGTTCCTACAGTGCCGCGATCCATGAATATGTATGATTCTCTGGAATGTTTACAATAGAAAGTGGATGCGTACTTGAAATCCCAGGCTGATTGGTTCAGAATTCGTCTCTCCATACCGGCAGGCAGTTGCTCCATTTCAATATCCCGGAAGTCCAACTGCATTTTGAGTATGTCGCGCTTAGAGCGCGTCTTCTTCCCGGCATTCATAGCCATCCCCCTACCGCGTCCTCTTCCTCTTCCCCTCATGTCCGCCATCCCTCTGGCGGGCTTGATACCTGTACTGTTTCTCGTATAGCCACCTTGCACTATCTCGCGACCCCAGTCCCCAATCTTCCTACCCATCTCTTCGAGGAACGTGTAGTCGCTCATGAGTGACATGTATCCGTATTGATTCATAGGGACATATGCCGCTTTGTCGCGGAGACCAGAGCAGCCAGCACCGAAGGACTTGTGGCTATTGGAACAGGCCAGAGAGCATGTACGCATTGAACATCGCGGACAAGTGTAGATGGCCTGCTGTTGTGAGCATATTGCGCACGGAGCTGGCTGGAGAGGTATCGCAGTTGCGGAAACGTCCGGTCCCGTGGTGGTTGAGTTCGTTGACATTACCGCTACTGTAGGGACTGCAGAGTCGGGACGAGTGCAGACCAAGTCAGACATCAAATACCAAAAACGTTATTTAGTCGGGCCGAGGTGACCCGGGCTGGGGTATTTCATTTCGTCTGCAGGCGCAAGGTGCGAGGCGCGATGTCGCAAAAATTAAGAGGCAGAAGCCTTCATAGCCCTCGAAAAAGAACTGGTGAACGCCTTTTGCATGTTATGGTCTGCAATATAGAATACAAAATCTACCCAGCGAACAGGCGGTATGTAATGTCAGAATTGCTTTGTCTAGTACGAAAGCACACTGTTTAAATATCATCCATGCCGAGGTCAATCTCTACCTTCTCCCCGGGTTTGAATGCAGGTAAGCCTATGAATAATTGAATGAGCACAGAGAGCATGGTGTAGATTTGAGAACATACCACGATAGGGGCAACTAGAGCAGCGGAATGCATCACCTAAGTAGCAATTACCGCAGCTGCTGGTTGCCTTTGGAGCTGCAGCTGCAGCTGCAACCAATCTATCCTTCTCGCTCTGCGCCACCTCCATAGTGCTCCCACTCTCCGCACCATCCAATATGACGACTTTGCTTGAAGCCAATTCATCAGCCTCTAGCTCAGCCAAGCCACACGAGCAATTCTTGCATGCCTTCTTCCGCCGAGGAGTTCCTGAAGAGATAGGCTCACATACAGCTGGACGCTCGCGATCCGCATCCGTAAGGAGGCTCTCGGCATCAATGATTGGGGTGGAAGGTGCACTGAACGTCCAGAGAGCTTTCTTGGAGGCCTTGCGTTCTGGATCGACCTTTCGACGGAGAGGAAGGGCAGAAGCGGAAGACGATTTTAAAGAAACACTCGCAGCATGAGCCGGCTTTTGTGCAACGAGAGAACCGTCCTCAGCGGCAGGAGAAAGCATTCTGAAACCGGCGAGAGTGAGCTCAGAAGGGAGGTTGGGAAGGGAGGTGGAGAGATGGAGTATATGCAATGTTCCCAGGGGTTCGAGTGCCGACAACAGCTGAGACAATAGGCCAGACAGTCGAGGTGCAAGTGCTTGATACTCCGAGAGCGACAGTGCAACGTGTGCAGATGAGAAACATGAAGGTGTCAATGTAGACGCTTACGAAGAGTAAACTCTCGTCAGGTGCAACGGCTTGGTGACAGAACACAAAGGACATACCTCCATCCAGTAGTCTATCCAGCATATATCTCTCTACTTGCCTAGTCTCCTGCAGGCCAGTGACGAGTGACTGGTATCGACCATCTTCCGCTGTAGCGGGAGAACCGATGGCAAGCGCAGGCCCTTGCATGGGGACAGCTGCGATGACACTGTGACCCTGAGCAGCCACCGAGGGAGCGTAGATTGCAGCAGGAGCCATTGATGAGAGCGAGATTTGATTGTAGCTGTCGCGCCCAAGAGGTGGGTTTTATGGTCGTCCGAGCGGCGAATTAGTGAGGCAAACTGCTTACAGAGAACTATAATCAGATTGACGAGTCACCCCATAATCGCAATTTGTCACAGTAACGCAATGTGACGACATAGGTCACATTACGCCATAAGATCTTGCGAAGATCTCGCGTAGCATCGCCGACAGACTCGGCCCCGAAACTGACAAACCTATTCGTCAAAATGTGTCGCATGTATATAAACAAATGATTCAGGTCTGAGGTGACGCTCTCTTGAAGTGATACAAACGGGATGAACGTGGCTACATTTGCGGAACAAGCGACTGGAAGCCCAAATCAGAGCTTCCATACTTGTGTCCGTTCAAATCCCATCGAGCCCAGAATACCACCCACAGCTCCTTGCGAGAAATTCCGCCCAAAAGGTCCTGCAACGGCTGCCACCATCCTGAATCGAAATCGGTAATTAGCATCCATGGTGATGCGCACGAGAAATACGCACGGATCTGGCCCACATATGAGAAAATGCGTCTGTCTATCTTTCTGTTTCTCATCTCGGTCAATTCGTAATAGCTTGCTCCACCAGGTCTTCAAGTTTCTTGAATTACCAATAGCATGTTCAATTGCATTTTGGTCAACTCTGCCGACTTTAAGTTCGGAAGAAGATATAGATGGGTGGTGACTGCCGTCCAGTGAATCTACAAACAAGGATATCGACAGCTGCTGTGGATGTGCTTTGGCATGAGCTATCAAGGGAACCAGAATGTTTGGCGGCGGCAGCTCAGCGGGACTACGTGAGGAGTGAAGGAGGGTGAAGCGTGTTTTAGAGTCGAGCGCGCCTTTCTTTAAAACCAATTCATGCAGTAGTTGATAAAATGGCGTAATTCCTGTGCCGCCCGAAACCTAGGTAGCATCGAGCGATCATACAGCTCCGAATCTAAAAAAAATGACTGGCCGACTCACCATGACAATATCGTCGGGCATATCTTCTTGCCATGGCCAGGTCACTACAGGACCTCTGATTTCGACCATCTCCCCCGCCTTCTTGGAATGAAGCCATCGTCCGACCTCACCTTTCGCGTACCTTTTAATCCAAAACTTCATACAACCTTGGTCGTCTATGCCTTCAAGAGGTGTGTACGGTCGCTCGACTTGGATGTCATCATCTTTGATGAAGATGGACCATATAGGAGTCCAGTTGTGCTTAGGAATCGATGAGGCAGGTATCTGCAAGGTGAGCAAACGAGTGTTGTGATCAGCGCATGGCGTGCTGTCAACAAGTTTAACTGGGGTAAAATGAGCTGGAGAGAGATGTGCGTTGGCTAGTGTCGGCGCCGAGCGAGAACTATCGGGCCAGAATAGGGTATAAGCTGTTGCTGCTGCAGCACTGGCTGCCAGAATTCCATATGCAAAGAGATGTGCGCGCCGTGGGACTGAAGTAGTTTGCGTGACCTGTGACGAGGACCACCTAAATTCTCTACGGGATCGAAATGAAGCAGACGCATAGTGTTTAGGGTGTTCCAGATTGAACCGAAGCATAACTTTCGGCCGCTACAAACTTTCAATGTGGGCTGGAGAAGCGAGATCGGGCTCGCTAGAACCTCGGGTGGCTCCGCACACTAGCGATCGGGACGATGCCACAAACCTTTATCACATGATTTATCTCGTATAAGTTCGACTCCGAGTTCAAGTTGTTGTTGAACACGTTCATCTCCCTCGTATTGTACCTTCGTGTTCAGTTCTTAATGTTCCAATTTTGATCACACAGCCTATCTACATTCTACGACATTCACGACCATGAAACGTTCTTACGATTATAGCTTTGTAAAAGAGACAGACGACATTACTAGCACAATCAACCCGCACTCTATATCCCAATATATCGCGACGCAGGCGACGCATCCATCCATCGGTCACTATCCCACTGTCCCTGCAAATCCGCTTCTCGGACAATACGGTATTCTAGGTTCTGCCTTTGAGCTGCGGGTTCCCCTCCTCGCTGGTGCGGTTGGTTTTAATCCGGACTTCCAATCGAACACCGCGTTGTTACATGCTAATCTGCAGCCAAGGGTATCTGGGCCTCATCTACCATCGGAACCGATTGGAAGCTGCTCTCGTCCTTCTGGATTAGGCATTCTGTATGAATACCCGTCTTCTGATGCGGCTCATATCTCACCTTGTCCAGCTGAACATCAGGCCTCGCAGTCGAAACCATCATGTTCGGGTTTGCTGGGGGCTAGTTTGGATACCCTGTCTCTTCACGACATCTGCCATGTTGATTCTTCGCCTGTCCCTACATCGGCCATTGATATCACTGACTCCAGCCTCGCTTATGGTCTGGATCCTTTTTCTCAATATTCAAGCCAAACCTTTACATCTCACAGATTCACGCATTCTTCATCTATAGCGTCTCTCTGTTATCCAAGCGGCTCTGATTCCAGCCTGACGGATGGTCTGGACTGGATGGCTGCTAAACGAGAGCCACAGAGCTTCCTGGAGTTTCGTACACCACCTCTGCAGTCTAGGGATAGCCTTGAATTCTTGTCGCAGCCTCTGGTAGGAATCTTTGCAGACATCAATATGCGCGAGCTAGCTGTCAAACTGGAGGCCCCAGAGGCTGGAGTGAATCCCGCGGATATCATGGGGGAGCTTGCCTCCGTCAAATTAGAGCAGGTTGATCACGACGACAGTAGCGGTTCGTCAGTCCAGGAATCTCCAGTTATAGATCATCTCTCGGAAAATCGTTATGACGCGGATGTCGCATTTCCTGATGATGCCATTAACACCATAGTATCGGTCCTGACTGCGTCAAAGCGTGAAGTTGATGCGATGGAACTTATTGCCTCACAATCCGAACCAGTCTTGGGGGAGTCGGATGTGTTCGACCATACGTTTCCCGTACGAACAGCGCTTACGGCTCCAAACGTGATATCAACATCTGTCCCCCTGATCTCACCGACACTCCCGATACTGCAACCTCCTGGCCGTAGTCCGCTTACAGACACATATAGTACTAATCTGCGGCTCGACACCTGTCTCGTGGTGACTGCATCATCGTTCGTCAAACAACAGAGCCCAGTCCTAAATGCACACCTGGGTATTGAACTCGATGACCTCCGTAGGCGGGCGGATGATTTTCGCCGAAATAATCCTGGTATAGATATTGACAAGACGTGGTTACAGGCATACGCAGGGCGACTGTCCCAGCGTGGGGAGCTACTCGAAGATTACCGCTGTTATGTCGTCGGTTGCGCACAAAGGAACAAACGTAGAGACCACATCCTTGTTCATGTTGGTTCACACGTTGAACACCGGCCATTTCAGTGTGTGCACTGGTACGGATCATTCAGTCATGTTTTAATATGCGTATATGGTCTGACCTCTATTTCTAGTGGGATGCGTTTCCTGCGTAAGAATGAATGCAAACGACACGAGTCCAGCCATGGCGGTCGCAAGCCGTTCCAGTGTCCTATTTGCGCGCCCATCCAAGACAGAAGTTTTGTGCGCCAAGATCTGCTGAAGAGGCACATGCGAGTTACCCATGGAGTACAGTCAGAGTCGGCTGTAGATAGGCGGAAGAAAATTAAGCTGACGGCAGAGGAAGAGTACTGGCCATAAGATATGGTTGTTGTAGGGCCGCGGGTACATTGTTGTGGATGGTGTTGTGTTTCTGCGTCATGGGTTGGTGCTCGTACATCAATATTATTGCAAAGTTGCGATACGGATACAAGTAATGTGAGAAAGTCTTGCACATGCGTGAAAGGTCGACATTACCGAATGAACCCGAGTGAAGACGACAAAAGGCGACTTGGATACCAGCTGAGAGGCCCGGTAGATACGATGTACCTACCACGATATGAAGAGCTATGAAAGACGATATCCATGCCAAATAATTCATGACATGAGTATTGAATTGGCATTCAGTCATTTTGCATGACGACATCGCACCGAGTGCCACAGCTCCGGGAGTGATGAGATCGGAGAAACTTAGCTGGGAACGAGGGGGGGGTTGCTTAGAAGCGTTCTTTGTGGATTTGAGGCAAGAATGGCATTTGGGGGTGGATTGTGTGCGCGTCCCTGAGCGCGTCACTAGCTGAGAGGAACGGGGGGGGCGGATAAAAGGGAGCTCGGGCTTCATAGGGAAAACCTCAGGGAGAGGGGCCCAGGGGTGGAATAGTCTTCTGTGATACCTGGTCGCCTGCAGCTCCCTGAAGGAATAGAGACCGCCTCCTTGTTATTTTCACTCACCTTTCCTTACCTTCCCTTCAAGGCCATGTTACGGAGGCGCGACGTGAGTTCAGAGTCAAGGCTAGGTCGCGACAGAACCGCCGGTGAGCAAAGACATCGTAAGGCGGCCAGTGATCGTGGACGTACCGGTGATTATTTTAGAAGCAAGGCTGCATCTGGGTCGGATGTGTTCTCTCTATTTTCCAAATGGTGTTATGGAAGGCGATGGCCCGGACATTCGTTAAATAGGAATAAGTGGTAGTCTGGCTTGAATCAGTGCGGCCGCGGCGAAGGATCGGACTGCCGTGACAGTCGCGTTACATAGTTATCACGTGGGTCGCGTTTGGCGTCACAATCCCATTCACGTAATACTCAGCGGCGCCTCAATTGTCGAGCTACAGGCTACAGGCTGCCTGCCAGGCCGCGCTCGACTCTCTCTTCAGACAGTGCCTGTTCAGCCGCCGTATCTTCAAGGAAACCCGACGCTGAAAAGCACCTTTTATCGCCATGATAGGCCTCTCGGGCTCTGTCGAAACGTATGGGGGCCGCGAGGGGTATTGTAGTATGCGCGGTTCTTGCGGTTCTAAGGGCTGGTTTGGGAAGCCGCTACCGTGCCCTTATGATGGCCCGGCTAGCGATGTGAGTGTATCTGTACACTCGTTGTATCTGCTTAAGCTTAGTGTCACTTTCACCCAGGAAGACGTGGACCGCGACCTCCTCGTATCGCTTTGTGGAGCAGATTATGCCGAAGGACCGACCTGCTGCACGACCGACCAGCTAGAAACAATGCGCGACAACCTGGGTCTTGCGGAGAATATTATTTCATCCTGTCCAGCTTGTCGCAACAACTTCCGCCAATTCTGGTGCTCATTCACATGTTCTCCGAATCAGGGTACTTTCTTGAATGTCACGTCAACACAGACATCTCGAACAGACCAGGAGGCCGTACAGTCCGTTGACTTCTACGTGTCTGAACGATTCGGAGAGGGGTTTTATGATAGCTGCAAGAGCATCAAGATGGGCAGTACGAATGGATATGCGATGGACCTCATTGGCGGTGGCGCCAAGGATTACTCCGCATTTCTCAAATTCATGGGAGACGAGAAAGACATAGGAAGCCCCTTTCAAGTCAACTACCCGGCATCACTTCCTCCCGAGATGTCCTACTTTGATGTGACTCCAAGAAACTGTGCAGACAACGATCTTAGCAGTAGGTGCACGTGTATAGACTGCCCCGATGTCTGCCAAACCCTCCCATACATCCCACCTCCCAATTTAGCGCCAACATGTCATGTAGGCATGCTCACTTGTCTCTCATTTGTCCTCGTTATCGTCTATTCTCTTGCAGTCATTTCGTTCCTTTTCGGGTACGTCTTGCAGCTATCTATCCGCAAACGCAAGTCATACGAACGCGTCGCCCTCAATGTGGATACTACATCTGAGCATGTCACCTCTCCTCGCGTCAACGGTCGTGGTCTTGTGGGCGCGTCTTCGCTCGCGCAACACGTAGATGGAGAAGAATCCACAGGCACCCAGTCGGAATCTCGCAACCTTGGCCGCGGTGCATCGTTGTTAGATCCGATTGAAACTGTGCAACCGCGCCAATATCGCTTGAATAACGTTTTGCGACGCGCCTTTTACCGCCTGGGTTTTGTTGCGGCTACCTATCCTTGGCTGACTTTTGCAATTGTTTTCGCGATCGTCGGCTTGCTCAATCTTGGATGGAAGAAATTTGAGGTTGAGACCGATCCAGTACGTCTGTGGGTTGCCCCAAACTCAGAGAGCAAGCTGCAGAAGGAGTTTTTCGATGAACACTTTGGCCCCTTCTATAGGGCCGAGCAGATTTTCGTTACATCTTCTCAGATTGGCTCAAGCGATTCGTCCGCGGAACTCTCGGTTTACAAGACGGAGCCGGTTCTTTCTTGGGAGCGCTTGAAGTATTGGTTCGACGTCGAGGCTGATATTCGCGGACTACGATCGTCGCCCAATGGTTACACTTTGGATGATGTATGTTTTAAGCCTGCAGGACCTGACGGATTTTGTGTTGTGCAGTCCGCTACCGCATGGTTCGGCAATGACCTGGAGATGTACGATCGCGATACCTGGGCGTCGCATCTTGTTGATTGTGCTACTTCTCCTGTTGAATGCTTACCCGACTTCCAACAGCCCCTCGCACCCCAGTACGTCCTAGGTGGAGTTCCACAGACAGACGTCCCATCAAGGTTCCTAGACGCTGAAGCGCTTGTCGTCACCTTTGTCGTATCGGACTCCCTGGATGCAGAAGAGCAAGAACGTGCCATGGAGTGGGAAAGGGCCTTGCGCGACTATTTGCAAGACTTGAGCGAGCGAGCACCACGTGAAGCAGGTCTCGAAATCGCGTGGTCAACGGGCGTATCATTGGAAGAAGAGATCAACAAGAGCACAAACACTGACGTTAAGATCGTGATTCTCTCGTATCTCGCGATGTTCTTCTACGTTTCGCTTACTTTGGGTAACGGATCCTCTGTGGGACGAGAAGAAGGTCTCGTACCCTCTCTCATTCAATGGGCTACCAATCTCCCGAAGTTGATAAATCGTCAAGGGATCATTTCTTCGTCTCTGTCAGTTGACTCACGGAGCGACCCTCGGCTGTTTCCGCGACTGCCTCGCAAAATATTCATCGGCTCCAAATTCACGCTCGGGCTTTTCGGCATTGCCCTCGTCATATTGTCGGTGTCAACTTCAGTCGGATTCTTCTCTATAGCGGGTGTGAAGGTTACGCTTATTATTGCAGAGGTAATCCCTTTCCTCGTGCTGGCAGTCGGAGTCGACAATGTTTTTATCCTCGTGCACGAGCTGGACCGTCAAAACCTACTCCACGGCCCCAATGCTACCGCAGCGACACAGGGCATTGAGTATGGGTTTACCGCGCCGATGTCACCCACACATTCACGAAGTCGATCTCAATTCGATTCTTTACACTCGCACGAGGATTCGGTGGATGCGGTATCGACACCGTTGTATCTAACAGCCGAGGAGCGTGTTGCAAGGACACTCGCAAGGATGGGTCCATCCATTTTACTGAGTTCCATTACAGAGACGGTGGCTTTCGCGTTGGGAGCTCTGGTGCCAATGCCTGCTGTGCGCAATTTTGCGTTATATGCTGCCGGGAGCGTTTTATTGAACGCCATCCTACAAGTTACTGTGTTTGTGAGCGCTTTAGTCATTGATCTGAAACGTGTTGAGGTACGTTTTGTATTATGAATGTGGAGACGTAACTCAAAGCTATCACAAGGCAAGTCGTGTGGATTGTTTCCCCTGCATACGGTTACCTCCTCGCATTGCTCTCGTGGATGAAGTACCATCTGGAAGCGGCCTCGGCACAATAGCACGTTTTATTCGTCGCTACTATGCACCCTTTGTCCTACGTCCAGCAGTCAAAGGCGCAGTGCTACTCATGTTCATAGGAGTTCTGTTCGCTTCAATTATCTCTATGCAACACATTGAACTAGGCTTTGGTAAGTCTGTTCGGCGTTCAAGAGAGTCTTAGTGATTTATTTGTGCGACAGATCAACGGCTGGCCTTTCCGTCAGAATCTTATCTCATTCCCTATTTCGACAATCTCGACGCGTATCTGGAAATAGGCCCTCCTGTGTACTTCGTGGTGCATAACGTCAATATTTCAGCGCGACCAGATCAGCAACAGTTATGCGGCCGTTTCACGACGTGTGACGATTTCTCAGTCGCCAACGTTTTGGAAGCTGAACGTGGTCGACCCGAGTCTTCCTTCATTGCGGAGCCAGCTTCTTCGTGGATAGACGACTTCTTCAATTGGTTAGATCCCGGTCACGAAAAATGTTGCCGCATACGCAAGCGAGACCACAGCGTGTTTTGTAGTGATAGAGACTCGCCCAGAGTGTGTCAAATGTGCTATGAAGACCACACTCCTCCCTGGAATATTACTATGACCGGATTCCCTGTCGGCGAAGAATTTATGTCCTATCTTCGGCAATGGCTCATCTCTCCCACTACGGAAGACTGTTCACTTGCGGGGAAGGCTTCATTCGGAACTGCGTTGTCGTTGTCATCTACTGGCGAAGAGGTCGTAGCTTCCCACTTCCGGACCTTCCACACACCCCTCAAGTCACAAGCTGATTTCATCAACTCCTTCGCCGCTGCAAAACGCATCGCGGATGATCTTTCCCGCGAGAGCGGAATGAGCGTGTTTCCATACTCATTGCATTACGTCTTCTTTGACCAATTCGCACACATTATTGCCATTACCCAACAAATTCTTGGCCTCGGGCTCGCGGCGGTCCTCCTGGTGACTGCGCTCATGCTCGGATCGTGGAGGACAGGCGTCATTGTGACGGGTACCGTCGCGCTTACTGTTATTAGCGTGATGGGCGTGATGGGCGTATGGGGAATAATGTTAAACGCGATCAGTTTGGTCAACTTGGTGATCTCGCTGGGCATTGCCGTCGAATTCTGTGCGCACGTTGCCCGTGCGTTCATGAGCGCTGGGACAGGCCTGCCAGTGGATCATCCTTCGGGTCAGAAGGAGCGTGATGAACGCATGTGGACGGCTTTGGTTGATGTGGGCCCATCCGTAAGTCGTTCTCTATCTTTTGCTTATTGCAGATTGTATTAACAGATTTACCGCAGGTTTTGTCTGGAATCACTTTTACGAAGCTCATTGGTATGTGTGTACTTGCCCTCACCCGTTCGAAATTCTTGGAGGTCAGTACAACTTATATGTTATGTCTCTCGAATGCTAAATTGAGATTTCCAGATCTATTACTTCCGGATGTGGCTTACTCTCATCATATCTGGGGCTTTCCATGGTCTCATCTTCCTACCTGTTGTTCTCAGTATAGCTGGAGGTCCTGGATTTCCTATGCAAGAGGCCGATGAAGAATGGATGTCTCACGCAATACGGAACGATTATGAATACACGTAAGCACTGCACGACGCTCCTGCTTGGAATGTGTATCTCACTGCGCACTACAGGCCATTCCTTGCGGATGATGACTCAGTGATGAGTGATTAAAGACATACCCTCGTTTTTTTGGACACGGAATAGATATACTGTATAATACGTACACGATGGACGTCATACTAAATAGCTCGTTATGCTATTGTTTTTCGCGAGGGCGATGAGGTGTATGACACAAGAATAACACGACATGACAAGGATTAGTCTCTCGGGGACCTCGACCTGCTATCTCTAATGTCGTCCCGACTATAGCTCCTCCTTGCACGACTAATCGAGCGCGAACGACTCCGGCTACGCGAGTAGCGTGAATATGACGAGTAAGAGACCGAACGCGAGCGCGATCGGGGGGTGAGGGAACGCGTGCGAGAACGGCTTGAGCGCACAGAATAGCTCCGGGAGCGCGAACGCCGTCGGAATCCCGTTCCACCACGCTCATAGCTTGGTGATCTTCTTCGCGGAGGTAGACGATCTCCTCTTCGAACAGGGGAGCGCGAACGAGACCGGGAATGAGGTCGATAGGTGTCTCGATCTCTCGGAGGGGGACCCCTACGCGAGTATGGCCTTCCGCGAAAGCCGTCGTTGAAGCGTCCACCGCGTCCGAATCGTCGAGGGGGAGAGCGCGAGCGCGATGGGGACCGAGAGATGGAGCGGGGTTTGTACCTAGGGCGCGGCGGGGGACGGGGAGAACGAGAGCGAGAACGCACGGGCAAGTCAGATAACTCGACCTTGAGAATGGCTCCATCCAGCTGGCCGCCATCCATATGCGATTGTGCATTGTGAGCGGAGGCCGTGTTGGCGTATTCGAGCGCTGCCTTCCCTCTGTTTTGACCGGCTAGTGAAGTCATTAGAACGCAATGCTATTGTCAGAAGGTGCACCAAACGTACATTTCCCGAAAACTGGAAGGTCAATTTTGGTTATCTCGCCGTAGAAGCTGAATATGGTGCGAAGGTGGGACTCGACAACATTGCGGGTGAGATTGGTGACCACCACCACTCTTGCATGCAATTTTTCGCCATTTTCGCGGTCCATGTCGATGTCTGCATCGTGGAGGGGGCGAGGCGAAATCGAACGACCTCTGCTTGACATTGTGCTTGAAGTTGAGCTGAATTGAACGTAGTCGGGGTGCAAGAGACGTCACGCGTGACCCTTGTCTTGTCACACACCCTCTCGGAGATTTCCTGCTCTAATTTCTTGCTCAGTGTCTGTAGTTTGTAAGCGCCCATTTTCTCTCGAGTGCACTCTCGTTTGTTTCGCTGCGATGTCAGGAGAACAAATGCCACATTCTGCATTGTCTAGTGCTGCAAAACCGCGCAAGAGATTTATTGGCACAAAATCTGCAAAACCATCTAGGCCAGGTGTCACCTCGACAGTAGCCAACCAGATTCCTCCGGATATCCTGGACGATACACAGCTCAATGCCGCAATAAAACAATTACCGACCAACTACTCGTTCGAGATCCACAAGACTATTCATCATGTCCGTAAACACAATGCAAAGATGGTCGCATTGCAGATGCCCGAAGGACTGCAGATGTTTGCATGCACAATCGCAGACATCATTGAACGGTGCGCAGGTGCTGCCTGCTCATCGTTGGCGGTGTGGTACTTGAACTCACAGGTGATATACATCTAGATTCACCGATGCACTGACTGTTATATTGGGCGACGTTACATATGGCGCCTGTTGCATCGACGATTATACGGCAGTCGCGTTAGGATGCGACATGTTAGTTCATTATGGGCACAGCTGTCTTGGTGAGTCGGTCCAAATGTTTAGGGATGTTTTGGCCTGCCTGACGCCTGTGGATCAGTACCAATTGACCAGACGACAATCAAGACACTTTATATATTCGTCGAGATTGCCATCGACTCTACACACCTTGTTCAGACGATCCGCCTTAACTTTCCCAATGATCGTCGACGTTTCCATGAAGCGCTACTCGATTCAGAAGATACAGATAGCCAGATTCCCACAGGGCGACCTCTCACACAAAATAGCCACGTCCGTATTGAAGGGCCTCCTGCTGATACGACCATAAACGGCCCTCAGAGACCCAGATCTTCGCTGTCAGACCCTTTCTCTGGTGAACGAACACGACTTGCCCTTGTATCCACTATTCAATTCGTATCGGCCTTGTCACGGCTCAAGGAAGATCTGACAATAGAATACATTGAGTCTCAGGGACCGATTTCAGGGACGATTGAAGGCCCACCTGATGCGCCTGATGCAAACAACCTTGTGGTAGGAAAGCCCAACTTGTGGACTGGTCCATATCACACCACCATTCCACGCTCGAAGCCTCTATCGCCAGGAGAAATTCTAGGATGCACGGCACCAAGACTCAGTGATGTGGATGCTCTCATGTATGCCTAGTTTCAAGCATTCGATATGCTGGAATCTTATCCTCCATATAGTTATTTAGGTGATGGCCGCTTCCATCTAGAATCTATCATGATCGCCAACCCCTCTGTTCCTGCGTTTCGTTACGACCCCTACTCCAAAAAACTCACCCGGGAACGATATAATCACACAGAGATGCGCGCAGTCCGTAATGAGGCAGTCCGAGTAGCACGGCACAGTGTTGCTGCATTTGCCTCATCGTCGAGTACCAGCAGCAGCATCACGACCTCTCACAGGTCAGCATCTCCACTCTGGGGTGTTATTCTCGGTACCCTTGGACGTCAAGGCAGCTTCAAGCAGCTACAGGCAATAACACATCAGCTTAGTACATCGCGCACACCCATACCGTACATGCCCATACTACTCTCCGAGCTTTCACCCGCCAAGCTTGCACTTTTCAACCCGCATATATCGACGTTCGTTCAAACGTCTTGCCCGCGACTGTCGATCGACTGGGGTTATGCATTTGATCGACCACTCCTAACGCCTTACGAAACAGCGGTTGCTGTAGGTAGAGTAATGGAGGAAGTAAAGGAAGATATGACAACAAAGGTAGAGGGAAAGGACGGTGTTTATCCAATGGATTTCTACGAAGCCGGAAGTCCGTGGGCGATAGCCCGGGCCAAGGCAGCATACTGATAGCCCTGCACTGACACCATCTGATATCTGCTAGTCATGTTGCTGCATTCGTAGCTCTGTTATCATGTCAATGTACAAAGCTGGAGGTCGTAATATATCAATCTCATCTTCGAGGGACTGGTATCATACACTAAGCAGATTTAGATCAGTACCCCAGAGAAGCAGCAAGTCTGGGGTAGCTTACCCATAAGCATATTCAACTTCATCCACGCCTGCGCCGGCCTGGAATGGTCCAGATGCTTCCCGCGGCATGGGCCCAAATTCTGGCTCCTCCTCGTCATCATCATCAGCAACTGCGCTGCTTGCATCGAGTTCGAACGGAAGGACGGGTCGGAGACCACCGCTGCCCGAACTAGAACGACGTCCACGCGCAGGCGACTTCGTGAGCGCCGCCATGGTCTTGGGGCTCATGTGCTATTAGTGGATTATCGTCAGCAACGGCTGTCTCACGGACTTATCATCTTTCTACTAACCTCCCAATTGTTGAGATTCTCGTCAGGAACGTCCCGGTCGTCCCTACCGACGTCTAAACGAGCTTCATCTCCCAACTCACCGATAGACACGATGCTCTCGCTATCGCTGATACCGTCTGCGATGTCTGTTGCGTATTCAGGCAATCTATGCCAGGCGGACGTGCCAGAGAACAGTGGTCCTTGGGAAGATGGCTGATCATCCGACCAGCCGAGGTCCGACAAGTACTCCTCGTACTCCTCCTCAAAGGCGATATCTTCTGTGATATAAGGCAAGAAAATGGACGGGTCCGGCGCTTGTGCTCGTAGCGGCGGGAACACATCAGCCTCAATCGTGTTGGGTGTCCCGACGGGACGTATCAAGCCTGACAATTCCGGACCAGGGTGAAGGCCTTCTAAATGATTGGAGATGCTTGCAGCGCGCCTATGCGCACTGGCTTGATGTGCAACCGCGGCACCGTACCGTTTCGTGTTGTCTACATCACGTCAGTGGGGGGCCAGGCATCACTCGCTTGCGTCACTTACAGAATTTGACAAGGTGCCGAAGTGCTTGCTCTTGCGCCTAGAGGAAGGTATTAGTCCCTTAGAACGTGGGTTACGTGTGTAACAACATGCCTGCGCGTCCGCGACGTCGTCAACTTCTACACCGGTTAGCCACTCGTCTCTCAAGTCAGGTCTGCAGTTTAGGTATATTGCCGTAATGACCTGCATGTTCGCTAACGCCTTCGATCAGTCTTGGAAAAGATTCATTGGCGTAAAGCAACTGTTACATTGGCGCCACTTTCGCCCGCAAAATGGTACTTGACTTTTGATGAGTTTCAGGACATGCAGCTGGAGCATTGGATGCTGTACTTTGAGGATCCGCTTCAATACAGCCTAAGAATCGTGTCAGCATGAGCTATGTAACATCGACAGTATACTTACAGAGCTCTTGTACTGCACTAACATCCTGATACGATGAGATCGATGCTTGGAGAGTTTCTGCATGATCTTCGCAAAATTGATTACGGAGAAGAAATTCCGCCACGAGAAGTCAGTCAATAAGTCAACTTCCTCCTCGTGCTTGAGCCCATTAGGAAGAATTGTGACACGCGTGACAGTTTGGCGGGGAGCTTTGAGCATGCTGTCTTCTGGCCTTACAGCGTGAGGGTTCTTCGAGAAGTGGGTTTGACAATACCGGAAGAAACTGGAATAATGAGCACATATTACACTATGAAGCTGTCTCCCCTTACTTATTTTCGGGTGAGTCTGCCTTCGATACAACCGTCGTAGAGACCTCTTGGAGGCCAAACATCTTCAAGATCAATAATAAGCAATTGGTGTCCAGTAAATGCTGCCCTAGGTGGTGAAATTTCATAACATCTACTCGGCAAAAGATGAGTACGAAGGGCAAACTATTACAGCGTTAACTTACGAGAGACCTTGAACCATTTGAGCGTCAGAAGTAAAATCGCTGATACTGCCTTTGACGTGATCTCTCGATGCCGGGTAACGTCAATCTCATCCAACGTAGGCGGTGGTGCGGGGGGCTGGTCAAGAGCTAAAGTAAATAGTCAGTTATGAACCAAGCTATGGGCTATCAGCTTACGCGACGTCACCCCGGGAGGAAATCCGGCAGATGCGGCAGATGAGGGAGGTAAACCAGTAGAAGCCGAGACGGTGGCCAAAAGTAATTTGAGTAAAACCAAAACCCAGCCCTGAAGCACTGGAAGCACAGAACTCTATCCTAAAAATTAGTATATCATGACGTGAAAACGTTGCGAACATTTGACTCACATAAATTTGCTCTACTCTCTTTAGTCGCATTAAGTCTTCTCTCCTCTCTTGCGCCCTCCGCTTCTCACTACTAGACTCAGCATTTTCCATTTCTAGTTCTGCTTCTGCAATTTTGGCGTCGAGCCGTGCAATGTCTGGTAGGATATCCGATGTTTCATCTTCTGGCGACACCTGACTCCGAACTCTTCAATAACATATGCTATCGGCCATTACCATAACACTTACAGTTGGCGCCAATTTCGGCTCCAGAAGTGGATTTGACCCGGGCATGCGTTCGAGGCCGCTTTCTGTGGTCATGCACTCTTCTCTTGTCTTCCACATCTGCCACAGCGACATGCTTACGTACATATGCTTCGTATACAGTTTGTCTGCCTCATCGATCGCGAACGGGACCAGCCGTGAACTATTATACCGTGCCTGGCTACGTGAGAACGGGAACAGGAATGGTCGATTTTGATCAGTCTGGAACTGCTGCTTCTTGGGTTTAGGGGAGGGTGGGGGCGATGGAGCTGGTGTAGCTGCTTGGGGCATCGGCCGGAAAGAGTTCGACTGCTGCATCGGGAAGAATGGGTGTTGCGCAGTGGATCCCATGTTTGACTGCTGCGATTCATTGTCATCATGATCATAATGATGACGAATTGGGATAGGCGAGTACGCTTGTGCGAGCTTAGATGTGATGACAGCAGCGGCAGCGGGAGGAGCGACGGGAACCGGTGCAGGCGGTGGGGTGAATGTCGGATATTTCACGGATATCTCCTGGCGAAAGGCCTCTATATCGAGGGGTGAAGCCTTGATCGGAACCGCTGATCACGCGTCAAAGGGTGTACGTAGCTATGTACGAATGTACACACCTTCGTCTGGAATAGGCGGGAGGCCAGAAATCTCTCGTGAGAGCTGCTTAGAGCGTGTTAGCTCACGTATGCCACCACAACAGGTTAGAAGTGTCTTCCAGAGCACGAGGAGTAGCTGATGGACCGTCAGGCAGGCGAGTCATGATCGCACATCAGACTAACCTTTTTGACGGGATATCCCTTGGCGCTCTTGTCCCGCAGGCCGGCAACTGTGTTGAATAGATACACCGGCAACGGGGGCTCAAGACTCACTGCGCGCATGATAAGCACAAGCCAACAGGCGTCGAGTGATGCCGGAAGACTTACTCAGTTCGTCGGCAAAGTCATCATGGCCTTTGAATACCTCTACCATGTGGTACAACATGCCCAGATAGACAGAGAGTTCTGTGGTAACCTCTTCCATGAAGTCTGCTTTTTCCTGGGCAGAAATGTTGAATCGAGCAGCGTCAGTGTCAGACAGGCCGCTATAGTGATTCTGAGTACGAGACGTAGCCATTACGTCGAATGACGGCACACCATAGTAGATCGTGCTTCGAACTCGCAATTTTGATGGCCTCAACAATGTTACTTAGTCCGTTAGCGGAACGAGCGACTTTACAATTCTCAAAAATCCAATGGAGTTGGTGTTCCGGAGATGTTGTCTCCGCAAAGGTGCCTATTTCAATCTGATTCATGACGCGGTGTTGGAATGCAGGATAGTGTCAAACCTTGTAAAACGTAAAGCAGCCTGCGAGCGTTGGTGAACCGGATCTCGGCGTCGCGATGCTCCAGGCTTTCTAGGAGTACCTCCACGTGAGCCCTCCGCTGCGCCGAAGAGCTTTCGATCCAGACTATGTAATGAGTCAGACAAAAGGAAGAGTAAGAACGTGCGCGCTTGCCTCCAGGGAATGAGCCTTCCCAGGCCTTGAGGTTCTCCGCGACCTGGGGCATTTCGACATACGAATAGAACTCCTCGATTTCGTTGAGAACGGTGTCCTCGTCGTCATATTTGAAGTCGTAATAGGACTGCTACTTGACATCTTCGTCAAGGGAGCCACTGACGACGAGAGTGGAGACACGTGCCTTTGGTTTTGGAGCGGAGCCGACCATGGCCTTGAGCTGGCCGAGGGTGATGGAATCAAGGCTGACCTGGGAGGAGGCATTGTCTTGTGAAGGGCCCGACATGTAAGAGGGCAGCTGGGGAAAGGCCATGATGGCGGCAAGACGCGAAGGCGTGCCGCGAGGTCGCGTTAGCGATGGCGCCTGGGAGACGGGATCAGGACGTGCAAGCCGTGCGCACCAAGGCTGTGCGAGGGTGAGCAGCGAAGTGGGAAGGGAGGAAGCTGCGGTCGAGATACTCGCCCTGTGTTCGCCTGCACGAGCCCGAGCCGGGGAGCGTCCGTGTCGCATCCGCTTGTGGCCCGCAGAGCTTACATAAGCAGGCCTTAAGGGCCCCTCGCTCGACTTTTTCCTCTCCAAGCCACCACCACTTGGCCCCCTGGATCGACCCCCCTCCGTCGGTCCCTCGCTGCCAGTTCCCTGTTCTCCTCACCACCGACGACAGCGACGACGTCGACAGGAGAGGGCGTTCACCTGATCACCCTAGAGATACTCTGGCTGGTCTGAAAGTAGCTCGAACGGCCACAACCTTCATCTGCCTTTCTCTCCTTCACCGACTATCCTAAAAGGCACGCCTTCGCTGCGCGTTTGCCACATCCTCTTCTGCTATCGACTGTTATCGTTGTCCGACTCTCTACCTTTTCTCCTGTTCACGACATACCTTACGACCCCCCTTGTCTCTTTTTCGCCAGCCTACTCCCGCAGTCGTCGCACCTCAAGGCCCTTCGCCTCGCGCACGACCGCAGCTGTGGGTTCCCCCCTCTTCTCCTAATTCGCCGATGCCCGTTCCTGTCCCGCTCTATTTCAAGCAGCCAGCGCACCCAGTAATCAAGATCAATCCATCTGCTGGCTCTGATCCTAAGCAGTCAGTCTTTCAGCATTTGACTCACTCGTTGCCTCTGCCTCCTCGCGGACCACCCCCTTCCCTTGCTACTAGAGACGAGTGGATCAGCTCATTGCCATCGTGGAGAAGGAATAAGCCTCGTCGCATTTGGGAGGAGGATTCTTGCCAGCTCCCGGCACTCGTTCGCCAGGGTTTTCAGGAAGGGTTGACCGTTGCGGATAACGCTGCGGTCATTAAAGGAGCGTCCGCGCAAGCGTGCATTCCGCCCATCTCTACCCTCATCGCTACTGCTGATCTTGCTTCGCCTTCCCGAGCCGCCGACATGTACGGAGCATTCGAGGTCAACATGGAAGATGCTATGAATGTAGCTCCGCCTCGTCCTCATCGTTGGCAATGCGAAGTCGATGCACATACCAACGGTATTTTTCTATCCTCTGACGAAGAGTATGACGAGATGGATGTGGAGGTCCCTGCGCCGAGTGACCGCAACTACGGGTATAACGAGCAGGCTCCTCGATCATACTATGACGATGAGGGTTTCCATCTGTTCCCCACCGAGCGATATGAACGTGGGGCGTTCACTCCGGTCTTCGAGGACATGTCACCAGAGCCGCCCTGCGGACAAGACCCTGCATCAAGCCCAATTGGCCCTGCAACTCCTTTCGCCGAGTATGTTGACAGGGAAGTTGCCGCTGCTCAGTTGATTCCCTCTTATAAAGCCGGCCACGCTGCAGAGGTGGGTCGAGGGATGCGTTATGCCTTTCCAGGCGAATGCTGTGGTTCTCAGTGCCACCAGTGTCAAGCCTACAGCCTTCCTCAGATCCAACCATCACTTCTTGCGCCTGGACCAGAATCGGTCGTTGCCCCTACTGCCAGCACCACATTTAAGAAACTAGCGGAGCCGCTTTCGGAATGGATAGTTTCTTACGTCTGGAAGGTCTGCACGACTGGGATGAGTCTATCCTCTTCCCATACAGGAATGTAAGTAGCGATTTTTGCTCTTTGTGGATGATGTCAATAACCACACTGGGCAGGTCGTCCATCAGAGAATACTCTACCGCTCCTCCGACTCACTTGGCTACGTCAACTCATTCCATGTTACTCTCAACACTATTGCAGCCGTCAGCCATCTTCTTAGCCCTTTGGTATATTGTTCGTCTTCCGGTATTTTTTGGGCCTGTCAACCTGGACCGCGAGCGACACGGAAAGGAGATACGTTTCCGAGCCGAACTCCTGGGTGAAGCACACCTTAGCTTCGACAGAGACGTCATCGATTCGTACGCACCGTTCCGCCTAATTCTGCTCGGATGCATGCTTGCCAACAAGTGGCTGGACGACCATACGTTTTCCAACAAAACCTGGTAGGTACTAGTCTCTCGCTTGTATATATCACGTCTCACGACCGATTTCTCAGGCATACCATATCCAATGTCCCGATACGGTCGCTCAACAGACTCGAATCTCTTGCTCTGGATATCTTTCAGTATGATCTGTCCATCTCTACACCAGAGTGGACGGATTGGCTTTCACATTTATTGGCGTACCACACTTCGTTGAGATCGCAGACCTGTCCCCAGCCTATCTCCCGGCCCTCGACAAGTCCTCACACCATAGTGCGCAGGGCTTTACAGATGCTTACAGATGCTTCGATGCATCGCCCCGGTCGTCATTACGGCGAGGCTGAAGCTCTCCCAGAGCCAGTCTTTATCAGTATCGAGGATCAGAAGCGGGATGGGCCGCATGCACCTCATCCTTACGAGGATAGCATCGATGCATTGGAGATCGATTTGGACGAGGATGGACCTCTTCGAGAAGAATATTTGCCGAAACGTCGTGTCAGCAGCGCATCATCTCTACACCGAACTCATGCTCACGACAAGCCAACCGAGTCTGATCGTGGCCTCCCTCCTCCAGCAAAATGGAGTCCCGAGGCGGATGAGCCACTCATTCGTGACAATGTCAGATCGGCCAAGCAATATGTCGCGCCGCAGCCAATAGTCCACATGCCAATGACACAACAGCCCCCACTGCCACTTCCATTTCACCATGTGATGGATACTCATTGTTCAGCCTGGTCCTATGGAGGTTATTATGTGAAGCCCGAACCGATGTTTGTTCACGAGCCCGTGTATCATGCTCAGCCGTCCTACGTCTCCTATGACTTCAATCATCCGGCTGGACAGTCGCATTCTCGATCGCAGTCGCTATCGTATACTCAGGCTGTAGCTGGGCAAACACACAACCGCCTCCGATCGTATTCGCAGACCAGGTTCGATCTCGGATATAGCGATGTCCGTGGCACCGAGAGCCATTTTGTTCCCCAACCTCCTCCGGCTTTGTCTCGATGGAGCGTGGCAGATACTGCCATTTATCCGTCGTTGTACGACAGACCCTTTGATCACCATCGAACAGCTCTCAAAGTTTGAATGCATCTCATTAACGTCCCTCCATTAGACTCGCGCCAGACAGAGTTTAGACTGCTGCGCGGTTTCTTCTATGCCGCTTGAAGATTGGCACACGATCCCAGTTCTTCAACCATTTACTCTAATTTCCTGGCTGTCGACACCCTGTATCTATACGCCTACTCGATCTACCTAGCGCCAGCGCGAGGCAGTTCGTTCGCCACTCTCTTACCTGTGTCAGCCTGATTTGTCCGTTTGCGATTCCATTTCGTCTCATGCCTGATACTCGGTCTCTTCACATCCCGTCTCTCCTGGGCTCTCCCAACTTCCGACGACATATCCATCCTGTCCATCGGGATTGCCTCCCTTTTTCCTGGCTTCCCATCGTCATTGACATCACCATCGCATCGTATATATTGACTGATTCCCCTGAATTCCTTTGGATGCATAGCGGGTTCATCGGTTTGCGCCGTTGAAGAAATACAAGACATCCGGTGCTGTTCTTGTTCCGCCATGCCGCGGTTAGCATGCCTCAATGGACGGTTATACCGGTTTCTCATCATCCCTCGTGTTGGAAATTCGTTGTGTACAGATTTCTACGGTATTCTGACGTTCACATCCCCTAATGTTTCCACGTCTGTTTGATTTCTTCTGATGTCGACGTTCACGTTCCACTGTCCTCTTTCTCAAACCCCTTTTCGCAAATTCACAAAAACATTTGAAAATTTGCAAAAACATATACACATCATATCCGTCCGACAGACCGTTCGTATAGGGCTTCTCGTACCTACATCGTCCTCCACCTTCACGTGCCCTCCCGCTTTCCACGCACGAAGCACACCTTCCTCCCTCCACCCTAGTGTCGTGCTTCATCGTTCATAGGTAGTTATGTCTTTGTGTCTCCGGCTTTCAAGCCGTTCCTTGCTTGTATACGTCGTTAACAATAGTGGAGACCGATTATGCCGCATATTCGGCGTGATTTAAGGCGCCTTGCAACTCGTTTGCGTATGCGTACGGATCTATATATCACAACTTTGCGACAAAAAACTACAGGTTGAATGTAATGCTACATGGATTGCCCGAGACATGACTTCTAGCTACATAGCTTCTCCATTCATAAGCGCACGACGATGAAGGGAACCTAAAATTATTGGATCAGTCTTGTCAATGCTTAAGATGGTTGGATGTTATCACCTCAACGTCCTCGCCCTCCTCATCGGACACCATGACCTCAACAATGAGATGTTTGATGTGAGGGGGAATGGGCTTCTTGCTGACGCTCTCGACGAGCTTGCTGAACTTCATTGGCAGGCGCTCCTCGCTCTGAGTGGTATTCGCCAGTTATAAGAGACTACATCATGGAGACTTGATAGGACGCTACTCACCTTCTTCTTACCGATGAAAGAACTCCACAGCATGCTAACGCCCTGGCTGACCATGGTCACATCCAGATTGTGTTTGGTCCGGAAGAAGTTCACAATTTCCTTGAGTGTAGGATCATTGTGGAACTCAAAACGATCCCAGAGCGTCCACTCCGTCTCTCCATACTTATTCTTGGGCGCTGCAATCGGCTCAGAGAATCCGAAGAATGGAAGTGCAAGATTGACGAAGCCATTCTTGTAGCTTTCCAGGTTGTCTTTGCCGTCGATGATCTGGAATTTTTGCAACGTCAACACCGCCCATAACAGAGGCAGAAATGCTAACCTTATATAGCTCCAAGCACACTAGACCTGTTACAAGGGACGTAGTCGTGGCGATAGCTGGGATGATCTTGCCAGCAATTTGCTTCGTGGTGTGACGATCAGCTATGGTGATGTTGTAATTCATAGCCCGAAGGTTGGAAGCAGCGGTGATGAAGTCAATGTGGAAGTTTGTATCATCATCTTTCTCAAACTCGACGGGGTTCAAACGGTAACCCACGAGAGATGACGGAGCAGGCAGCTGCTTCATAACGTCACCGATGTCGCCAGTATCTGAAATATATGTCAACCGCGTCCAAGTAAGCAGAACAAGGGCTACTTGCCTGCACCCGAATCTTGCTGTACTGGCTCATTCTCGTTCACTTGAACCTTCACGCCACTCCTTGGGGTGAATTCCGGCACAATGACCGCATCAGCAACCTTCTTAAAAACTGCAGGATCTGTCTCCCCGCGAAGGCCATAGTTGTATGCGTGCAAGTTGGCCGCAGCAATGATGAATTGGAGGTGGGTAGGCTGTTACAAATAGCGAGGGCATCAGCAGGAGGTATCATTCCAATTTCTCTGACGCACATCACTGGAATCGAATGTCAACGGATCGGGGGCGCGCTTGGGGCCACTCCAGAAGGGCTGGCCTGAAGTCGTTACGGCATCTTTGGGTAAGCTGAACAGCAGCTGCCGGATGGCATTGTTATATCGTTCTTCGAACTGCAGACGGGCCCAGACGATGCATTCCTCGAATGTCAAAGGCTTGTTAGTCACGAGATAAGAAACAATTTGTTCAACCTGCTCCTTCTGCTGGCCAGAATATTTGAGGTTGTTCTCGAGGTAATTCGGCTCTGATAGGTAAGAGTTCGCTGCCTGCGCCGGTTTTACGAACAAATTGTCGAACTCTGTCCGTGACCACTGTAATACACATGAGTAAAGTTGTAACATCAAAAGATCGAGACAAACCTCGATCGTATGTTGTATTGCGTTGGGAAAATTCTTGACTGTACATGACGGCGTCTCCTTTTCCGGGGGATCTTGTGACGAAGAGTATGACTCAGACAAATGAGGAATAACAACTTGCGTGTTGCCTTTTGTTCCAAGTGTACCAGATTCAAGAAGAGGCTTCAAATAGAAAACACATCGCTGATCCATGTATTGGCCTTTACCCATCTCAGAGTCAGGGACACTCGATCGCGGGCACATTGATCGCACTTACGAGCTTTTACATTGTCAAGCGCATTTGTAACGCCGTCAATATTGGCGAAGAAATCGGACCCATAGACATCTATACGTAGGTCGTTAACACAAATACTGTGATCGGAGGCCACACAAACGTACTTTCGGTATCTGGCCCGACGGGTTCCTGATTGGTCAAGATCTTGCCTCTCAAGTCCGGGTTCATGTCCGCTACGGCAGCAGCAGCTACCTCGGATTTAAATTTACCCAGATCCTTGGCCCTGAATAGGAATTGACGATTGAGGTTGCTCTTTTCAATCGTGTCTAGATCGGTGACATGAATTACACCTTTCGGACCTGACGCAAGACCCATCATGCTCCAGTTCTTTAGCATCTCGCAACCGATAGCACCCGAACCGACCAAGAATTGGCGATGGTTGGATATCTTCTCCTGGAATGTCTTTCCAAAAACCGCAATTTGGCCATCATATCGAGAACCAATAGGTTGGCAATCAGCTTCCGTGGGAAGTGAGTTGGGGAGAGATTCTAGTGAGTCGAAATAGAGATGCTGAACCATAGGGGTAAATTTAGCCGAGCATGCTTTCAAGACCTCCTGAGCAACGAAACCACCAATGACAGCAGCTAGCGGTGAGATATCACCGGTGGCCTGATACGAGAGCTCTGTAATTATCTTCTCATCTACGTCCGCATCTAGCTTCTTCGCAAGGGCAACAACGACGGTGGCATCCTCCGCGTTACGCGGACGAGGAGGGCGTTGATATTGAGCTTGGAATTGAGATAGTGCTTGGAAGCCAGCATGAAGGGTAGCAGGTCGATCGAATTTAGCAAAATCGGTAATGAACAATTCCGGCGACTTCAGCGATTCGCGTAGAGATTTCTATGAAAAATGAAAAGTGTTGACACCTCATGCAGATGAAAAATTAACTGCCACTTACAAATTCGAGGATTCTTGGCATCTTGACCTGCGTGAATATCCCACCTGTCGTGTACTCACTCAGATTTGACGTATCACCGATGGTGAAAGTATACGGCCCCTTCACAGAGACTTTGCGAGGTTCACAGCCGTTCAACTCAACCATTCCTTGCACTTCTGTGAATGTGACGAAATCCCCGTCCTCCAATCCATGGCGGGTCTCGTCAAGGCATGTGACAAGTCCTCCTGCATCCTATGCATAACAACTACAATCTCAGCGAGATGAACAGAGAGTTCACCGTAGCTATCAGTACGCACCCGTTCAATAGACACAATCATTCCGCTGAGAGGCTGCTCGCCAGTAGGGTCCACACACGTGAACTTAGGTCCAAAGTCATTGAATGCCGAGCTGTCAAAGAATGCATGAGAGCCTTACATATAAGAACATAAGTTGGCATGGAAATAGCGTGCATACCCGAACAATCCATGAGTTTCAGCTGCGAGAAAATGAACGCCGTTCTCATGAGTCCAATCATTGATCTCTAATTGCTTCTGCAAACTCGCTCCACATAGGACTACGACCTGTCACATAATCAGAATATCAAATGATTAATGAACACACACCCACTTACCTGAAAGCCCTTGATCATATCCACGGTAATTTCTTTACCTGGCTGTCCACCAAGATTGCGGATTGGGACATACGCGTTGAGCTCTGCCAACCGCATCGCAGCAACATCAGCACGAGGCTTCCCAATATCTTCGGGGCGCAGGAAGAACTGCACAGATGTCAGAAATAGGATAGGACGCGTCGAATCAATTACCAACTTGACTGCTTAGGTCTTGCACTTGCACTGGGTCTGGATCATAGATCGTAACCGATTTTACTCCCGCTAATGCAACGTTCTTCGCTATAAAAGTGATAAGAATCATTGCGGGGGGAAAGCACAATAGTATAAACCTATTTCAATTCCTACGCCTTTGACTCCAACAATGAGAATATTAGATACAGCCATACGCTTCATGGCTGGATGTATGACAACGATCAGCTCGAGCCAGAGCCAGAGGTGAGGCACATGTACCTTCATGCCCGAGGACATAACTACGAACGCGTTCAGACTTTCGTCAAAGATCCATAGAAATATTCACCAACTCACAGCTGCCGAGAGTAGAGACCTTCGTCGATCGCGGCTTCATCTATGTCCATCGCTGCCGGAATGTTCGTACTCGTAGACATCTTGATGATTTACACTATTTTCTTGATAATTTGGAGAAGCTAGATACAAGAGCAGTATGGGGTCAGATGAAGGAGAATGAAGCTCGGGCTGTGGCTAAGCATCCCCGGTTTGGATGACCAAGCAAACGCCCGTCATTCCATAAACGGTAAATGCCGACACTTTCTCTGGACTATGTGATCGCGGTTTGCCTGTGACAGCTAAAGCTCCCTCACTCACTCAATCAACCGCAAAAACCTGCCATGAAATACGTCGCTTTACTGAGTGGAGGTAAAGATAGCTGCTACAATCTCTTACACTGCGCACGAAATGGACATCAATTAGCTGCCGCCGCCTCGTTAGGACCTGGTCAAGGCAAAGGTTAGTCTACATCCTGAATCGGACTTCGCTTCCCTACAACGTTACATTTACATCAGAAGAAATCGATTCATATCTATACCAAACGGTAGGTCAAGATGCTATAGAGCTAGTTGCTCGCGCCTTGGATGTGCCTCTGTATAGACGAGTCATATCCGGGATGGCTCTTGAACAAGGCTCAGAATACGGCCACCGAGATCCCTCCAGAGGCGTCGGCGTGATCGGGGATGAGACTGAGGATTTACACGCGTTACTGTCTCTAGTCAAAGTAATGAAGACAAATTTGCCTGATCCTGTGATGCTATGGGTTGACGCCTTAACGTTTCAGGATAGACATCCTGATGTTGAAGGCGTCTCTGTAGGCGCAATACTGTCAAATTATCAGCGAGTACGAGTTGAACATGTGTGAGGAACAACAAATAATGCCAGGACTCGTAATATGCTCAATGTAGACCTGTGTAGATGCCGCCGCCTGGCCTTAACGCCCCTCTGTTATCTGTGGCAAAGAGACCAGTCCGAGCTGCTTGCAGAAATGATCGAAGCAGGAATGGAGGCGATTTTAATCAAAGTTGCAGGTATCGGACTCACCGTCAAACACCTTGGAAAAAATCTAGCAGAAATGCAGCAGACTTTGCTTAAGCTTGTGCGCGAGAGGGGTCTTCGCCTCTGTCCGCCAAACTTACTTTCCACTCCAGAACGATTTATACGGTTCACACATTTGCGGGGAGGGTGGTGAATACGAAACATTAACTCTCGACTGCCCTCTGTTCAAGCAGCGAATCAGCATGTACGTCGAACCCCTGTTTATTCAGTCGTCCCACGGACCGCTCTTTATCCAGCCAGGACACTGAGACGGTTGTTCACACTGACGGCGACTTTGCCGTGGTTGCCTACCTTCGTATCAAGGATGCCGTCCTCAAATCGAAATCAAGCTGTGAGATTCCGAATCCTGCGATTCCACATATTCTACCAAAGTCATACCAAGAGCTCAGCGCAGTAGTTGCAGAACAAGTCTCGACGACCGCTGATGTGCCAAATAGCTCATATCTCAGTAGTCTACATGGTGCCGAACCCCTACCACTAATCCGCAGCCAGCAAGTGGGTAGTTTTGTGACCGTTGCGAATGTATCGAGAACAGGTGAATCAGATATGACTATAGAGGAGGAAGTCCAAGCCTGCTTCCAGCAATTGGAAGGTATACGTTTTGTGTCCTCATATCTTGGTAATTATAACAAGTTTGCAGATATACTCCACCACTATTCACTGAAGCTCTCACATTGCACTAACATCAACGTCTTCCTTTCTTCTATGGACCTGTTCTCCAGAGTGAACGCCGTCTATGCCACTTACTTTGGGACGAGCCCGCCTGCGCGTGCATGCGTTGCAGTGGACCTGCCCCCACCTGTGAGGATCCGACTCGATTGCATTTCTTTTGTCGAGAAGACCCCCACGGATCGCCAAGCGCTACATGTACAAAGCCTGAGCTACTGGGCCCCTGCAAATATAGGACCGTACTCACAAGCAATCATAGTAAATCAGGCTGTTTATTATATTCAACCATCTTTGACGTCTGTATTAGGTAGACGAGCGCGTCTTCATATCAGGTCAGATCGGATTGATTCCGAGCAACCTACTACTTCCTTCTCCGCCCTCACTGGCTCTTGAGACTGCGCTATCATTCAAGCACGTCGAGAGCGTGGTAGATATGTTGCGATCCAACTCCGGCGGCGGCTGGACAGGTCATACCCAAAACGCGACATACTGGCTGGTTAATGAAACTGATACGCCGCGTATAAAAGCAGCTTCCAGTTCATACGCCAAGGTAAGGGTTGTGCATGTATGGCTGGCGGGTCCTCAAGCTTCTCGTCATAGGATGCGCACGCTGCGATCCTTTTCTTGACTGTCTCGGCTTTACCTAAAGGTGCCTTGGTAGAGAAACAAGTCCTGCTACATACAGGCCAATGCTCCCTTGAAGACGAGGATGGCGAGATGGTTCTTCAGCATCTCGTGCCCGAGTTTCAGCAGGGTAAGCTTTCAAAAAGTCACCGTCAATGTCTCATAGTTTATGCAGGTAGTCTTTTAGGCGCGGAAGGTACATCCGTATACTGGGAGGTCTCGTCTATCAATAAGAGCAACGCAGTTGCGGTGATAGCATTTCGACACGATACGCCCGAAAACGTTGCATCACTTAAAAAAATCCCTGAATTACACCGCGTTTGGGAAAACCCAGTCTCGGTCCGCCTATTTTATAGACGTTCTGTGGCATCGACATGTAGGTTTTCTCTTCGGTGACGTGAGCCTTCACCTGATTGGAAAATGCAGTTGACTCCAATTATACAATGTTATTTGAGAATGGAAAGCTACCGCCATTCACCTCCATCCCTTGCCGTCACATCTCGACAAGACTATGTGACAACTGGGACTATGCACTGCTAATCATAAGTAATTAGAATGACACAACAAGTAGTACAGACAAATGTATCCCAATGAATATCCCAAGAATGAGTACCGATACCATACACAAATCATACAAAATAGTCCATGGGAGATGGTCACGGTGCACCTTCCTCTTGGAGAACCTTCAACTCAGCCAGCCGCCTCCTCATTTCCTTCTCTGTACGAGTAGGTGGTACCATCCGGGCGATACCGGCACCGAACTGTAATCAATCAGTCATCGAATGCATACGATGTGACATCATAGAGACATACCAATGCACAGAGCCCTCCAAAACGCAAGACCCATGCCACACCATTCTTACCGTAGTAGGTGGTGTGCTTGGCCGGGTCGCTATCGACGTCGGCGTCAACGACGTGGAAGATGGCGCTGGAGACCAAGGCAATCTGTGAGACACCAATATGTTCAGCAAAGTCCACCAAACTAGATAGATAATTCGCACAATGAATTGTGGGAACACGATTGCCAGGTTGTGGATACCAAGAATGGTCCCGCCGGCGACAGGATCAGCCTCGGGCAGCATGTCATCGGAGTCTTGGTGGTCGAACGACCGACGTCGTTGAAGAAGAGGAGCACGCTCGCTATGTGTCTCACTCCTGCGGCGCATAGCTGGTGTTGATCGCGTACGGCTGTGGGATGGCCGTCTCGTCCACTCTCTCGCTATTGCTTCTCCGTCCCGAGGACTCTCATGCTCGCGCTCCTTTAGGAACTGTGGAACGTCAAGCAATCAGCGAAAAGGACCAGTGAATGAGCCGTCGGACTCCTACCTCCATGATAATAGCAAAGGGTACCCAGCAAGCCACTGCCCAACATATTCCAACCAGACTAATCGCAATAATGGCCTGGATGCTGAGTAAGTGGAATACTATAAATAGTATCTCCATGCTCATACCTGCCAGACTTTGGTGATGAAGAACGTAGAGAACGTGATCAGAGCGAACAACAACATCGCTCCCGTCCAAATATTCCTCAAGAAAAATGGCATCAAGGGTAGTTGCAGCGGCCGTCCTCTCCGCGCTGCCTCGGCTCTCCATTCACGAACGGTAGCCCTGAGACGAGCGAGTTCAGCATCCTCGTCTTCGTCGCCATCGTGAGCCAATAGACGAGTGTCACGACGTGCAAGGTGCGGGAGTGTTGCTCCAGCTGCTACAGCGACTGTGAACATGACATTAAGTAGGTATCCTGACACGTGAAGGAGAGAAGGAAGTCTACCTATACTATAAATCAGCATCGCGAATTCCCCCATCCTGGTTGCTGTATCCTTGTCTGGGTCTCTCTGAAGTTCATAGGCCATGACCTGGCCCACATATGTTGTACTAAGACCATATATGAGATCCTCATCTAAACGGACTGACGACCCATACATACGCATAGAACAAAAAGGGGAACCTGCAAGCGATGACTGAGTACACATTATTTCATACACACAATTTCACCCACCATCCCATGAATGCGAAGACTTGCACATAGCATACACGCCTAATGGGTTTGGGCAGTTTGACAATAGCGTTGTAGATATTATCTAACACATCCTTCAATTTGCTCCTTCGATCGCCTATCAGATTCACAGCACGTGGAGAATGCCATATGAACGTACCCTTTCTCGATGCGTTTAGGGTCGCGTTCCTTCTCCTCTTGGGTGAAACAGGTGATCCACACAGTAATGACAAGAATCGCCATGCTGACAACACAGAACTTGCGGAATTGATCGCCCCCGAGCAGACGCAAGATTGGCATGTTGGCAAGGGGAAGAAAGCCTGAAGGATAGATTAACAATACCCCGACATATTCGGAGTCAAATACTTGCCAAATCCATACCCAACGATATTTCCTGCATTGATCATCCTACTGTGCCAGGCGTTACCTGCATTAAGCTGTTGTGGAGGCGTGACATCCAAAAGTAAATTCCGTAGCGATGCTTGCAGCGCGTTCAAGGCAAAATCCAACAAGTAGAACGATAAGATTGCCAGACCAATTGCAGTGTTCTTGACCTAAAATTGGGCAACATGGGTGACAAGGTGGTTGATGAGGTAGGCTGTATACTTACCGTCTTCGCCCATTTGGGATCCCAACTACCGGCGCCTCCTCCGAAAATGTCAACCAAGAAGGTAGCGATATCCTGACAATACGCCAATGTGACGGTGGATATCACTAGCACAACTGTGGAGAGCACAACCCAATACCGTCTTCTGTATCTGGATGTTGAAGCATCGGAGATCGCGCCTTAAGGACGGAGGGATTTTGGCGTATGAGCGAGCATGACACAATCTGCTCCAAGTAAATCGCACATACCTATCACAGGTTGAGCTATCAGGCCGCTTATTGGACCAGCAAGCCAAACAAGACTTGTCAAAGTCTCAGAGAGCCCGAGAGATAGCAGGAAGGGCGTCCCATATCTGAAGCACAACACTCGTCACATAAATCCACACAGCGATACGCGGATGCATACCCCAATTCGACCGTCCACGCTACCTGGGAGCCTGCCATAGATATACTCAAGTAGATGAGATCCAGCGTGGACATCCTCCGCTCAGCCGGATCCTCCCTCTCAGACGATGACTTCTTGCCATTGCTGTGGCCTGCGTTGTTCGTGTCACCTGCTTCCTCTGGCGAGTCCATATCCTGTGTCTGCTCTCGTATGCGCTTTCCATTCCTCGAAGGCCAGGGTATCTGAGTGGTTGGGTCGGGATCGGCGTCGGCGGTGGTGGGGAAGGTCATCGCGGTAGGACCGCTTAGAAATGGGCGGCGGCGGCCACGATAAGACGTGCGCGCAGTGACTTTATAGAAGAGAACCCAGTAAGGGCAGTTGTACGCCGGTCACCTTGAGGAGCCCATGCAACGCTGTCCCGCGTCCGCCGACGGCTCTGGAATGGCACGCGATCGGCGGTAGCCGAAAAGACCTCATAAGCCACGTGGGCGAGTAACTGCATTGACATTGCACAAGCAGCGGAAGCTGCAGATGGGTTACATGGACCAAGTGGCCGGAAGACTTGTACAAAACGCCCGGACAAACGTAATACGAAGGCTTTTGCAGACGGGATGATTTATGTATCCAAGACGTGATCAACATGCGGCGGCGAAGCGTAAATAGTTGCACAACAGGAGGAACGGTGAGCGACAATCGTACATACCCATACAGACCATTGATGCGTTCTACTGGGATTCAGATTCAGAAACATGGCAGTCCAGTAAATATAAAGAGGGGGACTACAGCTCTCATCGGACAACCGCATTTACGGAAGCATTTCTCCTGTGACTGCCGGCAGACACATGCGAGTCCAAACTTTGTTTATGCGACGAGAGTAAGTTGAATGGAAGCCGACGAGAGTAGGACGGAGTAGTGGCGGGGGGCGTGGGGGGTGTAATCGCAGTGGGAGTGCGGGTACGTTCAGCCATTTCCGGTATGGAAGGCGAGACCAAATCCTTTGTTGAGTCATTCGATAGAAACTCATCGCGCCGACGCAGTCTCGGTCGCGCCGTGCTTTGAGTAGGAGTAGATGATGTTATGGATTCTGAAATGGGCGAGGGAGACATAGGAGGCGTAATATGCTTCATTGTGGCGGGGCTAGTTCCAGAGCGATTTCGGAGCATATCTTGTTGTGAGGGTGAAATATTCTGCAAGGGAACTGGAGGGAGTGGGCTACTTCGGAGCTGGGCTGCAGACGCTGACGGCCGTAATCGCCGCCGAGGCGCAACTGAGCCAACGGTGACCAGCGAGTTAATCTGCTTGTCACTTCCTGAGGGCACCCCCGCAGGTGACCCATTCTGTGATTGTGTGTCTGTAGATGTCGTGGTCGCGCTGCCACTGCGTTGTCGCAGTTTGTACTTTTCCATGGCATCCGCATCTCGCTCACGCATCCGTGTAGCAATGGGCGACAGCGCCGACGCTGGGTCATTGGCGGCTGCCAGTTGTAGGTGAGGTTGTGGGGATGGTGATGCGGCAGAAAAGGGCGTACTGCCAGATGAGCTGGCCGACGGTTGACCCGGAGAATAGGAAGTTGATGGAAGCTGAGCCGGATATCGAGATGGTGAAAGCGAAGATGCAAATGAGAGGTGACCGCGTGATGATTGCATAGCCGTGCTATCCAACAAATCTCCGCTGTCCGAGGTATCTGTCGTACGACTCGTCCCTGAGCCACTTCGCATGCGAGGAACACCTTTCCCGAAGCCATACGGTGGCGGAGGAACAGGCGGATCCGACGCAGATCCCCACTCGGTCCCCCTTGCAGCGGCCTGAGCGAAAACATTTCGCCGCGCCTTCTTGTTGTTCTCGAACTGCGTTCGAGCAGTGTCCTGGAGCGTCTCCTTGGTACTTGTCCTATGATATTCCGAGCCATATGAGCAAATGCATGCAACGCGTGACAGCTGACGCACGAGTAAGCATAATCAGAGGGGTTGAATCCTTCGTTGTTTCGTGCCGAAAACTGGCACCCTCGTTCAATCAATAACTGAACAATCTGTCGCACTGTGAGACCATAAACTCATGTCCAGCCACGAATATACGCACTGGAATATGACCCCAAGCGCTAGCGCTGTGGAGCCATATAAGCATATAAGCAAACAGGTGATTGATGTCACTCACTAGTGCAAAGGAGTGTTACCTTCGTTGTCGGCCAAGTCGAAATCTGCCCCGAGATCACACAACATCTTTTACCGATGTAAGTAATTCAAATTGAACGCAAGGAAGAGACGAGCTCACCCGCACTAGCTCCTCGTTCCCCTTCAGGGCGGCCACATGCAACGCTGTCTTGCCTTCCACGTTTGCCCAGTCAAGTATATCTGGATAGCGGTCATAATATAGACGCGCCATGCGTAAAGTAGCACTGAGGAAGTCATGCTCGCTGGGACCGGAGCCAAAAGGGTTTGTTACGGGGGGTCTTGCGTCGGCGAGGAGGATCAAAATTGTGTTGCTGTCGGTATCCTTGAGACAGAATTTAGTTTTACTAGTGGGATGTGGCTGAAACACCAACAGCTAACCTTACTGATTTCGGGATCGTCATGCCCGCTGCTCAGGAGAAATTCAAAAGTTTCCTCATGACCAAGGACCGCTGCCCACGTCAAAGACGTGTATCGCTTGTGTACAGGATCTGCATTGCGCATTTCTGTCCGCTTGATGAGCCTCCTGACCAGGAAGAGGTTATTCTCTGCGCAAGCGGCCTCAGCACTTGGCTCCAGGAGGCTGAAGCGGGCACAAGTAGCGCCGAGGCATACCTTTGACTGCTCGTCGGAGCCTGGCAGTGGCATCTTTCTCGGCCATGATGGAGGGGAGGAGAGGCTGGGTGGGAGGCCTGTGCAGGCAGGAGGGCCTGTAGAAGACGAAAACGAGCAGACGCACAGCAAACACAGCATACGACGAGGAGGCGGCATAATAGGATGGCAATTGTGCACGTGAGAAACTCGATCAAGATGGACGTCAGGGCCCTGTACACAGGCAACTCCCACGCGTCCCCGTCTCCGAGCTCGTCCAGTCCGCCCGACACACTGCCTTCTTCTCCTCGCCCAACTCTCCTCACCCACTCTGTCCTTCTCGTCCATCTCTCTCCACCACCGCGGCCTCCACAATGCCCAAAGTCGTCTCGCGTTCGGCCGTCTCGTCCTCGACCGATGGTCAGTAATTGCCCCCGGTCTGTTCCGTTCCACCGACCCTGGCCTAAGATCTGAGCCATTCCGTCCTTTGCCAGCTCAGCCCACGGCATCGTCGACAACTGCCCTCCGAGTCTATTGTAAGATATCACTCAGCCGCTTACTGACCTCCCGCTGACGGCCGTATTCCGCCCTCGGCGCAGATTGCATCTGCGGCGAATTCATCGTGAGTCAACGGCATCCGCTCCGTTCGGCCTCAGCTGACACTGATGGTTGCGCTGTGTTCCCGCTAGCTTGTCATAGATAAAAGTCTTGCTTCTTTGCCTCGGCGAAAAACAGATGGCGCTGTCATCATTAGGTGTCAAGACAGTGAGCTTGGTAAGGCCAGGATTCTCAAGCTCAACGCAACCACGTCACAGCCGGTGTTGGTGGAACGGTGTGTAACATTCTCACTGACGATGGGTCACAGCAGTCGAGCCCAGGACTCATGATGGATTTCAGGGCAAATGGCCACGAGAGACAGTACAGGTTCCAGTGCCCTCGATGTACGCTAACAGTCGCCTATCAGACAACGCCTCCACCAGCCAAGTCCGGCTCATTTCTGTATATCGTGAAGGGTGCTCTTAGCCAAATACAAGGCCAAGTTCCTCCCGATGCATTTGACGACGAGCATTTGGTACTTTCTTAGACCACGATCTAGCCAGACACCGTATGAAGCGGTATGTCCTTCCATGTGTCATATTCTGATAGATCTATGTAGCCTACATCATGAATGGTCTAGTACAATAGTATTCACCGCAGATGTCCGCAAAATGTCAGACAACTATGTACTGAAGATCACTACGTAAGTAAAGCGAGAGTCTGCACGGCCTTGAACACGATCACTCATACAGCATGCAGATTCAAACGTAAGCGAAACGGATTAATGAGCATCATCCGCAGGCCAAATACATCATGACCATCTATGACGTTGACACAACTTCTACGTACAACTTACCACAGTTGAAATAAAAATCCTCTATGAATGACAGAGCAGATGGTCAGCACAATGCATCATGACGGAAGAAGTGAAGGATGCAATATATCAGATACCGTTGTAGAAGGAAAATTCAAGACGCCAGTACTTAGAGCAACTGACATTCATACAGTGTGAATAAAGTGTCATCATGGAAGAGGAAGGTGTTGTAGATAATCCAAGACTGGCATAACCGCTTACCTGCTGAGATCATTCATATTGGAATCCACACGAATGCTGACGGACAGGGAAATTGCACGGCCAAGAGATCCATCAATCTGTACATCGAAGATGTCAGCATTAGCTGAAACGACACATGTGGCACCGACAGAAATGTGGTTGTGGGCTCAGATACCGTTGTAGAGTATATGATTAGTTCATACCGCGCGAGCGTGTTCGTATGTTTGGGAATATAGTTGCATCACAGCGCACCATATACAAACAGAAGACTCACTCATTGAACCTTCATCACGTCAAGACCTAGTCATCTAGCCAAAGGACGCCGCAGTCCGTGTCAGCACACGCTAACAGTGCAGTTAAGGTCGCGATCGCGCTGTTGACGCGGCCGAAACTGAAAAATACCGCCATTGTGTGTTTCTATTTGCGCAGGTCAGGTGCCCAACGCGACACAAACAAACGCCTACAACGCGCCCTCTGCGCGTCAGACGCGACCGCATTGTTGGCCTCATCCGTCCCGTCGAGCTGCGCCCCATTGGACCGTCCCGTCGCCTCGCGTCGTCAAGCAATCCGTCTCCTGGAGACGGAGTAGGCGCATATGAGGACGTGGGTCCCCGTAGGTGCGCGTGAAAAATTTCCATGTTGGGGAGCAGTCATGTCGTTACGGAATCGCTTGCGGCCAGAGGGCGGGCACTGTACTTAAGCCCTGCCTGGCTGGCAGCCTGAGTCCCCACCGCCGTCTGCGATCCCCGTTTGAGACGACCCGGCAGCGCACGCCTCCCACAGTCTTTCACTTCCACGCCAGCACCCTCCCATCCCCGCACGCCGCCCTCTTATATCTCCAGACATGTCCTGTGCCGTCGCTGCCCCCGCCTTCTCCCTCTTCCCCGTCTCGACCGCGTCGCCGAATGCATTCGCCATCTTTGCGGCCCCCCAGTCGCCCCGCGACACTTTTGCAACACAGGAGGAGATGTGGCAGATGCTTCGGCCCTCGAACGGGCAGGCCGACGGCAGGAAGCGCAATGCGTCCTTCTCCAAGTCGCTTGGCTTGAAGAAGTTTTTTGGGATGTAGGCAGCTACTCGCCATGCGTGCATACGCGCCGCACAACGCACAACAAAGCACCGCCGACGCGGCGCACTCGCGCCCCCTCGCGATTACACCACCTGGTCTGTGACCAATCGACACTCCGCGACATGTGATAGCTTCGCATCTACCAGCTCCACACACGTATTGGAGCCAGGGACACGCTTTCATCGCTCGGACTCTTCGACACGCGGAAGACGATGAGCGTGGTACCTGCGTCGCACAAAATCTCATTGTATCGTATCGGATGGATCTGAAAACGGAGAGATAGGGTTATTGGTGGTGGCGAGGAAGATGACGAAGGGCTACAAGGAGAGCGGGAGGGGGTTGAGAAGGGGAAGAAAGTAGGACAAAGTCGACGAGGAAGTCGAAAGAAGAAACAAAAGACGACGAGCTCAGAGATTTTGCTCTCTGGTGTTGTTTAGATGGACTTGCAGAGGCTTTTCTTTCGAGAATGTTGTCATATCTCTGAATGTATTCGGACCGTTGTAACTTCAACCTTGATTTCTTTGAGACTGATGCTGGTCGTTGGCGCCGAGTGTAACGGGAGATGTCCTAAAAAGGAGACTGTGGTACTGGCGCGTGCGGCTACCACGTGGGCGATATTCGCGGAGGGCGCTGTCGAGGCGGCATTCTCGCGGACCCTCTCCTCACCACCGAGACGGGCGAGCACTGTCCGTTGAGCACCATGGAGCTCCCCTCTGCACGCGAGATCGAGCTGGAGACTCTGCTGAGGCAACGGGACACACAGATTGCTGAACTCACGGTACGTCCTCCTCAACTTTGCCACCCGCAATCAGCTCAGCGGCGCACGACCCCTACTCGCCTTTCAGGACGAGGTCACACACCTGCGCCAGTATCTCTCGACACAACCCGCCCCATCCACGGCGGACCCCATCACACTTCCTCCAGCACTTGTATCCATTCTGTTGCCCCATATCAACGGCCGTTCTACGGCCGCCACATCGACGTCGAACACAGTGAGTGCCCTCACCCAGAGAGCCAAGGTTCTGCAAGAAGAAAACGACGAGCTGTATGAGCTGCTCAAGATTGGCGAGACGGGGAGACTGAAGGACGACGTGCGCGCTCTGCGTCGAGTGGTCGTGAAATTGGAGGGCGCGCTTAAAGGTGTGTCAGGCGCGCAGCGTCTCCCGCTCACAGGCGGCGACGCCAACTGACCCCCTCCCCAGAGTCGCACCAGGTCATCGCCTCGCTCTCGTACGTCGTCCCGCCCGCCTGCTCGCCTGCCCCCGCTGACCCCCCCC